ACTGGCGACACCCATAGCATCTCGATAGAGCTCCCAGACGGGACGGTGAAGCTTTACACGGTTGGAGATCTCAAGTCCAAGTTTCAGCAACATACCGTCACATCGGTCCTCCAGTGCTCTGGAAACAGACGGAACGACATGACAAAATATGCACGCAAAACTAACGGTTTGCAGTGGGGAGTGGGCGCCATCAGCTGTGCCAGATGGGAAGGGGTTCGACTTCGAGATGTTCTAGCTGATGCCGGCCTCGCTGTGGACAAGGTATCTGATGATGCGCAGCATGTGCAGTTCTCTGCGCTTGAAGCATATGGCGCAAGCATCCCAATCCATGCCGCAGTCGACCCGCGCGGTGACGTACTGCTGGCGTTCAAGATGAATGGTATGCCCCTGCCACCTGACCATGGTTTTCCCGTGCGTGTGGTGGTTCCTGGAACTGTGGCGGCCCGGTGTGTGAAATGGCTCAACAAGATAGTGATATCAGACGAGGAGAGTTCTACGAGCTGGCAGCGTCGAGACTACAAATGCTTTGGCCCGAACGAGACGCAAAACCTAGACTGGGACAAATACAAGTCGATCCAAGAGATGCCGGTCACAAGTGCTATCACGAGAGCGAGGTTGATCCCGGCAGCTGAATCTGCACATCTGGGCCATAGTGACAACCAGAAGCAGGTTCCGAATGGTGAAAATGAGCTAATAGAGCTCCAAGGGTATGCCTATTCCGGCGGTGGCAGAGAAATCCAGCGTGTGGACGTCAGCCTTGATGACGGGAAGACTTGGGGTCAAGCCACATTCCTAGATGATGCTCATGAGGAGACAGGGAGCAAGAGGTGGTGTTGGAAAAGGTGGACTTACCATGGCTCTCTACCTAGCATCGACCCGCAGACCAAGACCACGACATTTGTGGTCAAAGCCACTGATGAGTCTTACAATACCCAACCACAATGCTACAAGAGCATTTATAACTTGAGGGGTAATCTGGCAAATGCTTGGCATAGGCTGGAGATGGATGTCGGTGCTCATCATTGCAAGGAGATACAGCATCCAGCGAAAGTGGCCTGAGATGTCTGAGGACAAAGATTCATCATGGATTTTCCAGTTCCGTTTGTGTTGCTGTAGGACCCCAGTTCTATACCCGCCAAATTGTATCATTAGGTAGCGTTTGATTATTTACTAGCCTGAGCGACAGATGGTAGCCGACAAATCATTATTTTCCCCTGCCTTTCGTGATTACGATAAGTTTCACTTTCAAAAGCTCACGTAACTTTTGAAGTCCTACTCTCAACCAACTACATCTAATACATACCTATACACCTTGCTACTGACTTATTCTAGACTTGGTAGACTATTACTTTGAAAATCCGTCACGAATCTCCAGAAATTTCATATATCTCGATCGAGTCCATCGCCTGGACCTCTTGCCCCAAATGATCATGGGCAAGCTCAAGCCAATCACCACGAAACTAATTGCTCCAAGCTCAATGAAACAATTCTCCAAGCTTGTGTCGATCCAATAACTTGCAGCGAATGTAAAGATAAGTGCAAGGGAGTTGTTGATGACCGCAACCCCGACCATGCCTTCGAGAACCATGTCTGGGTACGAATCGGCCAAGTATGTGATACTCAAGTCACCTGCGCAACCGTACCCGAAACCGATGAAACCAAGCCCGACATACGGCACAGGCCAGTCCCATCCGCGTGCTGACCCGACGCCGAACAGCCACATGCCCGCAGGGAAAATAAAAAGACACAGGAACATGAGGTAGAGTCGATATTCAGCCTCCATCACGCCTCGGTTGCGCTTGGTCATCCATATTAAGAACGTGTCGCTACACCATCCGCCGTAGAAACAACCAATGACGCTGCCAATCAGGCAAGGTATATTCATATTGCCGACCTGGGCATCTCCGTAGTTCCACGGCGGGCCATACCAATTGTCTTCCTCTACCGTGAGGTAAAAGCTGAGACAAACACTTTGCAATCCCCACTGCAGGCCTGCAAACCAGACAGCTGGAAATGTAAATACCCGCATAGTGTGCCACAAACGTGTGATGAATTGTTTTGCGCCGGTTCCCCTCAAATTTGGTGCCGGGGTAATCGGTTGAATCCGTTGCCAGTAGGTCCTCGGCTGCGCTTGAGACAGCGAGAGACGGTGACCGGCATGCTGCCCTTCGCTCTTGTCTGCTCCTGACTCCGATGCTAGGGCATCCTTTTGCTTGGTATCTTTATCAGTGCCAGTAGTCAAAGGCACGTTGGGCATGGGCGAATTCTCAATGTCGTTCGTGCCGCCGGCGGAGGCATGTTGCAATGTCTTCTCATGGGCAGGAGGGCTAGCAATCAGATAGCGATCACCATTGTCGGTCAAGTACCTATCCCGATGAAATGCAGTCTCTTCCAGACCAAACCAAAGGAGAATAAAGGTGCCAGCACCAAATATCGCGCCCATGTACCCAATCCAACGCCACCCGAGGTAGCTATCTGCCATGTAGTTGGCGATAAGAGGTCCCAAGTATGTACCGACCGCTGTCGCCAGCGTATACATACCCAGTGACGTGCCATTTTGATGCTCAAACCAGATGTCAAGAAGTGAAACCTGAACCACAGCCTCGGCAACTGATTCCGAGGCCCCAACAAATAATTGACACCATATGGTGTCGGCAGTGTTTTGAATTCTGCCGTACCAGATGCTGCCAACAGTGAGGTACAGCATCCCTATCAGATAGAGAATGCGGCGTCCGTACAGGTGGACAGCAGGCGAGCTTAACAAGCACCAATAGCCGATGGCGGCGAAGAGCACGCCGGCACCGGTATTGAAAACATCATAGCTGATACCATATTCTTCGTTGACACCATCACTGCCAGACCCGGCGTCATTTGACGTTGCTGCCGTCAGACCAACGACAAACAATACCAATGCGGAATGCCATGATTTGCGCCAGAGGCTCCAGTTCAGCGGGTCGTCAGGCGAATCTGTAGGCTGCGGGACGAGCACTACATCGCCATGCTTTAGCAAGTGCTTGTCGCCTGGCAGGTTCTTGCCGTGCTCATCAAAGAGGCGACGAGTGCCAGGGATGAAGTCTCCAAGTTCTTCTGCTGACATGTTTCCTTCCCTTCCTCTTGGCCAACAGTGCCTCAAAAGTACTTGCGATCGCACGTTGGTTGCACCACGCGCCAAGCACCAGACCCGTAGCTCCGAGAGCAGTCTATCCAATGCTTGCGAATGCTTGCCGGCAGTAATGGTGCGGCAACCTTACTCTGGAGGAACGAGTCGCCTGTCAGCAGAAAGGCATATTGTCGTCGGATGAATGAACAACAGAAGAACGAAATCAAAGAGGCACGGCCCGGTTGTAAGGAAGAAACTCGAGCAGAATTTTCTTAAAAGCCAGGATCCACGCACCGCGAATATGATTAATTAGTGTCGCGGCCGCGGACTTTTGCAGAGACATGGGCTCCAGTGAAGCCAACTAATCAATTGGTGGTCCAGCGACCAGATGGGACTTACAGGGGTGCTGATAGCGGGCCGCAATGCAACGGACGGATATTTGTGAAAAGTCTTGTGTGGCAGACTTCCGCGTACACACTTGTATCTACTGTCCCATGTACATAAGTTGGATGTCACGGCCAACTACTAGCTACCATCCAATGGTCCGTGAAAGATGTAAGATTGAGATGCATGCATGTAAGTAGGAAATTTTCTATTTACAATCGCATCGACAAAGGCGTTTCGAAGCCATAGTTGAACAGACATTGAGCTGCATAGGTATCGACCTACGGACATATGGTGAACCTTCGCGATGTGTTGATCACTGGAGTTCTCTTCCTGCAAGGGAAGAACGCAAATATTTTTAAGCATAAGGCACCAACACTAGTACATTAGGCAATGGATCACGGACTCAGGAGAACAGCCAAATAACAAGATGCAGACCGGCAAGATCCGCCCGTGTCCACTAAAAAGGGACACAAGCAGAAGACCGTGACAGGCAACAATTCAAACCTCCATACGAAGTAATGAATACCCAAAGAAGAGACTGAGCAGTTACCGGCAGCCGGAACCTAGAAGACAATGCTGGTGAGAAAGTAAGGGACGTGATCTCGAGCTCAATCGTGCTACTTTCGGCATCGATGTTCTTTAGGCTGCCAGGTTACATGGAGGAAAGCTTGTTTGACTTTGCAGTCCTTTGAGAAGTCCTTCGGTGAAAGTTTGAGTGTATCTATAAGATGGTGAAGGCATTTTCCTGGTGAAACAACGTGTAGATCATCTTGACTTCTTGTGCAGGTTCTTGGTGATGACGAAGAATCCTTAAGTAGGTCCACGGCATCTACATTAACATGCATGCATCAAATGTTTGCCTGCCAAAGGTAGCCGAAAGCTAAGCCCTGGGCCAGACCTGTTCCGCAATACCCCCCTAGATTAAGGTAGTCACAGGCTCAACAGGGCAGACTCAGACGGGACAGCACCCTGCATCCTACACCCTACACCCACCCATACACAGTAGCTTGCAAAAGCGACGTCATACCCGCTACATGACGTGGTCGTCAAAGGTTGCCCATGTCTTTCCATTCGATGAGAAGATTTCGCTTCTGTGAGCTTGTCGCAACGCACGGCAGCCCAGAGTCCGGGCTTAGACTACAAGCCAATCATTAGTTGCCCTCGCTAAAAGACGATCTGCCTTAGATCATGGCCACGAGCAGCCATTCCCCAACTATGCGTGAACGCAGCTGCCAAGAATTGAGACATCGCGTGGTCGATAACCCACGTCATCACCGCCACGCCTAACAAACTGCGTTGCGGCTTTTCGGATGTGTTGTGACTGGGCTTTGGATCGGAGTGAATAAAGGCTAATCAAGTCCACCAGACTATCAGTGTTTTTATATGAGTGCATTGATTCCCCAAACCATACCTACAACGCCTCGAACAACGCTTTGAACCCCAAGCCTCAGTCCTGTTTATTGGTATCCTAAAATCTTCCTCATCGTTACTGCATCAGTGTAATCTCGGCGCAATGGGTCTCTCGTGGCTTACCATTGTCCATGCTGTGGCAGCTGTATTTGCCATCATTGAACTAGGCCTTACAGCATATGGTAAGCTCCTACCGTGGCAGCGACACCCGATTTCATTACTGACAGTAGCCATGTAGTCGCTAGTTGGTTCCACTGGGGTTGGTGGTCAAGTTCGCCATCTCAAGTCAACTTTATGGTATTCAACTCGGTCTGGTCGCTGTTGGTCCTGGCATACGTTGGCATTACTCCGATCTACATGACCAGCATATTCCATAAACTTGCTGCTCTGGTGCTCAACGTGATCACCACCATTTTCTGGTTTGCCGGGTCCATTGCGCTTGCTGTGCTTGTTGGTGGCCCATACAGCTGTGGTGCCAATACATACTGTGGTTCCGAGGAGGCCGCGATTGCTTTTGGGTTCTTTCTCTGGTGAGACTTATCGATACATGTCCGATGCGTGGTACAAATGGCTAACAAAAATTGGACAGGGCCTTGTTCATGGTGCTGACAGTCGTGGATGCCCTGGAGGCTCTCCGCAGTCGCGGACACAATGCACCAGCTACTGGAACCAAACCCGGTGCCTATGCTGGCGCATAAATCAATCGTTCCCCAATATGTAACCCCCAAGAAGGCCCATTGTCAACACTGTGCTGGCTTTCTGTTCACCCAGAACTCGTTTGGATTCGTTCTTTAGTGGTTAATTTTATGAGTCAATGGGGAAAATGAAACTGGCGTTTTGATGGAAATACCCCGGCTTTGAATTTCACACTTCCCAATAACTTCCCTTTCAATAGTTATATAGCATTGCAAGAATGTATATTACTCGGATTTGGTGCTATCTAAGTATATCAAAGCAATAAAACTTTGTTACGCGTACGAGTATAAGTAAGCAACCAGGAAAAACATATCGAATATAGGAATGGTATTTATATACACTGTCTAAACGTTGGCAATTCCGCAATGGCTCGCCAAGAATATGCACAACATAAGCGTAAAACTTCTCGCTAGGGTAATCTCATCTACAATTCATCTCTATCAGATGACAATCCCTGGAGACCTTGTATGAGTGCGCGCAGGTGCTTGAAATCCGGAGCGTCCTCGCCAAGTCCCCAGGCAAATACACCACCGAGCCCCTTGGATTTGACGATGGAAGGAAACTTGTTCAGGATGGCAGCTGGTGTATCAAATGTCCACCACAGGTCTTCGTCCTCATCAAAGTAATAAAACCCGCCATGGTCTGGGTCATATTGGCCGTCTCTCAAAGCTTTGGCGAACGATGTGCTGACTTCTTCGGGTATGGCATCATGCCAACTAAACCCTCCAGCCCTTCCCAGGTCTGCGCCGGTTCTGGGATCTTCCATCAAGCCAGAGGGACATCCAATTGGGCTTTTGCGACACACGTCATGGTGTTCAGGGGCGATTCGAAAATATTTCACATAGAATGCAAACCCCAGGTTGAGATCTTGAGTACGGGCACCGTTGGAAGCGTATTGATTGATGGCATCGAGTGACAGCTGAACGCCGGTATGGTGTTTGGTGATACTGTCACGCCGATTCATCAGGTCATAGGTCATTACATTGAGAAAGTCGACAGAGTCCATGATCGACGGCAAGGCCGCGGGTGTGAAGGCGAGCATATCGCGAATTAGTCCAGGAACTGCAGCCGAGAGCAGTTTATCTGGAGCCAGAGAGTTCCGAACAGCTGACAATAACAGAGGATATGCTTCAATCTCCCAGGCTTTCTCCGCGTTGGGGACTTGTTTGTAATCCTCCCCATTGCCGCTATTTCTGTTAGAAGGAACCCATCATAAGCAAGAGGGAAGTCTATGCGTACCCTGGATATTCCCAGTCGATATCGACACCATCTGCACCAGTGGACTCCACCATGGCTGCGACATTTCTAGCGAATCTCTGTCTAGACTGTTCGGTACGTGCTGCCACGTCAAAGCCTTCGGTATCGCCCCAGCCTCCTATGGCAACCATGATCTTGGTGTCAACAGGAAACTTTCTGCGCGTGTCGTTAACCGACATGAAGATGGGCCAATCCGTCTGAGACCCGTTGGAGTTGAAGCTTGAGGATTGCATAAAAGCAAGAACAACGTGTGTGATCTGTGAGCTGAGGCTTGGGTCAGAAATCACGGGATGTTGTCTATGAAAACGCGTCAGCTAATGAGACAGTAAATACGATCAATTGATGTTCGAAGAGAAATTTTCTCACCCGGTCAGATACATAATATTACGAAGAATTGCAGCGGCAGGCCATGCTGGAAATATCATGGCCACAAGCAGAAGAGATAGCTTGCGGGCGAATCGCGAGGTCATCATCTTGACTCTTGGCGGCGTCCGACGCTCTGGTGAAAACAGGGGAGCCGAGGTCGGATTATTGCTATAGGCTGATCGCGACCATAACGAGACCGAACACTGTTCAAATCACCAGCGGAGGTTTTTATGTTGTCGTGGAATGGAATGTTGTGCACAACTTAAATCGGCGACTTCAAATGTTGACTCTAATCAGATGAACGTTTAGTCCACCACGCCCGACACCTGGACAGTTGCAGACTTCCGATTCTGTACTTGGTGCTTGTCAGGACTAGTCAGGACTCCAGCCATTCGCCTAGTAAACACGGGACTCATCGAATGAAACATGGTACCGAGTACAAACTAAAAGTTGCATTGTAGGTACATCAAGGTAGGTACATATGTAACTACCCCGCCACGCCGACTGCCCCGCACAATTGAACCGCATTATGCTTGTCACCATTGAATTCGAATCACAACGATGAAATGTATCACTTCACAGCTTCATCAGGGTAAGGTTACTAGGTAGTATACTCTGGTATTAACCTCGACGCAGATATCCCGGGAATATATTTTAAGAAATCAAGGCAGTAGCATGGTAGATTATGCATTCTAAAGCTGTCAGCACACTGGCGTGCAGCACTGAGGTAAGTACAAAATACAAACCATCATGTGGCAATGAGTTCCTACCCACGGGCAAAGGCGTCAAAAGCAATGTTTGTTACAAGAGTTCTGGCCGTGAACAAGCCGTGCCCCATGCGTGGTCTGTTTGAAGTTCATCGTAGACTGAGCATTATGTCATCTTCTTATGACATCGAGAGTGCTTGACTTGTCAGGATAAGTGAATCATTAATTGCTGTTTTTCATTCGTCCCTTCCAAATACGAACTGAACTTTGACATCGTGTCCAGATATGTTACTCTGACATTATAGAAGATCAAAACACCACCGAAATACTCGAAATTTTACTTTCAATGGTTCAAAGATTAGCAGCCGTTTGCTATGCTTTGACTATTACAGCGGTGGCCGCCAAAACTAGATGGGCTTCATTCCTTGATTGGGTTGGGCAACGCCAGCGACCTGGCTTGCTTGTGATGCTTGGAGTTTGTTAACGCAACAAGCGGAGATACACCAGCATGGATTCTTCAGATCAATCAAAGCAATCCATTGAAGTTCAGCGGCTTGAGAGCGACCTACCTGTATTGACGATTTCGGCCCTCACGCCAATAGGACTACGATATGCCTAAAGTACAATCTCTGTCCTCTATCGAAACAACGCCCGTCTTATGCGCAAAGCTGGAGCAGCACACATGGTTGCACTCTCCGCACACCTACCTATCCCAAAGTTCCAGCATGTGCTGTGCATCCTGCAAGAAAACCCCTGTCCCACTAACGAAGGGTGCTGCGGGCCGGGAGTCTTCGACCCAGATTGTCGGGATAAAAGATTACTGTCTCCATGTCCTACGCAGAAGGTCGTTCCAAATCACACACTACGACTTGATTATGCCACGCCAGACTATATCGTTCGCGAAGTCTTTGAGATAAGAGTTTGATTGTGGGCATATCGATCAAGCCACAGAGAAGGGGTGCACCTCGTCTTCTCGTACGATTGGATCAGCCACGCAGGGACAACACCTCGTGCTGCAATTGCGAATCCCATGGCTTCCTCGCCTTACTCGCTGCCATGGGACGATGTCGATTCGAGCACTGGTATTGAGGCTGGCAATCAGGATGACGCCAATGAAGACGAAGAGGACTTTGAGCCCTCGCTGTTTGACATCGAGTCTGCCAGTGCCTTTGGAAGCATCACGTCTAGTGTGCTTCGTCATTCGTATGAGAACGGCCGTCGGGTAAGAATCCTTTCTATTGGCGCACCGACAGGCATGCCCCCTGGCTGACGAACCACTGGGAGCAAAGTACCACAAGTTCAGATACGGGACGTATCCCATTCCCAATGACGATACTGAACAGGCACGCGACGAAATGAAGCATGTTGCAACATTGGAGCTGACCAGGTACAATTCTCCCACTCATCCTCCGTGTTGTTTCGCGTTAGACACAGCTGATTCTAGTTTGCAGTGGGAATTTATATTTTGCACCTCTAGGAGAGTCTCCACAGAAGATAATGGACCTAGGGACCGGAACTGGTTCTTGGGCCATTGCAAGTACGCGTCTCTCCTTTCCCTCTCTCCTCTATCGCGGCTGGTCTTTTTTGTCTTCCTTTTTTTCATCTTATGTAGTTCTTCTCTTGCCTTTGTTATCGCCACAGACAACTAATGAGAGTCAGTGGCGGACAAGTTTCCGAGCGCCGAGGTGATTGGGCTCGATTTAAGCCCTATCCAGGAGCCCTGGATACCTCCGAATCTGAGGTTTATCGTTGAGGACATCCATGACCCCTGGCTCCATGGCGACGACTTTGATATGATACATTTCAGACACATCAGTCTCTTCTTGCGAGATTTTGACTCGGTTGTCACCAAATGCTTTGAGTGAGTCACGCCGTTTTTTTTCTTGCATTCCCTGCACTAGAAGACCACTGACGGGTCCTTGTTTTCCAAGTCATCTCCGACCTGGTGGCTGGATAGAATTGCAGGAATTCGGCGCGTATGCAAAATGCGACGACGGTACCATGAATGAAAATTCTCCCTTTGCTCTCTTTATGAACAAGGTTGACGAGGCGCTGAGTAAGGCCTATGGCTTCCAGTGGCGCGTGGCCAACATGATGGATGCCATCCTCAAAGCCCACGGATTTGTCAATATTGGCTGCAAGAAATTCAAGGCACCACTTGGAAGATGGCCCAAGGTTAGTTGAGGATATACCCTCAAGTACATTCTTCGCTTGAAATTCTTTAGCAGACTGACAGCAGCGTAGAACAAGAAACTGCGCCTCATTGGCGGGTATATGAGAGATATTACATCAGATCTCATTGACGCCATGGCCGCAAAGCCACTGAGGCAGATTATGGCTGGAAACGAGGTTGAGAAGCTTGCTGAAGCAGCAAAAGAAGAACTAGCAGATCGGGAGTCGCACATATATGTCGATTATTTTTTCTGGCATGCCCAAAGACCGCAAGCGATATAAGCTGGTAGTTTTGCCCGTGAAAATGCAAACCCATGGAAATCATCGAGGTGCTTGCACGAGTATTAGAGATAGGCCAAAACAATTAATATCCAGGACCACGATCCACCTACCCTCCAAGGTAGAATTCTCGCGTTGCAGTGCGACAGGATCTACTTTCACCATCATGCTGTAATCATATAGGGACACAGAAAAGGATCAAACTTCGTCAGAAGTCCATGGTAGAATACATGAATGTGTGCAATTTTAAGTCATTCCCCTCCCTTTTTCTCGCCGCATGAATCATTGTTCTTTAACCGCTGCTGCCTTCAAAGTTGGAAGTTGAGACACTTGTAGAGCTCAACATTGAATCTTCCATTATTCAAATGGAAATGTACCTAAGGTTAGTAGTGTCCTAGCATTCAATGTTCTTTCCTGCTAGTGAGCACCAGTACTAGTATACATCGCGAATTTGAACGAACCCCGCCAACAAACCCAATTGACGGTGCCAGTTGGGATGTAGCTCGTGGAGTCAGGTACATTCAAGCTCCCCGAGCTAAAGCTGCGCTATAAGAATTCGGAAATTTTCCGCTGCGCAGGGTACCTAGCATTAAGCCATGGAAGTAGGAGGGAGGAAAAAAAAAAAAAAAACCAGCCTCACGTCAAGGGACGACTGTGAATGAAATATCACCGCCATCTGAGCACTGGTTGTAGGAACCGGCAGATTGAGGTCCATTGGAAACATCTTCATCACCCAATTGATCCACTACGAGGTCCCAAGATGCTAGAGAACCTCTGCACGCTCCCACTCAGTGCTGAGCTCTTCACGCAAGCCATCCACCCGACCGAGCCTCTGCTGGCCACCGGGTTGTCCACCGGCCACGTAGAATGCTTCCGACTGCCCGCTTCCGATAGAAGCATTGATGACGACGCTTCCGCCGATGTAAGCGTCTTGTCAGACGGCAAAGGCACGATCGATACCATCTGGAAGACGCGACGACACAAGGGCAGTTGTCGAGCTCTGGGTTTCAGTCTTGATGGTTCTGGTACGCATGCCCTCTTGTACTTGGTCACCTAGCTTATGCCTGCCAGCATGCATATAAACCCGTTCTGATTGCTGACCTGGCACATGATTTGCAGCCCTCTACTCTGCCGGCACCGACTCCATTGTCAAACACTTCTCGCCCACGACCGGCCAAGTGGCTTCCAAGATTGCTATTCCCGACCACAACAACTCCGCCGATGCTCCGACTCTTCTCCATGTCCTATCGCCTCAGACACTTCTCTTGGGCTGTGACTCGGGTGCTCTACACCTCCTCGACCTACGAGATCACGCTCTGGCATCCAATAAACCTCAGCAGACACACCTCCCGCACTCAGACTTTGTATCGTCCATAGCTCCACTGCCTCCCAGCGATACCAGTACAAGCGGTTATAGCAAGCAGTGGGTGAGTACCGGGGGCACTACCCTAGCAGTGACGGACATACGCCGTGGTGTCCTTGTCAGGAGTGACGACCAGGAGGATGAACTCCTTAGCGCGGTTTTCGTGCCTGGTCTGGGTCCCAAGAAGAATAGGGACAATGGCATAGTTGCGGTCGGCACTGGCACTGGTGTACTGACTCTCTGGGATAAGGGTGCATGGGATGACCAGACCGACCGCATCATTGTCGATCGGGAGGGCGAAAGCCTCGACTGCATGGCACAACTGCCCGAGACCATCACCTCTGGAAAGAAAGTCGCTATTGGTGTTGGAGATGGAACCGTAAGAATTGTAGACCTCTCGAAACGTGAAATCGAGAGCACACTACAGCATGACGAGGTTGAAGCTGTCGTCAGCATTGGGTTTGACTGTGAGGGACGCATGATTAGTGGTGGTGGCACAACAATCAAAGTCTGGGAGGAAGCCGCCGTGGCAACTGGAGATGACAGTGACAATGTCGACGGAGAGGACGATTCAGACGATTCAGACGATTCAGACCACGGCGATGACGACTTGGATGATTCTGACGGAGACGGCGGCGAGGCATCCAACAACTCGAAACGCGCCGCGGACAGCGAGGACGATTCCGATTCGGACAGCGACGCCGGATCACGGAGGAAGGGAAAGAAGAAGCGCAGAAAGGGCAAGGGCCAGGTGGATTTGGGACCCCATGGTGCTCACGGTATTCTCAAGTTCAAGGGACTATGATCATGCACGTTTGCCATCTGCCCGTATTGTCGCAGGGAGGCAATTCTTTTCCATCTCATTCACTAGGAATTATGATACCCAGAATACTGGCGCTTTACCCGTAGAAAAGGGATTAATGCTTGTTTGAGACCACTCGAGCTCTAGTTGTAGTTGATCAGATACATTCCTGTGCCTATCACGCACGGGAATCTCGCCTGGTTCTACGACAACCAATGGTTGAGAACAACTCCTCGCGGAATCCAATCTTTCTCTCCCGTCTTCCCTTTCATCTGGCCATGTCTATGGCAATGCTCATGCCCTCTCCTTGATCTTCATATGTTTGGCTGCAAACTCGAGGGCAGCCTGATATCCAAATACGCCAAGACCGCAAATCATGGCCACGGCTTTGTCCGTAAAGTAGCTGTGATGTCTGAAGCTTTCTCTCGCATGCACATTCGAGACATGCAGTTCCACAAATGGTATCTCGACTCCCAGTAATGCATCTCTGATAGCCACGCTTGTGTGGGTGAAGCCGCCTGGGTTGATTATGATGGCATCCACATTGCCTCGGGCCTCTTGGATTCGGTCAATGATGGCACCCTCGTGGTTGGATTGAAAAGTGGCAACCTTGACCGAGAGCTGGGCCGCCTGCTGTTGAGCTGCTGCTTCCACATCTGCAAGCGTGGTGCTGCCGTAAATGTGTGGTTCCCGTGTTCCCAAGAGGTTCAGATTCGGGCCGTTGATGATGAGAATTGAGCGAGGCATTGTCAATCAAGAGAGAAAAGAGAAAAAGAGACAAGAAGCTGGGAAAGAGAAGAGTGATAGACTGGATGGCTGGTTGAATGGCTTCTAGGTCTACCTAGATATATCTGAGTGTGGAATGCCCGCGTTTTATTTCGTATGAGTATGTCTTCACGGTACACTGCATATCCGTTACAACGTAGACAGCATACCACATTTTCCGAAATAGGTATCCATATATTGTGTGGTAGCTACCTCTACCTACCCATCCACAGCTCCAATACCTCGCTTGTTCCCCAATCCTCAGCCTTCCCCATAGATCCCCGCATCGGCAGCTTGGTCTACTGTGCACAGTGGCTAAGCGTTTTGCCGCTTTGCGAAGACATGGAGACGCAGTGGTTCGTTAGCCTAGTGTCTTCTCGAGTCAGATACCCACCTTGACCGGAGCATTGACCGCATGACACAAGAAGAAAGTGTCTTGAGGAGGGGACGACAGTCGCTTTGCAAAGACCAGGGCTTACTAGGTATGTACCGTGCCAGAACCACACCGTGTCAGCAGTCCACACAGTAAACCGAGTACACACCGAGCCTCTCGAATTCTGTCGCCTTGTCTGGCAGCACGGCTCTATTCCGATCACGGCTGCCACTTAACCACCACCTTACGATCTTTCACTCATTTTTTTTTACACCATGTCGGATCTCAGTGCCTTCGAACTCGAGGAGATTTATGCCTTTGCTGTACAATTGGGCAAGGATGCTGGGGCACTGTTGATGAGCTTTGCTCGTGCCAGATGGAGCTGCAACGGAAACACAGACGACGCCATCTCCGAGAAGGATAGTTCGGTTGATATTGTCACCAAGGCCGACAAAGGCAAGTACTTTGGCATGGTCACTGAAGATCTCAATGGCGTAAGAGAATGCGGAGAAGGAAGTCAAGCTAATTTCATCATTAGATGTTGAGGCATTCATTAAATCATCGATTGAGAAGAGATTCCCGTTGCACAAGTGAGTCACACCTTTATTGTGAGCAAACAGGTCATATGCAATGCCAATAGCCATTTGACACTTGGTGGTATTCACAGGTTTATTGGCGAAGAAACGTACTCTGAGGGAGCCACTCGGGAATATCTCATTGGCGATGCACCGACATGGTGCATTGACCCGCTGGATGGTACTGTAAACTTTACGCATCTGTTTCCCATGTTTTGCGTCTCCATTGGCTTCATTCACAGAGGAGTGCCCGTGATTGGTGTAATTAATGCACCTTTCTTGGGCCAATTGTTCTCGTCGTGTCGAGGTCGGGGCGCATGGCTTAATGAGACACAACAACTCCCATTGATAAGAAACCCTGTGCCTCCCATGCCGGCCAAAGCTCCTAGCGGCTGTGTCTTCTCTTGTGAATGGGGAAAGGACAGAAAAGACCGTCCCGATGGCAACATGTATCGCAAGGTAGAGAGTTTTGTCAACATGGCCTGCGAGCTGGGAGGACGTGACGGCAAGGGAGGCATGGTACATGGGGTGCGAAGTCTTGGCAGCGCGACCCTCGACCTAGCGTATATCGCCATGGGCTCCTTTGATATATGGTGGGAGGGCGGCTGCTGGGAATGGTACGTTTTCCTGTGAATTGATGAGCGCAAAGTGACTGACCTGAGCATAGGGATGTTGCAGCAGGCATTGCCATAGTCGAGGAAGCAGGCGGGCTCGTGACGACAGCAAACCCACCGAATGACTACGATTCAGCTCCTATTGAACCTGCCCGGCTTGGCAGTCGCCTATACCTAGCAATCCGACCAGCTGGTCCATCTGCAACAGAAACGGGGCGGCTTTCACAAGAGCGCGTGGTCCGAGAGGTGTGGAAACGTGTCCGACAGCTTGACTATGCCCGACCAGGGGCATGAGATGGTATCAATAGACGCTATACCAAGATTCTATATACACAGATTTATGCTATTTTCGAGTGCTCCCATCACTTATCTATCGTGATTATGCCTCATGTATGTTCATTCACGTTCGTCCCAAGACCTGACAACCCCAAATGGCCTTTATAGCTTGGAAATTTGCGACAGACGCGCGGCAATGACTTCCTTCGCTCGGTTGACCGGGAGTTCATGAAGCTGGAGGCCGGTCCAGTATCTGTCCTGCTCAAGACCCTGCCAGATGAGGGCCTCGGTGCCGAGGATAACTTGCCAGCCTTCACGTTCGGCAATGCCACCAATTTCAGTGTAAGGGTTGGGGTTGTAGCACATTTCCAAGATGCTTCCTTTCCTGTCCTTCTTGAAAAATGTCTCGATGATACTTCTGGCGGTAATTTCCTCCTGTGTGACCGGGGGAAAGTCTGGAACACACGAGACAATGGCTCCAGGAGCCTCGAGCGCTTCTGCCTGCTCAACCGTCGCAACGTGGACCAGCCTGTCACCATAGCCCCGGGCCAGGCATTCGGCGATAACAGCTTCAACCTCACCTGCATCGCGATTGACCAAGTAGATCTTTGTAGCTCTCATCCATTTCTGTAGAGCATAGACTGCACTCCGGGCAGCACCACCACCCCCAATGACCATGGCAGGCTTGTCATGAAAGATAGTGTCAGGACTGGTGACATTTTGGTAAAAAGACTCCTTGATTCCAACCACATCTGTATTAGTGCCACACAGGATGCGTTTGCCATTTTCTTCCCGGAAGAAGACCGTGTTGCATGCTCCAACTTCGCTGCACTCTTCTGTCACTTCATCCAAATGCGACATGATGGCGACTTTGTTGGGCATGGTCACGGAAGCGCCTGATACAAATTAATCATAATTCATCAAGGCGCCAAAGTGGAAACCTACCATAGAAATTTGGATCTTGGGTTAACTGCAAAAATTTCGGGATATCACTCGACTCGAACAATTCTTGCTCCCAATCCAGTCCCAATTCTTCATAGATGGTCTTGTGTAGCAATGGTGACATGGATGCGCTGATCTTCAGACCAAAGAGATAGCCATGACGGTGAACTTCTGTAGGTTGTGAGGCTACGGAGCCAGTGTCGATTTGTGTAGTCGCCATAATAGCTGGTGATTGATTTTACCTGGGTGTATGCTTGATGTTTGCGTCCACTCGAGAAGGTAAAGATATACAGCGCACTTGAAATGCCTAGACTTGGATCGGATTTTCAGAAAATATTTTGCAACACGGAAAATGCACAAGGCCGAGGTAGAGGTTTACTATATGTACGAAACTAATTCTCATGGGGGAGGAGAAGCATTTTTGCTGCCCCCAACCGGGCCGAGACTATAATGGAGCCGCTGTGGAGCTTCACTTTATCCTCTTCCCAGGCACGAAGTGATTGGATCAGGGAGCAGGTAAATACGTATGAGGGCACTTCGTCACTTGCAATGGTAGCGGAGTTTTGGTCTCCGGGGAAAACGACGCTTTCTGGGGATAGGCAACTCACATGGATTGATTGGCTTTGATCAAGTTTAGGTAATCGAGATTATGCTGTAAATCCAATGGGATACCTCCCAACTGCCATTACAGCCTTTGGGTATATGCTTTTCCGGTCCCTGCCAATGATCGCCTTGGCGGTTAGTACACGTGCTCAGCGGTTGGCTTGTGCGTGTTTGGGGCTCCACTGGATGAACGTTTAGGCGACGGTTCGGGCTCCGGTGTTTGCGGCAGATGTTGGTGCGGGATCGTGGCGTAAGATGGTAGCATGGGCGGCCGAGCAGCCAAGCATGGGCGGTCGAGCAGTCTAGCTTTTTCTAGTGCTCTTGGCCTGACACTAGGTAGACACACCATAACAAGCCATGACTCGGTTGGGACAACTGGTGATGAATCGTCTCGCTTTTAGCACTTTCAAGTGGCTGAAAGCAGCTGAAAGAAGTGCGGCCAGGCTTTTGAAGAACTCCAATTGGGCTCCATTGTAGTGAGGAAGAACAGATATCCAGATAATTTTCTCCTGATCATGATTCCCCCAACTTTGCAGTCTCGCTAACCCCAGATCTCGCCAGTAGAGTTGTGAAATGACAGTGGACACAACGTGCTACCCCAGACTTCTAGACCACGAGGAGCGTTGGGCCCCTTGTTACGATTCCAAATCCTTGGGTCTACCATTTCCTAATCTGTTATAGACCAACCCCAGATAGGTGTCTGTGTCCGGGGCCCCGGATTTCATTATAAGAACGACATTGTCGCGATGACTAAATTCAACTTCTCCCTTGTGCTTATCACTTCGCCATCACTCATCCCATTGCCTGGAGATTCTACTTAACTGGGGCTCCCCAGACCATCTCTGCGCTGTCCAGCTCAGAAGTCCGACTTCTATCTTCATTTGCAACTTCGCAACATCACGCCTACTTGATTGTCGCTTCATTAGTGTTTTCAAGATGGGTATCCTTTCAGTGGTCGAGGATCGACCTACGCCAAAGGCCGTCTACAACTGGCGAGTGTACACATGCGCTGCTGTCGCATCTTTTGCATCTTGCATGATTGGTTACGACTCTGCCTTTATCGGAACTACCCTCTCCTTGCCGTCTTTCAAGTCGGAATTCAACTTCGCTAGCTATTCTTCCGAGCAGCTTGCTCTCGTGTCAGCCAACATTGTTTCAGTCTACCAAGCCGGAGCCTTCTTCGGCAGTCTGTTCGCTTATGTATCCAACTGGTTTCTTGGCCGGAGAAAGTCACTATGGCTTTTTGTTTCCATCTTCATTTTGGGCGCTGGTTTGATGTTGGGCGCAAACGGGGAGCGCGGACTCGGACTCATTCTCGGTGGACGCGTCCTCGCCGGTGTAGGAGTTGGAGCTTGTAGCACAACGGTAAGTCTCGCCGGAATCCTGTTTCTAGCCCGGCAATTCTTCAGCTTCATAGCGACTGACTTGGTCAAATGTGCAGGTTCCTATTTACATTTCCGAGCTATCCCCTCCTGCCGTGCGTGGCCGATTGGTCGGCATCTATGAGCTGGGTTGGCAGATCGGTGGTCTGGTTGGCTTCTGGATCAACTATGGTGTCAACACGACCATGGAACCGAGCCACAAGCAATGGCTGATTCCTTTTGCCGTCCAGCTCATCCCCGCCGGTTTGTTGATGATTGGTGCACTCTGGATCAAGGAGTCACCCCGATGGCTGTTTTCAAAGGGTCGACGGGAAGAAGCCATGGCCAATCTCTGCTGGGTGCGAAACCTTGATGTCAATGACCTCTACATCATCGAGGAGGTGAACTACATTGATGAGGACCTGGACCGCTACAACAGAGAGGTTGGTCCTGGCTTCTGGAAGCCTTTCGCCGCTCTCAGGCAACCAAAGGTCCTGTACCGGTTCTTCTTGGGCGGTATGCTTTTCCTCTGGCAGAACGGATCTGGCATCAACGCCATCAACTACTACAGCCCTACGGTTTTCAAGAGCATCGGTATCACTGGTACAAACACGAGCTTTTTGACAACCGGTATCTTTGGAGTCGTCAAGACCGTGGTCACTTTTGTGTAAGTCAACTTTTTCCAAATTCGATGTGCTGAATTCAGAATGTGTAAGCTAACGTGGAAAAGCTGGCTTCTCTACCTGATTGATCATCTTGGTCGTAGAAGACTATTGATGATTGGCAGTGTTGGTGGCTCTCTTTGCATGTGGTTCATTGGCGCATACATCAAGATTGCCAATGTATCAGGAAACCCCACTGGTCAACTTGACAGTGGTGGTATCGCTGCTATATTCTTCTTCTACCTGTGGACAGCCTTTTACACCCCCAGCTGGAATGGTACCCCCTGGGTCCTCAACTCTGAAATGTTCGACCAAAACACTAGGTGAGCTTCTGACCTTTATGCTACTTGCAATCACTGTCATATATGCATGGACAAGGGCTAATTCTTTTACTACAGAGCATTGGGACAAGCTTCTGCTGCTGCCAATAATTGGTTCTGGAACTTCATCATCTCCAGATTCACCCCTCAAATGTTCTTGACCATGAAGTACGGAGTGTACTTCTTCTTTGCATCCATGATGATTCTTTCAACCGTCTTCGTTTTCTTCCTTATCCCTGAAACCAAGGCAGTCCCTCTCGAGGCAATGGATCGACTCTTCAATGTAAAGCCGGTACGCAAGGCCAATAAGACTATCATGGAAGAGCTTAGGGTTCAGGAGGAAGAGTTCAGACACAACGTCGATGGTGTTGACCTGAAGGAGGGAAACAAGCGCGATGTTGAGCAAAGGGAGGTAGCATAATGAGGCTACTTTCTAATGCAAGATCCAATATGAATGTCTGAGGATGCACGGCCCTGCGCCATGTTCCGAAGAACTTAATGTGGTAGTAATAAAGATGATATTGGAGATGACTGAACATTGATCTTCAACTTGGAATGGCGTGACCTGTTCTCTGCTGTGTCAACGTCTCGAGCACCTGTCTATCGCTGTTATAATGGAGAGGTGAGACAAGAAATTTCACCAATGATTGAGATAAAACGCCTACAGAACATATACACGTCTTTTTCATTCATTTTAAAAAGCGCTCAACAAAATAAACTCTCTTCTGCTAATGCACATCATCAATTCGGAATCACAATCCTTTTCTTCTTCTTCTTCTTCTTCTTTTAAGCATCTTTTAATAGAATGCATAGGCATCTCAACTTCAAGAAGTGGTTTATTTATTGGTATCAAACGAGCTAAACTGCCTAATCTCAAGAGACACAATGCTCAACGCGTTTCTCATGTAGCCTCAACCCCAGGGGAGAGAGGCTGGGAAAAGAAAGAAAATAGCATAATACAAAGCCAAATGGTGAAACATAGGGATGGTTCATGGCTAGAGAGATGCTGTTATCCTTTGTGGCAGCTGAGGTCTGTCGACATTCAAGTTCATGTCCTGCACTAATTTTGCCCATGATGCGGCTCCTCGACTTGCCAACTCTCTTGGGACATTCGTGTCTTGTTCTGACATCCTCCTGTTGAAAAGCTCAAGGCTGACCCAGCCCTCGTATCCGAGACCCTGAAAAATGGCCTTGGAGATCTCGACAACTGGCAGGTAGGCACCGCGATCCTTCTCGCCGTAGAACAATCGGCAGTTTCTCGACCAACTCATTCGACACGGTTGCTCTGCATCGTAGAATTTGTGGCCCTGAACGAGAGGCTCTTGTAATCTTTCGGCGTCCACAACCTGGACATAGAATACTTTGCTGACGTCTACGTCGGAGAGAAGTCTGGCTATCGACTCCGTGACGGCCTGTTCGGCATTGGGCGTCTTGCCTGTCTCGGAGGATGGATCCGCATAGATTCTACCAGCGATGTTGAAAGTATCGAGACATATTCCAAAGTTTGGTCGATCGACCGCTTGTACAATCTCCCAGCTCTGTTCCCAGTGGTCGACTCGTGTTCCCCAGCAAAGCGCCTCGTAGACATATCTGATCGGTGGGTTCTCCTTGAGGCCCATATCCGCCACTATTTGCAAATCCGATACAATAAGATCCCTGTCTTCCGTCACCTGAGAAGCAGGAAGAAAACTTGACGGGATCTGCACAATGTCGGTACCAAGGACCTTGGCAAGTTGAAACCAGAACTTGAGCTGCTCGAGGCGTTGTACATGTTGATCCCGATCGACAAGGCCTTCATATCCCGCAAAAGGTTGCAAACACAAGATGGATAAACCCCGTTCGATACACATGTCGTGGATGATTTCTGCGGCTTCTAGTTCGTTCTCCGCGGTCGATTTGTTGTGTAATTGGCTTGCAATGTCTGCCAGATCTTCGTGGAAGAGCTCAATGCCTTTGTAACCATACGCTCGGGCCATATCTAGCTTATGCGCGAAAGAGTGGCCTGCCCAGCAGCGGCCCAAGGACATGGACGTTATTGCTAGTTGACAAGGCATAGTGAAGGTGCTGTGTAGCTTCGGGATTGCTCAAGATGTCAAGTATAATGGTGTGTGCATAAAAGGAGTAGAAAAATATGGCCGAGAAAACGCAAGTCTTGAAGTGAACTTTGAACAATTTATAGTTATAGTGTCTGGTAGGAGTATATGATTCGCATGTGCTTGCCACACAAGGAGCGTGTGATGCAGAGCAGAGTTGAAGGGACAAGATGTATGTAACCCGGAGATCGATGCTGAATCGAGTGTCAAAATATGCAAGAAATCGTGCAAGGACAACACACGAGACGAACGAGGCTTTAGATATTTGTTGCTGCGATGCAAGCGGGCTACTTGCAGGTGGCTCAAATAGGCAGTTTTGTGGTATTATGGGAAGCAGGAAATATCAAGTTATGTTTGCGTAGACCCCTGGCGAGAGCGTCTCGTTCAGTGGACTAGGTAGACTAGGACAGCTTCAGTATCCATCTTCCGCCCACTACGGCGAAGAATGAAGAGGCATGGGGAAAAGTATACATCCCACCCTCGTAATGTCAATCATCGCTGCAACGCCGCTGTCTTGTTGCGCACTCAATAGTGGTGGAAGGAATCCACGGACCGAGGTGTCCTATTGATGTCATGAGACCAGACGCTGGATAAAGATTTACGCTGGCGACATGGTCGCTCAGTCCCTGGTTCGTCTTTGGAGGGTGGAGAAACAACGGGGCAAGATACCAAAAGCGTAAGCAAGGTGCTATGCACTATTCCGTTCTCTCATAGTGGCATGGTGGGGTTAGCATAGCTGCCAGAGCATTCATTCTTCTTATGGCTGGCGCTTCGAGTAGATGTGGAGGTACCTATAACTTGGATGTGCAACCGCTGCAGATGGCCATAGAACCTCGCATTAGGAGACGAAGCATCTCCCCAAGATCTACGGTGTTAACACCTGGGTATACTCTTCTGCTGACTTATATTTACTTGGATTGGTTGTTCATCATGCCTCGCCAGTGATGTGATTAGATGCGCGATGGTTACTCGTAGGCAAATATAGGCAAATAGGTAGGATACCGCGAGCGCCGTCATCTTCCGGCCTGCTCGCAAATATGTCATGTACGCAGTCGTTTTTACTTGAAGCAGGGCATACATAACAATTGCACTTTCGCGTTACTTACTACGTCGACGCGGAATGTTGAACTGCCCTTCAAAAGATAAATGCGCGATAAGCCCAGGACCTTAAAATTCGACAAAGACAGCAAGTTTTCTCGAATATTTGGTATTTCTGGGACTATTTGGAAAGTCTAGTAGATAGTTTTTAAAATGGTTCGGTGTCTTATGGTTCTTGTTCTACGATGTTTTCCAGTCGAGGCTGGAGCTGAGTCCTAGCCGAATCTCCCTGCCCGCTCGGGTATGATCTGAATACTTCTTCCCTCATTAGTCTCCGCGGTGCTCGCCGGCCAGTGAATAATTCAAACTGTGCGAATCCTTGTTCTGGCAGAAGGTCTAGACCATCCATGGCAACCCAACCAAGGTGTGCCTTTGCGCGTACCTGCTCGAGCAGCGGTGTATTGAGGTACCTGTAGGCGAGCTCGAGAACCACACCGCCCGTGGGGCTGTCCATCCATGCGGGCGGCAGCGTGAATTTCGGCGCCGGAGCATCACCGATATCATGTGTAGGTATGCATGAGATTATGATGGTGGGCATACGGAACTTTTCAGGCCAGGCATCATCCCGTGAGGATATGACGTGGAATTGGGTCTCCGTATCAGAAGCTGGGCTGAGAAGGGGCAGATCGTGTCGGGAAAGAAGCCGTGTGAAATGTGCAACGAGCCTTTCGGCATTCGCGGGCGTCCTGTTATAGATGGCGATGTTCTTGACGCCAAGTTGCAGCATAGCGTAAACAGCCGCTCTCGCCATGCCACCAGCACCGATGACCAGACCGCTGGAACTGGGTCGCACGGCGTTGGCTGGAGAGAGCCCTCTCCTGATGCAAGCACGAATGCCAATCCAATCGGTGTTCTCGCCAAAAAGGGCCAGCACCGGACCAGCTCGATTTCTGAAGTTGAAGAAGATAGCATTGTCTGGGATGGAACCATCTGCATTAAGATGTCTCACTGGTATTAGAGTGTTGACGGCTCCAATGGCCTTTGCATGGCTACTGAGGGAGTGCGCGAGACTAATGACCTCGACTTTAAAAGGTAGGCCTATCGACATGCCTGCGAAAAGGGGATCATGTATGAGGTCGCGGATGTTGCTAAGCGACTCCGTCGAGTGTGGCCGATAAACGTGCGGGATGCCGCATGCTTTCAGAGCAACGTTGTGCATGGCAGGCGACATGCTGTATCCGACGTTTGCACCAACCACATAGAGCTTCATTGCGTCAACGATGAAGGAGGAGTGCAATGCTCTCGTGGCTTCAAAAGCCGTAAGGGGAGGCGGAATGAATAATGATGTTTCGGGTTTCGGATGGTCCATGCCCAGTAAGGATGCTGGTATCACGGGGGTTAGAATCTTGTTATAGCACTGCGAGTTGCGTCCCTTGGACCCCGTGTTAAATGAAATGAGCGGAAGCAGCGGCTCGCCCAGCTGTTCAATGGCATTCCGCAGATACTGTACGTCAAAGTTGTCCTCAATTTGTGTTGCCGGACGCAGCAGACGGACCAAGTCGCATCCAAAATCGCGAGCCTTGCGGTAGAACGACAACCACAGCGGGTCCTTCCATGACGGTGGTTGAGACGTATTCAGGTCGACCGAACCAATGACTTTCGATGTCCCCTTGGACCTGACAATCTGGGAGAAGAGGTAGTCCTCGAGGCGCAGATCGAGGACAATATACTCGGGGGCCAACCGTAAGCCATGCTGGAGGTATTCAACGTAGGTTGTCTTATGCGTGTTGTCCAGCGGGCCTGGGTATGGCCAAATAATATGATAAATAATGGGTATCACAACATTTCTTCTAATGTGGCCAATGACCCTGCTGATTTGGCTAGCTCTGCTTGCACCAAGCTGGGTGCTTGTTCCTTGGATGAAGGCCTCGTCAACAACCACTTCGATTGCGTCAGCACCTGTTTCCAGGTCTTCGATGTTGAGGTTGCTTGAAAGTAGCTTGGACAAGGGCACAGACATGGCATATGTATACTGTCGCTTCTCAGTAGGGATGGAGGCCAGTGGAAAGGCAGACTCGATATAGGGAATGGATCCCTTGGGCATAATCAGAGCCAAGTAGCGTAAGAAATGCCTTTCAGCTCTCTTCAGCGTCAAATAAGGCGCTGGAGACTTTTGTCCATCGTCTTGGCCCAGCGCAGCCGCCTCTGTAAGATTTGGATCCTCTGACGTGGAAATGCCTTCGGAAACGTTGAAAATCTCAAAGTTTGCAAAGGCGCGGAATGCATGTGTTAGGTAATCAAGGAGTTCCCGAAATGTTTCTATATCGGTTACACCCAGATATCCAGCAATAGCTTCCTCGTCTCTCACAACATGTATTACGGGGTGTGAAGCCGCAAACTCCACGAGGAGTTCTTGGACAGATCGCTCGACCCAAGATGACACGATTATGCAATCCTTCTGGTGTCGAACGAGTATGCTTTCGAGGACGGCGTACTGGCGTTGTCTGTATTCGAGATTGCCGTGCTTCTTCTTGAAAGCGGCCGTCGAGAGGCCCGTCGCATCGAAGAATGCTTGTTCCGTTTCGACAATGCGCCGCTTCATAGCCGCCGAGGCAATTATAGCCAGAGTAGATTTTCCAGATCCACGCACGCCGACGAGCACAATGGACGAGTCGGGCGCAAATTGTGCAGGAATCGGCATCCTCGCCATATTCAGGCTTGGGGAACTGCTGGCGGTTCGGGGAGTCGTAGTACCGGCTGTGATATAAGAATATCAATTTCCTCTGTCCACACACTAAAATTTCAGGAGTGGCATGGCTTACAGTCAACTTTGGAGGGGCACTCGCTAGTAGCATGTTTCCTCTGGCGTGCTGGTGCTTTTGGTAGTCGATCGCTGTCACTGCCCCACGAATGGCTTAAGCCCGCCAACTGGGCATTTGCCGCGGCCATCTCCCCAAAGGACCGCTTGACTCCTGCTAAGCTCGGTGCCGCCATCGTTCCTACAAGACAAGGAATGAAGGAGCAAAGTGTTTGCGTGGGCAATCAGAGCAGTCGGAGGAGTGCCTGTGGGACATCGTCGAGCCAGTTTCGAAGAAATCGTGGATGCCCTTGGCGAGAAACCAAAAAGGAAGCCTCCAGCGTTCTCTTGGCTTATGGGGATGGGAGCTCGAGAAAGGCCAAAGGACCTTGTTGACTCAGGTTGCCATTCAGGAAAGAGTCTCTTTGGTTTGTGATATTAGAAAGATCACTGAATGGAGTTCAATGTTGCTCAAATGGGGTTCCCCAAACTGTCGTAACGTATGATATGGTCGGTTACAATTAATGTGATGCTGCTTCATGTTGGAGGGATCTCTCACTACAAGAATACCTAGAAGGAGGGCCGGGTTCCCTTGAAGAAACCCCAGAAAATGCCAAGAAGAACACTAACTGGAGTCTAACAATCCGGCCTAGTAGTAACATGGTAAATGCGAGCTGGCTGTTGGCAGCAGCCCATAGTGGATAAACACTTACCCCAAGAAATACCACCGTGCGGTCCACGGCCAGGGTTTCCCCACGCGGCGGTAGTCCTCACCTAGATGACATGGTGGAAGCTCGAGGGTTCACAACATCGATATTGATGATCCTCTCAATGAGGAAGCATCGATAGAGCGTCTGCCTACCCACGATCTAAAGCTGGACGTGAAGAGAGGTGCCCACGCGGGTTCCTTGAGCAGTGTGGCTTACGCACTCACTATACGGCGATGCTGTCCGTTATAGACAGGGCGTCCGCGATGCTGGAGACGCCACAAGGGTCATCAATCAACTTAGACGACGCAGCATCAGGTACCTAATTCCTAATACGAGCGGAGAGAAAATGTCAGCAGAATCGAGCTCGAACAAGAAGATGAAGCGGCGAACCGGCAACGAGGAAGATGCGCCTGCCGAAGCACAGCCCCGGACGGCTCCGAAGCGACAGCGAGTGTCGAGAGCATGCGATCAATGCCGCGCCGCACGAGAAAAATGTGATGGAATACATCCACTATGCTTCCCCTGCGCTTCGCAGAATAGAAAGTGCACCTGGGAAGAACCAAAGAAAAAACGGGGCGTGCAGACAGGCTACATCCGGACCCTAGAGCTGTCATTGGGTTGGATATTTGATAAAATCCCTGGGTCGGAAGAAGCACTTCATGGACTTTTGACGCACGAAGGAGGTCAGGGGAGGGACTTACTTGTCGGGAAGGATACAATTGCCGGGAATCGGCTACACAGAAGATGGAGAAAGAGTATGGTTCAACAAGAGATTGACCGGGTACTGTCTGGGAGCACCGCGTCGAGTGCCAAGTCGGCAAAGACCTCGCCAGCCGTCGACGAGTCCGAGAGCAGTGCAGACGAGGCAGAGCTGCCTCTCAAGGAAGAGACATCGTCGGCCGCGAATCCGGCGCCCATCATGGCCATTCCCGAATCGATGGAGTCCATGACTGCGGCCCTACATCCTGACCGGCTTGTCTCGAACGGGCCGCCGGAGCTGCCAGCAGGCCTTGCCGATCTCCCGATTCGTCAACGCCAACTTGCACAGTATGCTTCAAACACCTTCAAGCTGCCGTCAAATTGCTGGCGACTATTGGATATTTACTTTTCTTATACTCACTGTTGGTTCCCTATACTAGAAAAAGGCATGATACACAAAGCTTGTTGGTCATATCCCGGCGAAGGCTTGGACATGACCAAAGAAGAACTGTTCCAATCAGGCCTACACGCTGAACTTTGGGCCGCCTTGGCTATTGCCGCATACCAAGACGATGCCAGCCATTCTGGCCAAGCACATGGTGACCGCCTCGAGGGGCGGCTACAGCCGGATGAGATATATAATGCAGCAAGGCGTTTGATTCCTTCGGAAGATCGCGACTTTGACGCTCGTCATGTCAATGCGATCCTTCTTCTTGCCCTCGTTGACATTGGGCGAAGGAAATACATGGCTGCTTGGATCTTAGTGGGCCTGGCAACACGAGTTGCACTCGCTCTTAATCTGCCGGCGAGACCCGCTGGCGATGGCTATCGACGCCTTTACCATACTTATATGGCTTGCTTCATGCTCGACAGCCTCATTGCGTCTCTTTTAGAAAAGCCGCCGCATTTGCGGCCGAGTGATATCGATTCTTCGGTACCTTCTGGTGAAGACGAGCCAGATGAATGGGACATCTGGATGCCTTGCCAGGGCTTCGGGACTACACAACATTCAAGCTCTCCGAGAAGCCCTGCTCACTCCATGAGCTCTTTTGCTGCCCTGTTTGGGGTACATCGAGTATATTGCACAGTTTTATCCGATACGAAAATTCATGTGGACCGCAATGAGTTATACATGACGGAAATGCGCAAAGCTCTCAATGGGAACCAAACCCGACGACCACTCGTCGACTACATTACAAACGGCGGCATCCCTCCTTACCAGGTCCCTTCCATCTATCTTCTCCGCTTGGCATTCGTATGTTTTACAGTCCAAGCTCAGTCTTATAGCGAGCCGCTGATGTCCGCTGCTCTTCAATGTATTGAAGAACTTCTTCTCCTCTTTGGTTCCGCAGTTCCGCCGCTATTTGGGCTTTACATGGAGCTTCTCGGTCGGCAGTGCAATCCTGAAGCATTAAGAGGTGACACTAGAGACAGGTGGAAAAAGGCACAAGCCTCAGTCGATTCCATCTGGGCATCCAGTGGCAACGACAATCAACCATTTCCCATGGTCCAAAGCCATGAACAGCCGGCTCATTTGTCACATGGGCAATCTGATGTGATATATCCATGTCCTCCGAACACGAATATACCAGGTGTTGTTCAGCAAGTCCATACGACATCTCCTCGTCACACCGACCCACGGGTAGACCCCGCCTCTCTGATTCGATCCGAGGTTTATCATGAAGCGTCCTTGTCGGCCATGGCAAATTTTTCGACCATGTCCCGACCTACGCAACCTCTTGATCTTGTTGATCACCCCAATAGTACAACTACAGCCGTGGGCGGGCGATTTGACTTGTCAGACATACCTCCCCAGGGCTTTCATGGTCATGGCAGGCCCAGTTTCAGCAGCGCCGCTTTCGATTACGATACCATACTCGACGACATAGCGTCTCTAGATCGATCGGACCGCATGCAATCGGACCCTCAATTCATGGCGAATCTGGGATTCGCGCCGGGCAGTGATCTCGCCGAACTCCTTGCTCATGATTTCACGAGTATGCCATGATGTATCGGTACCATATGGCTGCTTCGTTTCAATGTATACGGCTGCACACAATCCAGCAAGGTCAGGAGCCTGGATCCATCGTTACTTCGCGAAGTTGAAGAATATACTCCTTGAATTGACATGTATTTATGTTAGAGACTTGCATAGATGGGAACAAGCGATACAAAGACCGTCACTCCTGCCAGATTCAATTGCAAGATATTAACAAAACGTGCCTTTGTGATTGCAAGAATCAGATTCCTCTGCGCTATTACTGTTCCTCGTATGGCGGAAGAGAAGTGACCGCGAGGCACGCACATGGTCTTTCGCCTCTCATACCCATCGTCCGATTCCTCCGTATGGGTTAAATTGCGAGATGAAAGCATACATATGAAGCTTAATAACTTGGCGACTGGCGGCAATGACCGACGGGCGGCCGGACGCGTGGCATTGTTCAGAGTCGCTGGCATTGACCATAGTTGCTGTGCTGATAAGAAAGATTCAAGTTATCCAATCGCATCAGCTCCTGGTTAAGTGGCGCTTCTATTCCCTGGGCTCCTGGTCGCGCTACTCTCTTCTCGAAAAGGCCCCCCCACCTCACACTCAGCAAAGGCTGCTCGAGCTGTGTCCTTATCAGTGATTCTTATTTTGTAGAAGTATTTGCATTGGAGGCAATTGACACGGCTACTTAGCGATGGCCTAGCTACGGTAATACCCGTAGGTAATCGGCACCGTCGATTACACGGTACCCGTCAGGCTGTACTTTAGTGTAATAGTATTTATTCCGTGGCATCAATGACTTGACCTACGCGAATAATCCAGGTAATCACTGTATTAGACACCCAACACATCAGCGGCCGCTGGGCTGGATTCACACTTTACTGCCGGCCATCTCCGCCGTGGTCTATCAGTTGGTCGAATCATCTGCTGCCTAGATTTGCCAGATGTTTGTCTTTGAAAATGCAGTGATGGAGGTACTCACGGCAGGAAAAGTCAGTCCATTTTCTGGGATCGATCAATGAAGGAGTACATGCACACAACCGGAAATGTTCGGCAGCTTGCCTATAGGACCCGCACTGGTGTTGCAAGAAAGTCGAGGACATGGTGGTAGATAGTACTCAATTCCATCGAGTAATACAAGTGTGGAGACGATGATCCTCCCCCCGGGGGTGGCCAAGAACCGCCAAACTCTAATTTCATTCGTGAAGGGCTATCAGCTTATAGATAAATAGAATGACTTTCGTTCTACTGACAGTGCTTACCTTTTTTTCGAGCTCTTTTGTCCTTTTTGTCATATTGTTTCTTAACAACAGCGAGTCGCCATCATGGATGAGGATCAAGGGCCAGCCGCTGCCTTGCCAGGGCAACATGTTCGAACTTCGCGATCGCCACTGGCCAGGCTGAAGCGGACTTTTTTGACCAAGGAGGGACTACTCGGCGACTACGATTATGTATTCCTGTTTAAGCCGAATCTCCCCTTCATGAAGCGGTCGCTGCAAGCCGCTCCCTTCTTTGGACTGAATGACCGAATGCCAGTCTTCCTGGCTTTGCTGCTTGGACTTCAGCATGCCCTGGCCATGCTTGCTGGCATTATAACGCCACCGATCATTCTAGCAGGCTCTGCAGGAGTCAACTTGACAACTGAGAACCAACAATACCTCGTATCCACAGCTCTTATCGTCTCAGGAATACTGTCGCTCATCCAAATTACTAGATTTCATATATACAAGACTCCGTAAGTTTTCAATGAAAGCGTGGTACGCTTCAACTCAGATATGATACATCTGTCTAATGCTATAGATAATTGTAGATACTACATTGGCACAGGCGTCATCTCTGTGGTGGGAGTTAGTTTCTCAATCATTCCTGTAGCAGAAGGCGCATTTGCGCAAATGTATGCCAATGGGTATTGTCCAACGGCAGAGGATGGGACGCTGCTCCCGTGTCCAGATGGTAGGTCTTTATTCCTGAGCACCTGTGTGGTATCTTCCGTGTATTGATTATTCTAGGTTATGGTGCTCTTCTCGGTACCGCCGCCGTTTGCGCTTTGCTTGAAATCTTGATCGCTTTTGCTCCGCCCAAGATCATTCTCAAGATCTTTCCTCGTACGTTTCCTAAAAGAACATTTTGGATTATGCGCGCCGACTAATGAACATGGACGTAGCTATTGTCACTGGGCCAACGGTCATGGTAAGTGCCCAAGCATACCTACACACATCTTCTTCACACGCACTTGACTAATTCACGCAAAGCTCATTGGTATCAGCTTGATTGAGAGTGGCTTCCAAAATTGGGCGGGTGGTAGTGGCGGCTGTGCTGCTACAGATCCTACTGCGTACTTTGCTTTATGCCCAAACATTGCGGCACCTCACGCCCTCCCGTGGGGATCAGCTGAATTCCTGGGTAAGCAGTTACCTGCTGTCGTGCTTTTGAATCCTCCCACTCACTTCATATGCAGGACTCGGTTTCTCTGTATTCCTAACTATCATCCTTTGCGAACGATTCGGCTCCCCAATCATGAAGTCTACTAGTGTCATCATTGGTTTACTTGTGGGTTGTATCATTGCCGCAGCCTGTGGCTACTTTGACCGCAGTGGCATCGACTCAGCACCCGTGGCGTCCTTCATTTGGGTGAATACGTTCAAGCTCAGTGTTTACGGGCCTCTGGTCCTGCCCATGTTGACCGTTTTTATAATTTGTGCCTGCGAAGCCATTGGTGATGTTACGGCGACATGCGATGTCTCTCGCCTCGAGGTCCAGGGTGAGATCTACGAGTCGCGCATTCAAGGTGGCGTGCTCGCGGATGGTCTGAATGGAATTCTTGCTGCACTCATGACCATGACGCCAATGACCACATTCGCCCAAAACAATGGTGTCATTGCTCTGACACGTTGTGCAAACCGCACAGCTGGATACTGCTGTTGGTAAGTATAGTCACTTTGTTGATGTTGATGCTTGACTGACTGTTCTATAGCTTCTTCCTGATTCTGATGGGCATATTTGCCAAGTTTGCTGCCGCATTGGTTGCGATCCCATCAGCAGTATTGGGTGGCATGACTACGTTTTTGTTCTGTGCTGGTAAGTTGTGACTGATTCTTTTTTTTCTATTTGCTCCAAGTATTATTCGATGTTGTCCGGGCTTCTTTTCTAATCACTACTTGTTTTAGTTGCTGTGTCTGGAATTGCCATCATTACAAAGGGCGTTCCTTTCAACCGTCGAAACCGATTTGTACTTACAGCGGGTCTGGCGATCGGTTATGGCGCAACTCTCGTGTCCAACTACTTTTCCAGTGTCTTCACCTACAGCGGCGACAACCACGCGCTGCAAGGCTTCCTTGACGCCATCGTACTTATCATGGAGACAGGATTCGCCGTAACAGCAATAGTTTGCATGATCCTCAACCTTACTATTCCTGAGGAGATTGAGGAAATCAGGGAGACTGCGAGCGATCACTCTGCCATCATGGGTTGGCATGCCGATCAATCCAACCCGCCTGCTACTGGGAGTGGTAGCTATCCGATAGAACAGAGTCGTGGGAGTGGGGACAATGGGGAGAAACGCTTGTAAAAGAGAGAGAGAGAAAGAAAGAAAGAAAGAAAAGACAAACCTGTGCATTTCTATCATGACGGCCTCGACGAACCTAAGTTCCACGCACAGGACCAGAATATGCTAGAGATATACCAAATGGACAAGTCGTATCGGTAACCGAATCCTCGAATCCAGCGTGGCCATCCCCTTTGGATAGTCTGCCACAAGAAGAACAGCAGTTGAAGATCTATCTTGCTTATAAATCAGAAAATGCCTCGATTCTGAGGTAGCCGCCTCAGCTGCTATTACACCAGGTTACCTGCCGCGATCTACGATTCATCAAGCGGGGTCCAAACTCCCTCGAGTCATATTTCATATGCACAGCCTAAGGACAGAACACTGACTAGGCAAAACATCAAGAACAATTGACATCATGCATATTTTGGGGCTGGTCTTTTTAGAAAAAACGTACGCGCCCACTTCTGTTGGAGATCAGAATGCCAAATCGCGATGGCAGTGCTGATGCGGAAATGGCGGCCCGTGAATAGTCTAAGCAACGGTGTGGCTAGATCGGGAGAAGTCTTTGTGGTGGTGGTTGATGGTGATGCTCGAATGGCATACGCATTTTAGGCATCCAGACAGGCAGGTATACAGCTAAAGTGTTTACTAATTGGATAATAGCTAGCACTGATCCAGAACTAAGAAGATGCGCCCGTTCACACGAGTCCAGAGAATGGTGGCGATCACGAAAGGAGTTAACGGCATTAAGAATTGACGTCATGTAGACGATTTGAAATGGGCAGCGGAATTCGTGTTTAATCGCGAGACATTCGCGAGCCGAAACACACCAATGGATATAGCAAAAGTTAAATTTTTCTAACGAATGTTTATTATATACCAATAGGTCGCCTTTTGTTGCTGAGGCTGTCCAAGACACTGGGCTTCTTCACAGGCGGAGCCATAATGCCGAGCCTCACACGCTTACTTTCTCGGCCAACTGCCAAGCCGTATCGAACGAGCGATCTTGAAAGCAGTGAAAAGCCACATGTCAACGAAAATGGCCAAGTAGACTTCTCACCAGATGATATCGAGAATCCTCACAACTGGTCAACGACTCGACGCTGGTACGTGACTTTTGCATCTGTCCTGCTCGTCGTAAACGCTACATTTGCCTCTTCCTCGCCGTCAGGGTGTTTCCCGGTGAGTTTGCTTCTACTTATCTTTCTCCCACATTTCACGGTGCCAGTTCTGATTAAAATCGCTAAAGAGTATCGCCAAAGAGTTTGGTGTCTCTGAAGAAGCTGCTGGTCTCACTATAACACTTTTTCTTCTTGGGTATTGTGCTGGACCCTTGGTTTTTGCGCCCTTATCTGAAGTGAGTGTTCGGGATTGGACCATTGGCGGTTTAGCTCGCTAAGAGAACTTGCAGTTTTATGGTCGCCGTTGGGTCTTCTATTCTACATTTATTGCGTACATTGCATTCAATTTCTTGTGTGCTTTTGCACCGAACTTTGCCAGTCTCTTGGTTGGGCGCTTCATGACAGGCACCTTTGTCAGTGCACCTCTTAGTAATGCGCCAGGTGTCCTAGCTGATCTCTGGGGTCCGGTCGAGCGTGGAAATGCTATGGCTGCATTTTCGTGTATGGTTTGGGTTGGCCCAGCCTTGGGACCCGTCGTGAGTACACACAATATAGTCATCCAGAGAAATGGCTGATTGACATACCACTCCAGGTGGCAGGCTTTTTGCAGCTTACCAAGGATTGGAGATGGAGTTTTTATGTTCTCCTATGGTTGGGAGGTGGAACCGCTCTCATCATGTTCACTATTCCCGAGACCTTTGGGCCAGCTATCCTCCGCAATAGAGCAAGGCGCATCAGAAGAGCTAAAATACCGGACTACGAGGATATCCGAGCACCAGTAGAGGATTCCGACCGCACTCTTTTCGACTCGTATAAAATCGCGTTGACGCGGCCGTGGATCATTCTATTCGATCCAATCTCATTCTTAGTGGCTGTATACATGTCCATTGTTTACACGCTTCTTTACATGCTGTTTTCCATATATCCCATTGTTTTCCAGGAGCGACGAGGCTGGAACGCTGGTGTCGGCGAGCTCCCCTTGATTGGTACAGGTAAGGACTCTCCAATGTAATTCTTCTCGTGTATAAAGCTGAGACGACTAGCTATTGGCGCATGCATTGGCGCTGGTGTCGTGATGATTGACTCAAAATATAAGGCTAGAAAGGTTGCCAATGGACAAGAACTCACACCTGAAGACCGACTACCCCTGGCAATGATTGGAGGCGTCGGTTTTGCAGTGACAATGTTTTGGTTTGCCTGGACTGCAGAGTTCAAGTAAGTTTGTGCAAATAAAAGCAATTGGATCTTTGCTGACTACCAAAGCTCCATTCATTGGATTGTACCGACACTTGCTGGGGTGTTTCTGGCTACTTCATTGATGCTTATATTCGTCGGCTTTCTCAACTACCTTGTCGATACATATCTCATGTATGCAGCATCGGCTATAGCTGCAAATACTGTGGCGAGGTCTGCTTGCGGTGCGGCCGCCCCGCTCTTCACGACATACATGTTTGATGCACTTGGAATTGGAGGCGGCGGATCTCTCATAGGCGGAGTCGCCACATTACTTTCTGTCATACCATTTGCTTTCTTTAAGTTTGGCGCACGTATTCGACGTCGCTCGAAGTTTGCTCCGACAAACGATTCCAGCGATAGCGAGACCGAGCAAGACCAGCCAGAAGTTAACCGTGCCTCTTCACGAGCATCTGCGGCAACATCCTCCCCAGATACCATTGTTGAAGGAGAATGTCAAAGTCCACTAAATATAAGGAAGAGTGCAAATGTTGTCGGTGAACCTGAAGTTGAAAATGCTCGATTTGGACAAGGCGCAGGGCAGGCACATGTTTGTTAATTACCCGATGTATGGAAATCCTATACTGCGTCACGCTGCTCTATATACTCTCTGCGTGCGCCTTGACGAGTTCGAACTTCTACGTCTTAGGCAAGCAATTGATGTGCGTCGACATGTATGGTTGGGGTCAGGGTCAGTGATGACGGGTTCATAATCATCTTATCGTGGCATCTGGACAGAACCAAAGAAAAAAGAAGAAAAGAAAAGCAGAAAGAAAGTTAGATAGAAAAAAATAGTGCATTATTGGCAAAAGCTGCCACCAGTCAATGTCAATCTTGTACACACATTATGTCAATGTGATAGCTTCCATTATATATAGATCCATTATTATGTGCTGCCTAGAGTATTTCTCGTAATTCATCGTTACTACGACTACAACAAAACTTATACACGGATACCATTGGCACCATTGACACCGTTGCTGTGCAGATGTGTGCCATTACCGCAAGGCGCGCCGTTGTTGTGACCAAGATTGGTACCCTTGGCCAAGGTGATGCCGTTGGCAGTCATCAATTTTGAGTCCTTAGTCATACCATTATGGGTGCCATTGAAAGACAAGCTTGAAATACCGTCATAGCCTTTTATGCCCGTGGCCTTCTCAAGTCTCTTGGCAATATCGTCATCAACTTCGCGAAAGATTGCAATTTGTCGCTTAAGGATCTCCTTATCCTTGCAAAGCTCCATTTTTCCCGAGACATTATTGATGAACCGTTCGCGGGCGGATTCGTCAAACACACGCTGCCACAAGGCTCGAGGCGCATTGAAATCTGCTGGTTGAATCTCCGACAAGAAAGTAACGGCATCACCAACAAATTGTCCATGGGTCTTGTCCAAATCCACAGTGCGAGCCTTGAACTTGATTGGTTCAATGGAACTCAGGTAGTTTGGCCGGGAACCTTGGTTGAAGAAGGCCATTTGACCATCCCGCTGGAAGTTGCCAAACTTGTAAGCAGTGCGTGGCGCATTGACAGGTAACTGTTGGTAGTTGACACCAAGCCTGTGACGATGAGTATCTGCGTATGAGAAGAGCCGCGACTGCAGGACGGGGTCTGCTGAGGGCTCGATACCAGGTATCATATGCGAAGGGTTGAAAGCCACTTGCTCGACCTCGGCAAAGTAGTTTCTGGCATTCTCATTGAGCGTGAATTCTCCAACCTTTGTCAATGGGAATTGGCCTTGCGGCCATACATGGGTCAAATCGAAGACATTGATGCCTTGATCCCTCCAGACTTCCTCAGATTGCTTTGAAGTCATCGTCTGGATCGAGACGTCCCATTTTGGGTATTCTCCACGCTCAATCGCTTCGAACAAGTCCTTTTGGGAGTAGTCTGGGGAATAGTTGGCAGAGTCCTCCTGAGTAATAAACTTGGTACCCTGCTGTGACTTGAAATGCACCTGTGTGTACACCCAATCACCTTGCTTGTTGACAAACTTGAGCGTGTGGCCAGAATATCCGTGCATGAACCTGTAGCCATCCGGAATACCGCGATCCCCCATGAGAATCATGACCTGGTGAATTGATTCAGGGTTTTGCGACAAATAATCCCAGAACATCGTAGAATCGTCCGCATGAGTCAGATGAGTCGCAGGATCGCGTTTTTGTGTCTAGTCAGGTGAAATGTGTTAGCCTTTCGATTTATTCCAGACATTGAAGAATCTCTAGTAATTGATTCAACTGCAAGTGTCTGTTTCTTGGCATAGGTGAGCTCGGGAAATCGGCCCTGCCAATAATCTCTTCCGGACACAAGCAGAAAATAAAAGTGAACCCATAATTTGAGGACTTACATGAATAAAATGGGGGAATTTGGCAGGATCCCGCAGGAAGAAGACTGGCGTGTTGTTGGCAACCATATCCCAATTCCCATCCTCTGTCCTGAACTTGACAGAGAAACCTCGTGGGTCTCGAGCGCAGTCATGGGAACCGGACTCTCCACCCACGGTCGAGAATCGAGCAGTGACTGGGCACTTTTTGCCTTTGGTGGAAAAGATGTCGGCTTGTGTGAGTTCGGGAATGGGGTTGGTACATTCGAAGAAGCCATGAGCACCACTACCCTTGGCATGCACGACTCGCTCAGGAATTCGCTCACGGTCAAAATGGGACAGTAGGTCAATCAAATGAAAGTCTTGAAGCAATAGAGGCCCATTTTCGCCGACTCGTTGAGTTTCGTAGGGATGAGGCATAGGGACGCCATTGCTGAGCCAAATCAGTTCACATGCAGGGTAAAATTTGGACAAGAGCAGCTTCTCACCTTGTGGCGTAAATGGTATCTTGAGAAGTCAGCTGTCGGTCTTTTTCGTAAGATGCGAATTGCGCAGACGAATGAGCAGCAAAAGATGTATCTGCCGAAGGCGCCATGCTGAGGGTTGTTTGAATGGTATTGATTGGGGCGGACACAATCTTTTGAATAGTTTCCATCAGATGTAATTTCAAATTTCAACAAATAAAAGTGTGCTGAAATTATGAAATCAATTGTCTGGGAAACTTTCTTCATTAAGTATCCAATGTCTAGGTAGGAAACCAAACGAAGACTCATGGCATCATCACCAACTGGTGCTCTTGCTTTGAGCCACCCAAAGATGGAGCCGCTGCACCAATGACTATCCACTACACATGTCAATACTTCATGATATGCCAGATCTAAAGCAAAACACAAGCTGGTGGCTGCATGCTATTTTGTCTGGAGAGAAGGTTCTATGACGAAGTCGATGACGACTTGCAAGTCTATTTGAAATATCCTTACCTGATTGGCCGAAACGTCTGTGTGGTTAGATCTGATCGGTTGGTATCCCCGCGAGTGGAGAAGCGGCTCGGAGCTGCTTCTAAAGCTTGGCGGAAGTCAATACTGTACGGTCTCAATCTTGACGTGTGAAATCAATCTCAGTATCACCTTTCTCTCTCCTCTATTCATATTTCCTTTTACTTTGTACATACATGAGACTTGTGATCAAACCCATGAAGTGTATGCGATGCATATAGTTTTCACTGTAAGTGGCCATGATCAGCATGAGAACAAATGCCATTATTATACACCTAGGTGTTCCATCCGCGTGCATACGGGGCTTCATTTTGCAGTATGCCGCAACACAGTTCGCCATGAATCCCAGGTGTTGGTATTGGACCGACTTTCTAGACTATAACTTATTTGAAGCCTCTACTCCTGGTTGCTTGGCTATCCCTTGGAGTCTCTAGAAATTTGGAAACATTTTTGCTCCACCAAACCATTAGGCTTGACATTGCCACTTTCAAAGACACACTTTGGCCTTTACGACAACATCTCCCTGCTCCATCTTTGGCATGTATCTGATCAGTGCAGGAGAGATTGACTGTGTGATGTTGCCCGTCCTCTTATGTTTACCTCGTTGAACCACCTCCATATAGTCTCCGCACATCGTGAGACCATAATATCGTGTCTCAAATACCCATTCTTCCGAATTTGGTGAATCACAGTCCGTCTTGATGAATTCAGATACGAGATTCTCCTTGGTTATTCCTTCTGGGGTTTTCTTGATTATGTGTACTGTAGGCATGCAGACGACGTATAGGTCATTGCATTTGGCAAGGGCGCGCGCAAGCGACCGGGTCTGTTTTACAACACCGCGGAATGAGTTTTGCAGCTCTTCTTTTTTGTCTGTCCTCGAGTATAGAATGAAGAGCTCAGCCATCTCCCACAGATGCTGAACTGTAATTTCATCATCAGATTCGGGAGGCACAGCTTGGTGATGTTGTTCGATATGAGCTGGGAGATATTGTCCGATATGAGCTCGAACAGATTGAAACTGCTTCCACTGGTTTTGAGAGCCATCCTTGAGCTTGAGTTCTAGCCCTGGTGAGCGCATGTTAGCGGTTGTTTCGCATCATGTGAATTTGGCACGTACGCTGTCTCTCGAAAGAAGTACTTTCTCCTTCCATCATGAATGACGTGCAAGGTGTCCCCAGTATATCCCTCTGGAGCAAAAGCAGTGCCTTGCCCATATGACCTTGATCAGCCGATGTAGGACTCAGTAGGAATCTGCGTATCATTTCATGCCAGATTGCGCTTTTTAGAATCAGTAGCTTGAGTTCCTCATCTCCTAGGCGAACTTCGTAATCGACTGCCAACTTTCCGAACAGTTGTTTGTGTTGGTTGGTGCGTGGCTTTCTGTATGGATGTCCTCTGAACTGATTGTCGATTAGATTGTCGATCTCGTAAACCAGCCCTTCAAATTCTCCCAGGATTTGTTCCATCGTGATGCTAGAATTGGTGGCATACAGCTTTGACTCTGCCTTTTCATAGGCCTCGAGAGCCGCGGCATCGACACGTTCCTGGATTCCAGTCTTTGTTTCATGTAGGGCTTCTTTGAGCTCGTCTCTTTCTTGCTTCACTGCCAGTAATTCTCCGTCTTTTTCTTGTAGAGAGGCCTTGAGAGTGTTAAAATCCTCAGTTGATACTCCAAGTGATTGAGGAGGAGCAACGGCTGGATCAGTCTCAAACGATTGGGGTTGTTCTGAACACGAATGAAGTCTAGACTCTAGCTGCTTTTCGCAATCTTTGAGCTCCCGGTGTTCTGCTTCGTGGCCATCTTGCATGGAATCCAACACTCGTCTGGCCTTATCCACAGCAGGACCTTTTGCTCCATGCGCCTCAGCGGCCTGGTCCTGATCTAGAAGCATATTTTCTGTTGACTTGGTATCGTGACTGCTAGAGTGTTCGCGATTGCCTAGTAGGTCCTAAGATTGCACCAGCATGTCAGCAAATATCGAAACTTGTAAAATTTCAAAATGACCTACAACTGTGCCATCGCGTGTGCCTAGCAATATCTCAGCATCGGTGGTGGTCTTTTGTATCTTGTCGCGATGCTGTACAGGGTGGTCGATAGCATCGAAGTCATTGGCTCTCTTGTTCTCCCCAGAAGGATGGAGGGAAGAAGGAGCAAGGTCCTCGGGAAGATCCATGATGAGGTTGTGCGGATGCAATTGTTTCGGGGGATGGATGCGGCTTGCTTGTATTGATCGCGTTCCTGAAGCTGCTGTTGGGTGATGTGTGTGTGTATAGAAGGTGTCGTGGCCCGGGTTCAAAGCCACCGTTCCGTGATAAAAATAGCTGAGATGATTGACTGGCAGATTGAGGCAAGAGCGGTGATTGAAAAAGAATGGTCTAGCTGGTATGCGGTTTGAATGATATTTGATTGTGAGAATTGAAGATTCGAGCTTTGACCTGCCAGCACAATCACCTGATTGTTGGAAAGAACCCCGGCGCCAAATGAAGCATGTCAAGATTCTACCCATCAATAGCGTGCACAGATATCCTTTACAAGAACTTCCTTTAGAATCACCCGTTTGGAAAACTAGGGAATCTAGCAGGCCGTTTTGCGTTACAAACGTCGAGGCCAAATAGGTAGGCATCTGCCCTCCACAATCTACCTGTTTTCAACCTTGAACAATCGGACAGCCACACGCAAATATTTCCTGCAATTCTCGCACAATAATCCTAACAATCCCAATAATTCGGATAAAATTTTGTCAACCGTACATCTTTCTGTAGTCGCGCTGTCCAAAATCTCCATTTCCCTGCACCATTTCCCACAGGATCTGCCTGGACTCACGGGACTTTTCTGCAGCATCACAGATCCTGGCAGCAGCCACGCCTTCACCATCATTTCTCATCTTGTTCTTACCTATCTATACAATACCCAAGTGCAAATCTCCTGGCCGAGTACAACTTTCACACATATTTCGCCGCTCCATTCCAGGTCTCTGCCTCTGTCTTTCCTCCGATTCCCATATTTCTGTCCTTGTCTCAAGACTCGTCACGAGTCGTCAAAATCATGACGACGAAGAAGCCTCGCAAGCTGGTCGTTGCGATCGACTTCGGTACCACATTCTCTGGTGTTGCCTACTGGCTTGGTCGCGACCAGCCAGACTCGGGCAACATCAAAGTGATCTGCGATTGGCCAGCTATTTTCCCTTACGAAGGTGAAAGGCCTCAAGTCCCAACAAAAGTTGGGTATAAGAACGATGGAACGATTCAGTGGGGTAACCTTGCGTCTGGCGAGTTACAACCAATTCAATGGGTCAAGTTGCTTCTCCTTGAGCAACAAGACCTACCGCACTACCTGCAGCATAACCAATCCGCGCACCTCAGCACCGCACGCGAACTAATTCAAGACTTGGGAAAGGAGGCTATCGATGTTGTGGCGGACTACTGTGAGTGGTCCAGTCTGATATCCATAATCATCACTGCTTCAGAAACTGTATTCACTAACGGTTTATCACAAAGTGAGAGAGCTTTGGCGTCACGCAATGACCAAGATCAAGGAGTATGAGATCCCCGCCATCGTAGATGACTGTGTTTTCCACATCATTCTCACCGTTCCGGCTATTTGGAAGGGCTATGCTCGCCAAAAAATGCAAACTGCTGCAGAACGTGCAGGAATCTTGAAACCCACAAGACGTGGCGACGTCTCCTTCTCCATGACATCAGAACCTGAAGCAGCTGCCCATGCAATCTTACGTTCCGGGGACTGGCGTAGAAAGGAAGCAGACACTGGAGACACAATTCTCGTGTGCGATTGTGGTGGTATGTTATGCTCTCAGGCTGTGATGGGGGCTTCAATGCTAACAAATAAACACAGGCGGTACAGTGGTAATTATCTCTCTTGCCAAGTACTACATGTCTACCCTGTGGTTAACCTTCAGCTAGGACGTGATTTCTTATACACTTGTGAATTCGGAAACAAATGAGCTTAAGGAATGCGTCGAGGGAGACGGTGCGTATCTTTTTGGCTGCATATAACTTCATCACTCATATAACTACTTCCACTGACACACTACAGGCGCACTCTGCGGTGCCGTGTTCGTGGACGAAGAATTCTTCAAGCTTGTCAAGGGCCGGTTCAACGTTCATTTCGGTCGCGGATTCTGGGACACTGTACCGCTAGCAACCATCGAGAAAGCCTTTTCCACCGATTGGGAGAATGGCATGAAGCGCAATTTGTCTAGTTCGAATATGCTGATGTCATTCGGAATTGCTGGGCGCAACATCGACTTGAACAAAAAACAGATTACAGCTTGTTTCCGTAAGGTGTTGGAGAGGATTCACATTCTTCTAGACAAGCAGATCGAGGGCGTTATCAACGCTACCGGCGCTGCCCCAAAGGTACGGCTAGAAGCCCCATCTGTCCGACAATATCGACTTTGCTAACATGCATAACAGTACATATTCCTCGTGGGAGGGTTCGGACGTTGCCAGCTACTCTTCAATGCGATATGCGAGAAATATCCAGATAGCTTTGTGATCAAAGGGGCCAGCAATGATGAGCCGTGAGTGTATATCACAATAAATCAAACAATTCGAGTTCAGGAATGTTGACTGACTGATGCTAGATGGTCTGCCATTTGCCGAGGTGCAGCCCTGGGCAAGGCAATAGAGATTTGTGCCTCTGAAGAAAACCCTGATGCACCAGCCAATCCCATATTATCACGCAAACCAAGAATCAGCCAAGGTTGGTCTCACGACCTTCATTTAGGAGAGGAATGTACGACCGAGGAATTCGAAAATGCAGAATGGGATAATGACGCAGGTGGTTACGTGGTCCACGGCACTATGGCCTGGCTCGTCAAACGAGGACAGGATGTTAGTACCCACATGCATAAACAGCAGTACACTATCGCCCTTCCTATGGACACAAGAGGTCACTATTCTCACACGGCTCCCATTCTCGAGTCTCTCAATATGAGCCCACCAGCAAGATATCTACCGAATGGATCGGATATCAGAGAGACTGGAAGGGTAGTCACCTTGACGACCCCGGTGCCTGCCGAGAAATTGCCCATTGAGCAAAATGGATGGGGCGAGGATTACCTCGCATTTCACTATGAATGGCACATCAAAGTTGAGGGAGCTTCTGTATCGGGGGAAGCGTTTTCAATGGGCCAGAAGATTGCCGAACTCGCAGGAAGCGAGATTTGAACGGTAGTCCTGGAAGGCCATGGTTGCTGTATTATAAATGGCGGTCAACAATGCTAAATGCATATCCCCGTGGCAATCAGGTCTCTGACCTATACATATAAAATAACGAAACATGAAAATGTCTTTGGCATTATGTGGCTAAGACGGCATTGATTCCAAAAACAAAGATATCCGACGCTGTCTGTCCTAATTTGTACCAAATGACGTGCTTTTCCACTGTATTACCATGCACGAAACAGCCCACCATCTATGTCGAGCGTTGCTTCACCTGGATACCCCGATGCGTGCCATTGTGCTGGAATCATGAACTGCAACCTCGGAGCACCGTTCCCTGTGATGTCGGCAGGTTTGTGGAGACCCGACAACGTTGCAATGGCATGTAGGTACTCTGTACAAATCGTTGAAATGTCTCCGGCTGGGCATGTCTGCGACGGTTGTCGGTGCCAAGGGAGCTAGACTCTTGAATGTGTTGCTTGTGTGCGCCACGGAGTGCCACAGAGCGCCAACTTCATCAACTTGTCTTGGAAGTCCCGAAATGATTGCCGCGGGCGTTATCTTGCCAAGCTTGCTATCCTCAGTTTGGGGGGGTTGGCAAATGGTTGCTGAGCAAAAATGCTACTAATCTCTTGCGGCAAGAAGCGGCTGGACTCAGCGCGGCACAATATCAAAAACTCAGACATATCGCCCGAGCAATATCTCAAGTCCATGCAAGCCATGTGAGCTGCAAGCTCCATTCATTTGGCGCACAGGGGCCATCAGGTCGCTATCTTGCGAATCACAATCCCCACAGAAAAGCCCACCAGCTCGTTACTGTATGCAGTGTCATCCTGCCAAGTTTCTTGGTATGCTGCGACTGGAGAGCCAAGCCAAGCCAAGAAACACCATGGCCGGGGAATTGCCCAATTTTCACTCCAAACCATGAATCTTCCCCGCGTGATGGGACTGGGGTCCGGGGGAGCATCGAAAGTTTGTGGGGGAGAGTTTGGAGAACTTCATCGAAGCATGTACGCAACAGCCAACATTGCGGAAAGTCCGACAATTGGTTGCGAAGGGAGTCCTGCAGGGTTGGGGGGTCTGGTATATGAAGGATGCCATAGCCCGATCATTCTACTGTCGAGTAAAAACATACCATAAACCGTGCTTACTGCTCTTTCTCTTGTACAGCTGAGACTATGGCGACACAAAATGAGCCCGCAGATCCACTCGCGAAGGGAACTTTTGCGACTGCAAAGCAAGCCTGGAGCGACCTCTTCAAGTGGAAGCAGAGAGTCGTCGTCACCAACGACGCGGGTGAAACTCATACCGAATGGGAGGCACCACCTCGCCTTCGAAATCCAATCTCACTGTTCAGACTCCTTAGTGCTAAAGACTGGCTTTATTTTCTTGCTGGCTTTTTCGCTTGGACCGCTGATGCTTTCGACTTCCATGCTCTTTCTATCCAACAAGTCGATCTAGCCAGCTACTACGGCCAGTCAAAGACTGAGATTAGTACAGCCATTACTCTCACTTTGCTACTACGATCCGTCGGAGCAGCCGTTTTTGGACTATTGGGTGATCGTTTTGGCAGAAAATGGCCCATGGTCGGCAACATGATTATTTTGGGTAAGCCACTCTTGATGACGGAAGGATGCCAAGTTAACGTGGGTGTAGGACTCCTGCAAATCGCGACCATTTACAGCAGCACTTTCAGCCAGTTTCTAGCTGTTCGATCCCTCTTTGGTCTGTTCATGGGGGGAGTATATGGTAATGCCGTTGCCATGGCCCTCGAGAACTGTGCGCTCGATGCGCGAGGCTTGATGAGTGGTATCATGCAGCAAGGATATTCCTTTGGTTATGTTTTGGCCTCGTGTGCCGTTCTAGGATTCGGTAGCGGCGGTGACACCTGGAAGAAGGTCTTCTGGGTCGCTGCGGGCCTTTCCATTGCTGCTGGTCTCATACGATGTCTCTTTCCCGAGTCAAAGCAGTTTGTCGAGGCCAAGAAGTCTGGCCATCACATCACGGCTTCCGATTTTTGGAAGGAAACCAAGTCGATGCTACGCAATGAGTGGCGCATGTGCATATACTGTTGCTTTCTAATGACCTGGTTCAACTTTTACTCGCACACGAGCCAAGATAGTTACACTACGTTTATGCGCACCCAGAAAGAGTTGATACCCGCCGCTGCTACCCGAGCCAGTATCTGGATGAAGGTCGGAGCTTGCATTGGAGGAACTATTATTGGTAAGTACTGATGCGTCCTTGAGTCCAGATTATTGAAATTTCGAATACTAAAATGGTGATAGGTTATCTCTCACAATTTGTCGGTAGACGCCGTGCTATCGTCTGTGCCGCATTAATGAGTTGTGTCCTCATTCCCGCCTGGATCCTCCCTGAAGGAGAGCAGTCTCTTTCAGCTTCCGGATTCTTTATGCAATTTTTTGTACAAGGTGCCTGGGGAGTTATTCCCATTCACCTGAACGAGCTTTCTCCGCTGGCATACCGGTCAACATTCCCTGGCATCACCTACCAGATCGGGAACATGATATCGAGTCCTTCGGCTCAGATTGTGAATGCGATATCCGAATCTCATTTTGTTAGAACCAAGTCCGGCAAGCTGGCTGAGGCTTATGGGCCTACAATGGGTATTGCCACTGTCATCATCGCCCTGGGCATCGCCGTCACTGTTGCATTAGGTCCTGAGAAGCGCGGCAGACACTTTGAGAATGCTGGACCAGCTGGAGCCAACGTTGAACGTGGCGCAGACGTTGAGAAGGCCGTGGACGTTGCCTCAATCGCTGAAGATACAAAGGACCAGCCAACCACGGAAACAAGCGAGAAGAAGGGACCGCAGTAGAGAAACTGCATCTCCCTTCCCCCAAGTCATTATTTCTTGATTTTTCGATCATCATTCATTGATCCTACTCTGTTGTTTCTTGGCCGTCAACAGGCTATGTATGAATAAGAAAAATCATGTAGCACATCTAGAGTGAATATTAGTTTGACAGCTGCGATTGGTAGAAGAGTGCTGATATGGCTTCGGGAACAGACATCTGGACGTGGATGATACGAGGAATGCCTCGGTTAAAGTAGGAATTCATCGACATGTTATACCGAATGCCAGCAGGTTGAGATTTTACAAGCACTAGTAGCAATAATTTCTTTCAACAGCTGCCCCAAAAGAAGCAAACCTCTTGGATATCCATGAACACCAGTATTAATTAATTTTAATGACAGCCAGACGACACTACAATGCGTACAACGTACGAGCCTGCAATGACACCGTGACATGGAAGCCCACTGATCATCAACAAAGGAACGCTCTCTCACGTGGGAGCAGAAGAGAGCGGACATGAAGACCCAAAGGCTGTATGCCTACAAGGCTAATGATTGCCAGTTATTCATGATATGCCAATGTTTCATCGCTTGGGTAGGCAGACACTTGCCCTAGGAAACCATTGATGGTAAGTAGTAGGCACGTGCCTGCATGGTGATACTTCAAGAAGCAACAAGGCTGCAATTTGACTGATGAATCGCGAGATGGGTACATAGGTACTAGATCTTCTTTGCTCTGTGACGAAGCAAGGTGAAAAAAAAAGAGATGCAAAGAATACTAATGGACCTACGGGACCCCAACAGATCTGGATTACAGTGAGAAAGCAACGTGCAACAATGTATGGCGAATTATGGGTTGCTTGGATTCTTTCGGGCCTTGTCTCTCTATTCTACGTAGTGGTACAAAGATATTATGGCCATCCCTTTACATCTCAAGTTTACAGACCGAAGTACCCCCTTTACGGGATGCCCTGCTCATGGACTTCAAAGTCTTCGTATGTACAGCTAATTCCAAGCCAACTAGTCATCATCCTCGTCATGGTCAGCCTCCGTATCGTACTCAAAGTCGCGCGGGGGTTCAGCCTCCTCATCATTTTCGCCATCTTCGTCAACAGCTGTCAAAACACCTGCTGCGGCAGCAGCGCCAGAAAGAGGGATGTTGACTCCCAGCTGTCTGAGGAGCGACTCCTGTATGCCGACGTCTCGCCTGCCACCACGTCCGTCGCCGCCTGCATTAGGGACGGGTGCCTTATCGGTGGAAACCTTCTTGAGCTTCTCCTCGATCAGCTCCTTCTTCTCGCCCGGCTGCTTGTCATGCACCAAAATGGGTCCTCCCGTAGGCAGAGGTCCAGGCCGGACAAGCTTGACGGGCCAGTATCGGCCCTTGACGGGACTGATGTACTTGAGCTGTCCTGGAAGCACACGAGACATATTGTCAATGTCGTATCCTGCCTTCTCTCTCTGATCCTTCTTCTTGGTCTCTGTGGATGGCGTGGTTTCCTTGTCCGCCACCGCCTCGCCCTCTTTCTTAGCATCCTCAGCCTTCTTAGGCTCGTCCACATCCATCTTGTCACCGCTGGTGGTGGGTTTGGTGACAGTGGGCGTAGCCTCGATATCCATGCTATCGCGACGCTGTGCACGTTCCTTCTTTTGAGCACGACGCTTTGCCTGTGCAGTGGTGGAGAGAACAGCAGTGGCAATCAGTGCAGGACCCTCCTCGACCTTGACTTCTTGCTCAGGTGGGTAGTCGAATAGGCTTGGTTTGGTAGAGCAGTGGAACTTGGCATCTACGAGGTCAAGATCATGGTCGAGAGCAATGATAGAGGTCGGGCTAAAGGCCAGGGAAAGGAAGTGGGTGAAGGGGAACCAGTACCAGTACTGGGTAAAGACAGCCATGCCGACAATGCCAGCCATGTTCAGGTTGCCAGTCTGGGTCTGTAGGCCGATGGTGCAGTTGCGACCACCGGCATCAATGATACCCAAGGCAATAGCCGCACCAAACTTGGTCATGGCGTCTTCATGGCGGTCACCGACAACCTTCTTCAGCGTTTTGCGAATAGCGGCGACCTTGGGATTCATGACCTCGTTCTGCTGAATCATGATCATGGCCAAGGAGATCAGAGCACCTTGGCGAACAAAGTCGGTGGGATCCTTCATCATGGGCTCCAGAAGATCAATTGCCTCATCGAGACCAGTACCAGCACACGAGATACCGAGAGCCATGGCAGACCCATATCTCACATGTGGATTGTACGATTCGGAGAGGAGCTCAACCATGCGAGGCACGCTGCCTGGCTTGCGGAAGAGAATGAAGCCCAAGCTCATGACGGCAATGCGGCGCACATCGTCATTTACATCACTGACGGCAATGTGCAACAGCTTGCGGATCGCCTTGTTGCTGCCAGTACCACAGTAAGCCATGGCAACAGTCATGATACCACCGTAACGCAGAGTTGGATCGGGGTCATTCAGCAGACCCTCAATCATGACATCGGCGCCTTCCTGGCGACCATACATAATCAGTGACATGCCCAAGGCCAAACCACGAACACTCTTCTCGTGGGTTGTCTCATGAGCGTATGTGACCATGTCCTCCAAAGCTCTGACATTACCGGTACCGAGCATGATGAGTCCCATGGCCAGGCCAACCGCCTCACCATTGAGGGCCGAGTCGGCAAACAGGACTTGTTTGAGATTGTCAAAAATCTCTTCATCGCCGGTAGCCATTCCAGCGATACCGAGACCCAAAGCACCGCCGTGTTGAATGACTTCTTCTTCGGCGGCGGTGAACTGGGTCTTGAGATAGTCCAGCGCATCGGCGCCATGGTTGGCGTGGATTAGACCATAGGCGTAGAGCGCTCCACCCTGAGAGTAGACGGAGCCACCGCTGATGCCGCCAGTACCCCTGGGCAGATATGGCTCGAGCAGTTTCCGAGATTGCGAAAGGTTGCCTCGATGAATTACACCGAGAGCAGCAGTGGCAGTGAACTTGGACCAATTGACGGCCTTACCTAGCCACTCGAGGTTGTCGCGGAAGAATTTGTCATTCGTGGTGCCCTGGTTCATGAAGGCATTGCAGAAGGTGACGGCAGTGTGAAAGATGGAGTTACGGCCTTCAAGGCTGTCTCGCACCTTGTTGAGAACGCTGAGGTCGGTACGATTGTTGCGATAAAGGAATTCGAGGTTAAGCTTGATAGTTTTTGTGCCGTCGAGAATGGAGCGGATGTTCTTGTACACGTCGCTGCTCGAATCTTCCGAGGCACTGTCATCCTTGCTGGTGTCAAGCAGAGACGTTGATTCGGTGGCATCCTCAGCTTCGCCTTCAACCGACTTGTCTCCCTTTGACTCCCCAGATGGGAGCTGAGCTTTGACCTTGCCAAGGAACTCTTGAGTGCCGTTGTCGTACAGGTCAAAGGCGAATTGGTACGCAATGGCAACGTCGTGGGGCTCAGAGGTACTGACCAACTTCTGAATAACATCCTTTGCGTGCTCGTCCTTGTTGAGATACACGATGCACTTGGCAATGGAGAAATAATCCGGCTCCTTGACCTTGTTGCTCGAAAGAATGTCCAGAACGAGCTGGAGTATTTCGTCACGGAACGCTCGCTCCTGCACAACATCCAAGCAAATATTGAGACAGTAGTCCATGAGTTCTTCCGCTGAACCTGGCAACTCCTCGTCGGGCTTGTTTTTGCCCTTGGACCGGTCATGCTCGTCACCTGCCTCCTTGATGACCCTGGCGACAACATCCAGCCTCTTGGCCTCTACTGCGATGCCCACTACCTGTTTGTACCGGCCTTCTTTAATGCAGTTGGCGTAGAGACGCTCAATGACGTTGTCAATGGCGCGCCGGGTGTCGAGTTCGTTGTGCGTGAGTGCAATGGATGAGGATCGGTGCTGCTTCTTGGGCTGTTCAAAGGATGTCTCGATGATGGTGTTGTCGGTAGACACGCGGGACAGTAGTGACTTGGAAGGTAGAGTCGACTGCGAGAAGGGGGTCGTGGGCGAAATGAGAGCAGAGGCGTTGTTGTCGCTGCTGCCGCTGAAGGCAGTCGCCAGAGCGGGTAGGGACTTGTCCTCCTTATCCTTTTGGGATAGCACACTGTGATTCTCGTTCTTTGCGGCAATGTAGTGGTCAACACACTTTGAAATGATGGTGTCCTCGAATTCGGTGGGGTTATCAAGCTTGAAAAGATCGCCGGCGGCAAGGGCAAAGAACATGCTCTCGTCGTAGGCGCCCAGATGGTAGTAGACCTTTGAGAGAACAAGGGCAGCTAGCTTGCGCTCGGGGAAGGAATCATCTTCGTAAAGCGTCTCTATCTGACCAAGTGCGCCTGCGACTTCGGTCCAGACGGTGTCAATGTCGTCGTTGAGAGTCTGCAGGGCGAAAACCTTCAGCTCGGGCTCCTCGTCGGCCAGGAAGCCGAGCACGCCCGTCGCAGTGACAAGACCAGGCATCTTGAGGGCCGGACGATCTCCAAGCTCCGAACTGCTCGAAATGGCGTTAAAGGTGGAGTAGGCTTGATGGTTGGAGGTTGAGGGAAATGAGATAGCAGCAGGGTTGCAGAGATGATGGACGATGGCGAAAGTGGTGATGGTGATGACGGGGGAATGGCTTGTTGTTGATGGGAAAGCTGTCCACGGGCGGATCTGGAGATTTGCAAGCATTAAGGCGCCTGCAAAAGAGAAACACGTCAGGCGCAGCCTGCCTAGAGCCGGGGGGTTCCTCGAGCGATTTGCGAAGTGGCCCGAGCATTTAGAATGCACCAAGGAGCTGGAAGCCAGCTGTGTGGCCATTTGATAGATCCACCCCACTAGCTAGAGGTTAACCTAACGGCTGCCAAAGCACATGAATCCTTACATCGGTAGGTAATAATTGATCGTGTGCAAGGAAATAATTATTTTAAATGTCGATTTCCTTTATCAATTTGAGCTGTATCTATAAATGTTCCCAGACAGATATATGACAAGAGTTCCACGAGCCAATAGCCCGGTTGTCGATGATTAGAACCATCAAGTGTGCATTTGTTCGGTCCTCCACCCGTGTGCTCTAGATGTGCAATAGATAAATTGAGAGCTCTCAAATGATGAATAAGATATACACCTACTAGGTACAAAAATTGTAACATTTAACAGCACTGACTTTGCTGTACTGCGAAACGACACATAACAGAAATTAAATCACATGATTAGCTCCTCAAAGCTGAGCTACTATGCACCGCATAAAGTGGATTGACACGATCAAAGACCTCCTTCGCTTTTACAGATTTGGGGAATCCAACTTATTGAAATAGATGATTCTCTGACATCTTAGGTGTCAACGGCCCGTTGTATCAAGGTACATGTATTGAAAGAATCCGCATTCAGCACACACACTGGGCCAGGCATACTCTATAAACATTCAAAGTACGCATACTTTAAACAGCATGGTAATAATGAGGACTATATATGAGGTGAAGAAGACAAGAATCACATTGTGTTGCATGACCATTCCTAATGAATCTCATTCTTAAAGTCACGCAATGCATACTTCGCGAAGGTGAGGTATTGGGTGTACTCAGCTATGTCTGTCTATTTAATTATTTCTTCGCCCGAGAGAGCCGTGCTGAATGATAGCTTTAGCACACTGTACACAATCCAACCCCCAGTCGCATCATATCTCATCTGTGTCCGCCGTACCTAACAGTCCCCACAATCTGACGGCCCCGGCGCATTGGATGTCTGTCTGGTCAATTAATTTTCTTGTATGTCCCGTTCGTACATATTTGAATTTGAGTCCGGGTGCCCTTTGCCCAAAACCGCGACCGCGTGCCACCCAACCCACTCCAACTTTGAACATCCCAACCTTGAAGTCATCGCCGGAACCGCACAGCCCGCCAAAGAATCTCGTGCAATCGAGTCAGATGCTACCGGCGACGGTCGACTTGATCAGCATCGTGCGCGCGCATTGCAGCCTTCCCTATCGCGTACTGCCTCGACACCTCTCCCTGTCACCCGTGCGTGCCATCGACCAGGCCGTAAGGTAGCTGCATGCATCCGACCGCTGAATTGGCAACATCCTCCTCGAGTTTTCCCTTTCGGTACTCCGTCTACTATCAAACGGACTCACAAGAACCACACACTTTCAGATTCGCAAGCACTTGGCGACCTAGTCTGCTGTACACATTGTTGCGATCGAATCGGCGGTTGCTGTGATATTCATCGACACGATAACATCGCCGTGGCGAGCTTGCGACCTACGGCCTGGACCTTTTTTTCTTCGCGCTCACGGCTACTCTTCCTATCTTGCTCCATTTGAACTCTGCGCTCACTTTCCTCTGGTACGATTATTGTAATTTAATGCTATACATTCTTGCGCGGAGCAGCCAACAACCCGCCCGATTTGAAAACTAGGATCACCCTAAGAGAAAGATTTTGGACCTGAAGAATTAGCTGGCACGAGTTATCATATCTCAGCAGACGGCAAGCTCCGGTAGACAGCATACGCACATACAGCTTGCACCGGGTGCGCCTACGATTCTCGCTCACATCTCAAGACCTGAGATGATCACGGCGATATAGTTTCATCCTATGGAGGTTCGTGGATGGAAACGCTTGCGGACGCACCAGAACAAAGCTGCACGAATACAGAAACCACGCCTTTAAGAATCTACTATACAGCCATTACTGGTGACCGCTCGAGACCTTCAGGCTGGCCTCCTTTGGTGTTGAAAGTGTAGGAAATCGAGCGAGCATTACGAGCACTTGCACCTTTGATACCGAGATGGATCTCCATACTATCATGAACTCGGACGGCGGCGCAGGGAGGAACGCATCAAGACAACAATCTCAACCACCGCCTCCCTTGACAAAGATGCCAACAGCATCGCCATCGATGACTCCAACGCCACACACTCCGATTCAACCGCATCCGCACCGTGGGTTCAGAGACTACAGCCAGCCTGTTCATGGATCGCCTAGTCAAGCCCCTGCGCCTCCGCCGACCGAATATCATGCCGGGCATCCACCTCCAGGACCGCCGGGGCATTACGTATCACCGACTGCGCAACATCCTCCTGCAAACGCATTCACCCCAAGACCTGCTCCACCACCGCTACAGCCGCCGGGCCCGAACCACGATCCGAGATCTCCAGGCAGTGCTCAGTTGTCTGGGCCGTCCCCTTACCGCCATACTCCTACCTCTTCCCTCAGTGCCAGCAGTCAGGGTTATCCATTCCCACCTACCCATGCACAGAATCAGCTACCAGCGAGCCCGCAGCAGCGACATCAATACGGCCCAACTGGTAACTATTCCAGGGATTCGAGGGATAGCTTCGCGTCACCTGGAGGCCCAGCACCGCCGCCCGTTGGCATGCCATCTACTCACGGGTCCGCAAGTTATTTCCCGGGCCAGCAAGTTATGCCACCACAAACGCCGCCCGTCACGACACCAGGCGGCTCGCAACATTCATATATGCAACAGCAACAAAGATCACAATCGTTGCAGTCTACGTCGACAGCGACGCCAACTTCCGCTCACCAGCCGTCATTCAGCACGTCCTATGGTCCCCAAAGCGGCAGCCCAGCTACAACAGCACGGTCGTTGACGCAGTTTGACCACAGAGATCAACGCCAATCCTCGCAGCCACCAACACCTCTTGGTCCACCCGCTGCACCACGCCAGGTATCAGCGCAATATCCACAACCACAAAGTCCGTACCAACAAAGAATGTCTTCAGTTTCGGCGCCAGCTCCACCACAATCACCATACTCTTCTCATCCTCCACAACAGATACCACAGCCCCGAGCGCAATCACAGCATCGATCTCCATCAGCGCCGCATGCTGCCACAATCGTTCCTCAATCGCAGACGCATCCCACTCCGCATTACGACACAGCTGGCGACCCACACCGCCGGTCACAATCGTACGCGTCACACGCATCGCAGGAACGTGAGCGTAGCATTAGTGTCTCACCCAAGACTCGCATTCCAAGCCTTACGGAAAGTCTGGGTGGCGCTTCTGCCTCGGGCCAACCGCGACCCTCGTCAATGGGTGGCGACCCGACAGACCAACACTTGCATCAAATACCCCAACAGCATCAGCAAAGCCAGATGCAGCAAGCGCTGCCGCCTAGCAGTCAAGTTCCTGCCATGAAGCGCGAAGGGACGCCAGCCAAGAGGAAGCTGGATGATAGAGACCTCCAGCCTGATGAACTCAATGGCACCCGGAGACCGCCGCCGCCTCCTCAGATGAATGGCACCCATGGCACGGGACCTCTCATATCCCAACCCTCGTCACCCGTCGTCCCCCGACGCAAGAAGACCCGCTTCGCCCATCCTCCCGTCTGGGCACAGAGCGGGAAGGCACGTCAACCCAATGCCAGTCGTAATTACACCCTGAAGAGCAAGACCCATGTCGGTGGTGGCAGTCATGAGCCACACACTAATGGCGATACAAATCTTGCTCCATCTAACGAGAGCAAAGCCAAACTGGAGCAGGCCTCGGTAAAGTCGGAACATGCATCGCGACACACTTCTCCCGAAGTCATTCGCAAAACAGAAGAGCAGTCAGCCATCAGCCCAGACAATCGAGCATGGAAGCTTCTTGACGGGCGACCCTTTCCTGTTCAACCTATTTCGCTGAACCTCCCAATCGACAATCTGGTCCGGACGGTGGCCGACTTCCTGTTTCAACACATCTGTTTGAGCGAGTTCTCTGGCGAGGTTCGAGCACGTGGTATACAGTGGGAAGTTGAAGCCAAGCTAGGCACCATCATTGATCGCAATACAAATTCTCGTGTAGCATACCCGGTGAACGGCGAGTGTGTCCTTACCCCTGATGCCCGAGTCGCATTTAGAAGCAGTATGACCCTGGTGAGTACATGAGAACTTGTTACGTTTTATGTCTTTATTCACTAATACCCAAATTCTCCAGGCCCAGCATCGCGTGTTTAACGAGTGGTTAAATACCAATCTTGCTACTACTCATCCCCAGAACCCTCACACAAAGCCTTATGAGCACGTGCCTATTTCTTACAAGCACCGCAGAGAGGTTGACGAGTTCTTCGAATTACCACCTCCGCTTATAGCCAGGCTACCCAGTGCTTTAACGGCACTTCAGCAGTCAAAGCAGTCCGCCAAAGGCCGCATCAGCCGGGACCAGCAGACTGGTGAAATCCTTGCCAAGATTGTCAAGGCGCGAGTAGCAGACCTGAACATTCACTTGCCAATGGCACGTCTTGACTGTCGCATCAGCATCAACCTTGAGTGGGATTGGGACGGTCCTGCCGAGGAGATCATGAAAGGCCATCCGGCAGGCCGTGATCGGCAACCGGACCGTGCCAAGGACCGCATGAGCTATTCGCAGGGGCACTTCCAGGTTGACCTGACGCAGGTGAGCCAGGCCAATCCCCGTAGCGGGACTCTCGAAAAGGAACACGAGTTGGAAGTAGAAATGAACGCTGCCGTTCTCATAGAACAGGGCATGAGGGCACAGGCTGACGAGCCAAATTTATACCCAGAGTTGGTGGAAACGTTTGTAAACAACATTAGAGCATTGGCGCGGACCTGTCCGGAGTAAGGACGGGGTGGTCTCAATCAACGTGGCGACAGTTGTCTACTTCTGCCCGGCATCGACAAAGACGAGCTGGCAATGGCAAGCAGCGTCAGACTCAGCATAGTTACTTCTCGTTCTTTGAAAGACATGTACAAACGTATTATACATTCTTCCCCACGTACAAGCCAACATGAAAAAAATTGCTTCGTGAACGACCAGAGGATGATGACATTGAATATGATAACGCGATCAACAACGAATTCGGTCCCTCAGAGCCAAAGCGGTTGCCGGACAACACCTGTCAGCGGTCATTTTTATCTCGGCGCTCTTTGTGTATATGTGGATACGCTAGGTCTGAAAGATTGTACTCCGTACAAAGGTTTCTCTCTGAGAAAGCACATAATCAGGATTCTTGCACATGGACGGGCCTTGATTTCTAGAATATTAATGCTCAGTATTGAATGTAAACGAAAGTTTTGACGATGTCATAAAGTACTAAATAACCTCCATTTCAAGCCCAATAAACAAAGGGAATTGATAGAATGTAAGACACGGCTGCTGAGGTACCACCCTCTTGGTAAACATTTCTGAAGGGGAACGTTCATATTCTCGAGAAATGGTCAAATACTGTACCAAAATCAATCTATTTGAATCGCGGCTGTCTCCTGGGTCGTTTCCCATCCGCAACTGCGTCATCGAGGACTTCGGTGGCAGACACAGTATCGTCAACTTGAGAAGTCTTCTTCCGGGTCTTCTTGGCCGGCGTCTCGGTAGTAGCCTTCACTGCCGGCTTCGAGGGTGTTCTTGCGGGAGTCTTGGCTGACTTTTCGGTATGGACCTCATTAGTTGCTTTCTTGCGGCCTCGCCTAGCGGGTGTCTTCTCATACTTGCTTCCTGCCGCTCCGTTCAGGGCAAGCGTTTCGCCGTCGTTGTCGTCATCAGCTTGGTCTGTATAAGTGACCTTTTTGGTTGATCTCGCGGCTCGTGAGCTTTTACGCAAAGCAACAGAAGGCACTTCTGTTGATGGAGTAGCCGGTTCTGTTGGTAAAGAAGCTTTGAGCGCAACGGCACGTTTAGCGTGTGTCTTGGGAGCGGCCTTTACTTTCTCCTTTCCCCCGGCAACGATGGTTGAAGATGCTTCGCCTACTGGCGTTGGGTCTCTACTAGATGTTGCAACGCCCTTGAATCGCTTCATAGGTCTCTCATCATTGGAGACATCCTTCGGGGTTCGCGCTCGCTTCCTTGGGAATCCGGGTTCCAAGGGTGACCTAAAGTCAGCGGGCAGAGCTTTCATTCCCGGAATCAGCATTGAGAAGTTCTCGACTGCTCCATCCTTGTGATTAGTGCGATCATCAACCTCTTCCTCCGGCTCTTCATCTCTGCTGAGCTTGCGATAAGAGGGATCATACGCACGCATGCTCCTAGGTAGCCTCCTTGCGCTGCCGCCACCGGATGACCACGGGTTCAGGCCGTCGTCATCGCTTGTGCTTGATTCAGATTGTCCGGTTTCTTCCTCGCTGCCAGAATCGGACGACTGCGAGCTGATTTCCAAGAGCAGGCGAGCCGAATCGCTCGTGTTCTTGCGGGTCGAGGGGCCTCGTCTTGTAGTTCCAGCCAAGGCGCTCTTTGCCTTTCCACGGGCTGTTGTAGCGGCGGTAGATGACGCGTGACTGGCAGGCACAGTGTGCCAACCATCGAAATCTATGGGGTCGAGGTTTCGATAAATGCCATGTCCCATGTGGGGAGGCCACGGCAATTGGTGACGTGCCAGAGCATCATCAGTACGAGAAGCCGAGTAGATATCATCGCGAGGGGTGCCACGTGCTTGAGCAGGATCATCGTAGACAGCAGCAACGCGGTCGTCGTCGGCGGGGAAGATGGACCCGTGGTAAGCAGGGTATGCGTCAAAGAATGCCCTACGCGCGGCCTTGAAGTCAAATCCAGATGGAAATCTAATCCATCCACTCGTGTTGGGAACTTGGGCTCCCGTGGGATGGTATTCACCCGGCGCGCGTCTGATTCGACAGGAAAATTTGGGATTACAATGAAGCTACGTTTGGTTATGGTCAGATAGGTCAATGAGAGCCGGAGAAAATTTTAAAGTGACTTACTTCAATTTCCGCTTCCCGATTCGGGTCATCCATAGTGGGGGCGAGTGTAAAGCATCGCGAGCACCTCATGTGCTCAGTGGGCTGGAATGGACGGGCGGTGAATGGCCTATGGGGTGCTACTGTTGACCAGTCCGGAGATGCTGCCCTCGCTGTGCTGCTGAATTTCCATTCAAACTGGGGTCCTACTGCTGTTGATGTTGGAGGCGGCACTGGGGGCTGCCAGCTCCTCAGCGATGCTGCACTTGCTGTGTGGGTGATAAACTGCAAGCCATTGGGAAGGTGTGTCTGGCCGGCTGCCATGGCAACTCCGTGGCTTTGATCCATGTGATGCAGATATTGCTCAGAAGTCATGTGAGATACCACAACGCCACAGTCGACGAAGCCAGGGCATTTTAGATCATGAATACCAACTCTATCACCGGGACCGGTTCCAGAAACGTGAGGATGCGCTCCCATATGGCCAGCAAAATGCTGGACCTTGACATCCTCAGTCCATGCACGATCATGGATCGGAAACGCCTGCTCGCACCACAGGCAGCGATCACTGATTGCATGTTTACGTGCGAAATGATCGTGGGCCTGTTTGGGCGTTTCGAGAAGGATTGGGCATTGAGGACACTCCCTGCTTTTGGGTTTCGGCCGCTGACTGCAAAATTCGCCATGAGAGCGTCGGGAGGCATAGTCCATTGTCGTGAGTGATACGCCGCAAAATCCGCAAAATTCCCAAGGATGACCACCGAGTGGTTTACATCCAACCCTGTGCTGAGCTTGATACGCTGGAGTGTAGCCAGCCCATTCTAAGCCGCAATTCTGGCAGCATATCTCGGGCGTGGGATTCGCTGAAGCTATCTTTCCAGCGCACTTGGCATTCGTACATGAGCCGTTGGATGCCTCGCCACAGTAAACGCAATAGCCCGGCAAACGAGTAGACCCGCGTCCAGTTGAGCTGCCGCCTGCAGCAGCAATATTGAGACACTTTTTTCTGTGGTTATCTCTATCCGCAGGTGAATGACAGGCTAAATGATCACGACCACACTGGTTGCAATGTTTGTAATCTGCAAGAATCTGCCGCTTATCTTCGTTACTCAGAACAGCGCCAGGGACATTGCTTTGAGATTGGTCTTGGCCAGTGACTCCAATATTAGCTTGAGACAACATATCCTTCAAATGATGCTCATAGAAATGCTGTAGAGCTTGGGATTTGTTCCGAAAGTAAAGCGCGTTCTTGGCTTGGCTACCGCCGAGCCCACTCGCGTAGCAGTACGGACATTGCAGCTCCAGGTGATCCTGCTTTAAATGAGTGTCGAAGGCCTCTTGATTGTTGTAATCATACGTATTGCCACAGTCGCTATATGGACATCTTCTCACTCGACCAAGGGCAAGATTTCGGAAACCATGAACGTCATTCTCTTGACTTGATCCCTCCGTCGTATCCTTGGCAGTGGTTGTGAGAAAAAGAGCGCGTGGGTTACCCTTCATATTGGACTCTTTTGGACCTCCAGTGATGGGCAAGATAGGCTTCAATGGGTTCGAAAAAATGCTAGGGGTTCTCCAAAGTCCCTGCTGTCGCGCAGGAGCAGAACCATTGACGGAGTTCGTTGCAGGAACAGCAGATGTACCCGATGCTGATGGAGTTGGGATGATTGCTAGGGGAGGCTTTCCCACATTGTAACATGCACCCCAGTAAGAAGAAGGGCCAGCGTCTAGTCATGTTAGCCCAAGATCATTGTCACACTCGCGTACTGGCGAAATTAACTTACTCCATCGCGTGGCGATCTCATACGCGTGCTTTCTATTTTCTAGGAGTTTCCCTCCTTCCACACATATCCAACCAAAGGCCAGCATCTTTTTCATTCTGGCCCATTCAAGCTCCGTCGTGTCAGGTCTTAACAGCATGTTTCTCGGGTTTGCCTCCCCAGCTGTGGTCAAGCCCAAGACCATATTGTCATCTTGCGGGTCGTAAAAGCCGTCATTGAAGATACGTGCAGCTATTTCCGTTTTGAAGTTTGCGAGGCTCATCTCGAGCAGGGAGGCCGACATTGTAAAGCTTCTCATACACTTTGCAGGGTCAAATCTGTCGGCTACAACGTACTCTTTGTAGATGGGACGAGCCCAAATCGCAAATCCTGCATCATATTCTGCTTCATTCTCAGCGCGAAACTGGTCGATGCGTTTTTGCCATTGTTGGTCGTGGGAGATTGCCCGGCCGTTCTGATAGTAACATTTGACCGGTGTTATGGAATCGTCTACGAAACCTCTAGCTGAGATATACAGCTCGACGTAATCAACGTCATGAGCTGAATACGGCTCGCCACCCGCCTTGGACCGACCATCCAAAAGATGGTGAATGACTGCATCCGTTATCGTCCGCATTTGAGTCATGTTTGCTTTTGTTATAGTCTGAACATGACCATGTCGGTCGTCGGCCGTAGTGCCTGTATACCAAGGCGACGTGAGAACGGGTATATCATTCTCCGCTACTGGAGCCATCGTCGTGAGAATCTGAAATCTGTCGGGACCCGATAATGCGTCTACGATTTGATCTTTGAGAAGGTCAGGAAAGCCTTGGTCCACGTACCATCGACCGTATTCCCACCTGTCCCCTGATGCAGTCTCGAGAGCTACATCCATCCAATAGTGACGTGGTTGAACGGGAAGGATGGTTCTGAGCGCTTTGTGCCACTCTGTATCATATTGTGACTGTGCATTCTGTTTTGTCGGCGAACGAGTGGTTCTCATGTACGCTTTGGGGCACTCTTCAACATCATCACGCACGACCTCAATCCGGCCCGCCCCAATAGGTCGGTAGTTCGTCGGGCGCGCTTCTCGCGCAAAACGGACAAAGCATACTCGACGATCTGTCTGTAGGTCGTGTGTCTTGTTCGAATTTGTAGTCACAAACTCCAGGATCTCATTGTTGGGGTCATCATCATACTTTTCCGCGTTCAGCCAGAATTTACCTTCTTGTGTCATCAGATGTGTCTTCAAGAGCTCGCCGGGGCCTTCAAAAAGGTCGATACCAATCTGAATAGACGCATTCTGGCTCTTTTGTTGCTCCACACCCAGATCTAGCAAGCGAACGACGCCCTGGACGAAATCAGCCCAGGTCGCTCCGATTCCGATGCTCCCCTGGCGGCCGTACAGCCATATGAAGGCATTTCCGGCATCGTCTGCATCCTTGCCGGTGTGCTCAGGTAGATCGTCATACGCCAGTCTACCTCCACGGAGAGTCATGGTCAGTTGGTCGCTGGCTTCCTTCTCCCATTGAATAGACATGACATCGTCTTGCTCATTGTCTCCCTTGACAATGTCTGACAAGATGGCGTCGACATCTTGTTCGCTTAGGCCACCGCCACGAAGATCCATGGCAGGAACGTCTTGGTTTCCTATAAATACGTATCAGAACCGATATTGCTGTATCTATTCCTAGTTTGTTCGTCGTGCTCACCTGTTTGATCACCCAAGGGACGCTGACGGTGCTTTTCCAAATATCCCAGCGGATCTGGGAGACCCTCTTCATCACACTGGTCGAGAGTTTCCAGATATTTTTCCCATGGGTCTTGGGATATATCCATCTTCATTGGCGCAACAGGAAGTCCAAAGTAGAGCATTGCCATTTTGCAGGGGAGGGTCGGTGCCTTTTTCGCAAATGTTGTTTTGAGCAGATATTTAAAGTCCTCTGTCCTGCGCTCCTGTTCTTTTGCGAGGGTCTTATCCTGAGAAGGTATAAATTGCTCGATCTCTGGAGCCGTAAAATGATCATTGAGTATCTCAGATATCGTCAAATCCGCCTTCCGTAGCTGTCTGTCAAAATACTGCTCCATGACCACAAAATCCGCGTTGCTTGGCTTGATTCGTGGGTTGAGGCGAGTGCTGAACGGGACATGTCGGTAGGATGTATCCAGAGAAGCAGGCTTTGACTTTTGCTTGATTGGCTTTGCTTTGGTAGCCCTCGTTGCGGAAGCCATGTTGCAATCCTGAGCAACAGAGCTCGCGGTGAGAGCGCCACGATTGTTGTCAATGTGCGACTCCAAATGCAAGGTGCCTGAGGCTGATTTGAATGCTTGAAGTCTGTAAAATGATCTCTTTCTCGAGGCGACAGCAGGTGCTATCATAATACAATGGCAAGTTCCAAGGCAGTTTCTGTCATATTTGGACAATGTTGAGTGATAATCTTGGAGCTGCCAACACAGATCCGAAGGTTGTGACAAGGGGAAAAAAGAAGAAGCAAAGGAATCATATTGACAAAGGAAAATTATTGATGGACTCTAGGAATTTGCAACTTCCAAAGAAAGCATTCCCAAAAGCAGGCATGTGGGCTAAAACAACATTCCTCCCTCCCTTTCACCCCTTGGCACATATCCAGAGCGCTAGCATTGACAGAACTACAACAAAGACGCGCCCGTCGCTGAATAGATGTAAATGGTCTACAGAGCATTCCAGGAGCAGACCCTCCGGATTTGGTGCAACGCAGTTTCCCATTCCTACAAGACGAAAGCAGCGAAACGCCCAGGACAGGACAAGGCATTTGTCCTCGCTGTCCAAGCAGTAAAGCCTATATGGAGACATGCTGAGACCTTGATCATCATATATGAGCATGCCCTTGATCCGCATTTTGTCTTGTACTTTGTTGTTCTTTAGAATGCTCACCGTACAGCTGGGTGAGTGTAAATGTGTAGATGCGTCCCCAGGGATATAACTTGTTCGTTTCAGTGCAGGCGGATAACCTTGGAGAAATGGGTTGTCGGCTACGTGACGATGACAAATAAAGGTACGACCCAGCGCCAAACACAGCGCAACGACAACCGCTCTACATAATTATTTGAACCCGAGATCGGTGCATCAAATACCGAGCGGACCCTTAGTTTGGTCTTGGATTTGTTTGAATCTTATTATTGTGGCTCTTTGGTGTCTCCATTGACTTCCCCGCATTGATGTGTGACAACACAGGCCTGCATCTCCATCACCGGAAAGTTGCAACGGCTCGCCCAACCACTTGTAGATGACTGAAGATTGCCTTTTCCTGATCAGCTACTGACTTTTATCCTCTGTAAACCAAATCATCAATCTCTGCTGCTGCTCTTTTCGCCTAGATTTGCTCTTCGTTTGTCGATATGGGCTCAGATACAACCACACTTTTGGATATTCTGCGGAGCCACTCGGCTGTCGATTGTGACACCTTTGACGAAACAGGTCAGCATATTTTTACAGCTGCTGAATGCACATGAATTTGAGTTGATATACGTCGTATAGTTGCAAGCTCGTTGGGCCCATTCGTCGACTGTACATCGAACCAGGCAAGTTGAGCTTTCGATTTTGCGTTCATGACAGTGAAATCTCTTAGACAGACACTAACTAGAGTATCTAAAGGCTATAGCATATCACGAACTTATACGAGTAGATGGCCAAGGCGACCGGGTACACGCACAGCTCATTGAGGATGCAGTCGTCTACGCAAAGTCCAAGCGTGCTGCATACCCCAAAGTGGACGAAGCTGAGATCGCTGTTGAATGCATGATGGTAAAGCTAGCGCTGAGAATTGTCCCATATCTTACGGGATACTCGCACATTCAGACCAACCCCCAATACTCCTATAATACGCAGAAGACCATTGAGAATGCCAAGCGTAAGTATCAAAATCTATGCTTGCGAAGTTGGAAATAAATAAATAAATAACACTCACTAAAGGTATCGTTCAGATCTTCAAAGATCTAGAACCGTCTTACGACAGCAAAAGAATTTGTATCAAGATACCATCAACATGGGAGGGCCTCTTGGCCTGCCAGACTTTGGAATCACAGGGGATTTCGACGTTGGCAACTACAATGTTCTGCATGGAGCAGGCAGTACTTGCATCGCATGTTGGCTGCACCTATATCGCTCCGTACATTAACGAATTGCGCGTACACTTTGACGCCGGGTACGTATGAGGCTTACCGGAAATGATTGCGCATTGTTAAGACAAGACTCGGTACAGGTACACCGACGAAGCCAAGGCCTTCCACTTTTGTGGGCAGGCGCAAGCATACTATGAGAAGATTGGAAGCAAGACCAAAGTGTTACCTGCTAGTTTAACCAGCATCCAGGAGGTCATGCTGTTGGCCGGAGCTCATCACATCACCGTCTCGCCACCACTTTTGAAAAAGCTGGCCGAGACACCAGCAAACCCATGGGAAGGAGAGACTGGCAAAGTTTTCAACGAGGTGAACATGAGCCTGTTGGACGAATACAGTCACATTCCACGGGACGAGCCAAGCTGGCGACTGGCCTTCACGCGAAGCGCCAATGGTCAAAGCGAGGTCAAGATCATCCAGGCAATCAACATCTTTTGCGAAAAGCAAGAAGGACTGCAGGAGCTCGCAAGATCAGTTTGATTCTGTCCGCGCTCAATTTTATCGGTGGAATTGTTCAATGGTTGTTTATGTATAACAGATAGGTAGTTTAAGCAAAAATGCTCACCCTATCTGGTCAACCGAACATTGCAAAAATATATCACCGATGCGATATATGCCCATCATGTCTAGAATATAACGGAACGTTGTCTCACCGCAGATACAGATTGCATGCATAGCCAGGCACGCTTCCGCTCACTCTCCACATTCCCAAACCAATGCTGCTTTAGATGAGGCCAAGACTGGCATCAAACAGTGATAGCGCTACGCACCCAGGGCTACTTGTCCACTATAGTGCTGGCAATCGAACGAGATAATACGGTACCTTGGTACAGTCCATCATCGGCAATTCATCACCACCTGAGTATCTGGCACCACCTATCAATGCCGTACCTACATAGGCACTTGTACGAATCCCAAATGAACAAGGGATTTGACTTGCGCCAGTCATGAATACCACATGTGCATGTCAAGCCCAGGCTACATTAGATATATAAGTACATACCTATCTAGGTATGTAGGTAGGTAGCATTTGACGTACAGAGGCTCACAAGTCGACGGGCGAGGGGAATAGGTAGTATTCTCAGTGTGTCGTAGCCGACTCCGGACACAGGGACCTCGCATCTCGCTAGCACTTGGAACGGCGGGGTTGAGCCACTAAGAATCATCCATGGATTTTACCTACAGGCACCTGGGCCAGTAAATGACTCGCTAAGGATCCAACGCTTAGTACGTCGCTCCATGTACCTAAGGTAGGTACGTTCCCCTCATTGCACGTGTGTACTGTAAATGCCCATTGCACCTTAGATACTGTAGGTAGGTACCTAGGTAGTATCATTGATGACTAGAGGTACGTACATACCGGCAACCTATCCTCTTCTTGGCGATTCCTTCACTCTTGCAAATGAGCAAATTAAAACTCTCGAGTGCTCGAGGCCTTCAAATAATTACCTTGACCTTCATCCCCCCCAACATATTCAGATATTTGGTGCCCGAGGAAGGATGTCAACATCGGACGATCTCCTCAGTTGGGCCAGTCGAAACGACATTAGATGCGATGGCTTCAAACTCGTCCAAACACCAGGACGAGGCACCGGTGTCTTTGCGGATCGCCGCATCGAAGTAAGAGGTATTGTCTTATACATGATAAAAGACACTGACAGCTATGATTTCAGGCTGGAGAAGTCATACTCGAAGTGCCTGTCAAGATGATGCGTAACATTGACTCTGTCCCGCGTGGCATCCGCGACAAATTACCGCCACGCTGGTCCATACATGTCAGTACTGAAAGCCTTGTTTCCATCTACCTTCCTGGCCATTTCTTAATATTACGGTTGACCTCCTTCGGTGGTCTGGACTATTTTCCCCACTTGCATTCTAAGTCAACTATACTCACTCTTGCTTCATTATGTAGAGTTCTCTGGCAGTTGATCTCTGCTTCAATCAAATCGTCGCCCCTTGGCAGGCAATTCTTCCCACAATTGACGACTTCAGGAATTCATTGCCGCTCATGTGGCCGCCACAGGTTAGTAAATTTATCTTGACGGACGCCTTGGGCTATACGCAACTGTCAACTATGCCCAAGGTTTGTGGACATGCATCGATCAACTTCGGCGACATTTGATTGCCTTGGCAAGGTTAGGTTGCTGTCACACATGTTTAGATTGCCTCTAACGTCTTTCTCTCATGATAGCTCCAAGCCATGCTACCTCGGCCTACCTTGACCTTGGTGAACGAGCAGAAAGCCAGAATTCAGGGCCAGTGGGTTGTTGTTGCAGAAAGGTTCCCTACTCTAGGCTATGAGGAATATCTCCGGTCTTGGTTGATTATGAATACACGCACGTTCTACCATTCGACGCCGGAGACTGAGTCGTACGAGTGGGTAGAACGTATTGGTCTTCTCCCTGTAGCCGATCTTCTCAACCATGCGGAAAGAGGATGCAAAGTGCTCTACACCGATACAGAGTACACCATTACAACAGATCGAGTTTACAATGCCGGCGATGAGATTTGTAACTCTTACGGTGAACACACCAATGACTTCCTGCTTGGAGAGTACGGTTTCATTCTTTTAACGAACTGTTGGGACGAGATATGCGTTGACGACGCCATCTTGCCTCAATTAAGTCAAGTCCAAAAGTCAAACCTTGAGAAGGAGAATCTTACCAAAGGTTTCAAAATCGGAAACGACAGGGCACCTTGCGATAGAACAAGACGTGCAATGCAGATATTGTGCCGGAAAAAGGGAGACAATCTGAAAACCAACCGGAAGGAAAACAATGAAAATTACCTCGAGCCTGAACATAGCGCACTACTGGCCGCTTATCTCGAGGGTTATATGGCCACGATCGACAAGACTATGGATGGTATTGAGGAGATGAAAAATGTGGAACGTGGTCAGAAGGAACTTTTGCTCCAGAGATGGCGGCAAATTCGGACTGCAGTTTCGGAGGCTACTGACCAGCTCGAGAATACCACATCCGTCCAATAATGTCTTTTAGACGATAGATTACCTAGTAGCCATGATCATAAAGGGTTTGCTTGGCCTCGTCTCTCCTCGCCTCCTTGCATTATGCCACAATACCCCGAATATTCCGGCTCTGTGACATTGTAATAGCATAAGAACCCTTTGCCCGATTTCCAATATCTGATGATTTTGGAATCCAATTGGACAGTATGCTCAAGTAGCTCATCAGTATGCTCTCGTGGCACTGGCCGCACTGCAAATGGTTGTTCAGTTATTCTGTTCAGTCTACCTATGTACTAGCTAGGTACAAACCTAGGCTCCAGAAATGACCCCAAGGGACACCCCCCCACTGTCCGACTCCCAGAAAGCCGAAAATTTTAGCCTGCCCGTAAATACAACCTTTCGCTACATTAATTACCAGATTACCTACTGCCGTACACCCACTGTTCAAACGTCCATTTTTTTTTGTCCACGATTTATCGGGTCTGAAATTCTCCAAGATTCAGCAATCTGTCACTAGGCTATTTTGATCGCACAACTTCTCAAAGATTGTCATCAAGGTGTCGGAAACACCTCGATTTTCTGTGGCAACCAAAAGGTTAGAAATAACAGAGAAGCACTTGGCAGAGAAGACCACACGCACAGATGGCTGAACCATCAGACTTGCCCGGCAACACCGAAGGGTCCAACGGGACAAGAAAATCTTCGGATCATCAGACCACTGCCCTCTCACCTAATAAAGACGTGGGCCTCGGATACTGGAACAACGTTGAGTGCAATGTTGATGGAATGCTAGGCGGCTTCTCTGTTGTGTCCAGGATTGATCTTCAAAGTTCGCGCAACTTCCTGGCAAAGTTAGGCATTGGAGCTAAACCGGGACTACGTGTAGTCGATCGAGCTCTGGAAGGTGGCGCTGGGTAAGTTTGAAATCATGCAAGCAATCGATATGCTATTCGCTTTGTGAGCCGGTTATTTACAGTCGTCTGACAACCCTTCAGCATAGGACGAGTCACGGAAGGGCTCCTTCTCAAGGTCGCAAAGACTGTGGACATTATTGAACCTGTGATCAAATTCACTGATACCATTAAAGGAAAAGATGGCGTCTGTAAGATTCACAACGTTGGATTGGAGGAGTGGCGACCGACACAGGATGATCAATACGATCTGATCTGGACCCAGTGGTGTGTAGGACATTTGAGCGATGCTCAGCTGTTGCAGTACCTCAAGGAGTGCAAATCAGCACTCAAGCCCGGGACTGGCCTTGCAGTTGTCAAGGAGAACCTCAGCACGATAGATGTTGACATGTTTGATGAAATAGATAGCAGTATTACAAGGTAACATCCCCATCACTACGCTTCCTCGTTGCAGCCGTGCTAATTATTCCCTTGCAGACGTGATGACAAGTTCAGAAGTCTTTTCGCAGAAGCGGGATTGGCTATTGTCAGGACGGAATTACAGAAGGGCTTCCCCAAGAGTAATCTAGGTAAATTGCTGCCGGTACGCGTCTATGCCTTGAAACCGGTATCATCCGCTTCTTGATAGTACGTAATCTATTAGATACTTTGCTAGTTGAACGCCTAGGCATTGATAATACCCAGGTGGACGAGCAATGCAACTAGTGCTTGCTTGAGAAGTCATATTATCCGAGTATTCCAGCATTTCATAACCACCGAAGAGGTATGTCTGTCAGCCACGTCTCTCTTGGTGCTAACAGATGAACCTCGAAAGTCTCAGGTTCACTCCCATGTTTCTGTATAGCAAGTAATACGGTATGGTGTAAGTTTTGGTGTACTGACTTGATCTGTAACCCATTAGACAGCCTATGCATCGAGGATACCGATATCATTGCACCAATTGACTCCGGGCTCCTCTTGATCCTAGCCTCCTACGGGATGACAAGCTTTCTCAGGTGCCCCAATGTCATCACCTGTTGTGGATGCTTTGAGCTTGTCACCTCCGGTCTCTATCTCTCGTGTGTTGTCCATGAGAGCTGTTTCGTCCATGATCCATGACTGGAACATGGAAACAGCGGTTTCAGGGTGGTGCCTGTGATTCAATAGAAACCCCTGCAGCTGTGCTGGCGTCAACGTATCGGCGGGTACTTGCGACTTGAATTCGATTGCCAATGTTTGGAGCTGTTCGCTGCTGATCTTGGCACAAGGTTCTGCCATGTTGGGCTCATCATTGGGTTCGGGGGCATAAAAGCGCAGAAACATCTCCTCCGCGGCATCTTTGCTGATGTTGCCCATGAAGATTATTTTGTCAATCCGCCCAGGCCGGACCAAAGCGTCGTCGAGTGCATCCGCAAAGTTGGAGGTCATCAAAACAATCCGCCCTTCCTGGCTCGTCACGCCATCCAAAACATTCAACAGACCAGACAGAGTGACACGGCCAGGGCGTAGCTGCCCGCCGACCTTTCGAATCTCCTTGGGATCCTTGACTTCCAAGGGAATATCGGGAAGCTCTCGGGTACGTTTTATTCCAACAGCATCGATGTCTTCGAGAAGGACAATACATTGTGGTGGCAGGGATGTGAATAGCCTGTCCAAGTCAATGTCCTGGCTCACAGTTGGAATATTGATCATGAATAGATCAAGGCCAAAGCGTCCGGCAAGCGCGATTGATAGTGAAGTCTTGCCAGTCCCTGGGGGGCCATGGAGCAGATAGCCTCGGCGATAAGGAATGCCACGGTTTGTGTAGAAGCGTCTAGTGGCTGGCTTAAGATAGTTGTCAATGTCGAGGACGAGCTCATCTTTAGTCTTTTTGTCCATATGAACAGTCTCGAGAGGCCGAATCGGTCGTAGTATTGTCGTATCCCAACCTTCTCGGTGGAAAAGATTTCTTGACGCGTGGACTGTGACGAAAGCCTCACGTTGCTTGTCGGCAAAGTCACGACATGTGTTGAGAAACCTTTTGATGGGTTGGACAGACCTGCCTAGGCACATGACGACCAGCGGCTCGTGGCCGGCTGGAGGCACAACATACTGATCAGCAGAGTCGGCCGACATGTGGAAGCTGCGCATAGCAGACCTTGGATCCGCTATGCGACGAACAAGGAAGATTTTGTGATCATGGAAGAACCAGGTGATGCCAAATGTAGGAAGATATTGTATGGGCAGCCGTTTCTCTTGGTGGTAGTCAATCCTTCGAATGGCCGCTCTTCTAAATTCCCAGGCGTCATTCTGAATAGGCTCGGAACTTGCAGTCAAAATGCGAGTCTGCTGCCGTACGAGCACCTTGGCCCCAATCCAGTTCAAGACCTCACGATTCAGGCGGTCGCTACCGGGAATCGACACAGACGCGGTAAAGAACCTGACGATCCAGTTGTACACCTCATAGGCCAGACCTTTGAGGTGCTGGCTTCCTGTGCTGATGGCGCCAAAGACAGTCAGCGCCATGGCCAATGTTGTTATATCCAATTTCAACCATTTTGAAAAGAACGACTGCAGTGTGTTGAATCCTGGAGTGGTTTGTTCGAATAGTCGACGAAGCGAGCCTGCCCCGCCCAGGTATGGAAATGATGCTATTGATCGAGTAGGTTGGGCCATGACAGCGAACAATACAGGATGCTGAGTGCTGGACCATGCAAAGTAAATCACCTTGGGTGAAATCGCTAGATTGTGATCTTTTTGACCCAAGTAGTATGCTTTTATACAGGTAATCAACCGTGGTAGAGAATGGATCCTGGACCGTGGTGGTGGAATCGCATACACGAGGCCAAACTCCAAATGCCTGAGAGCCTGCTGTGGTCAAGGTCAGACAGACCGCCTTGGGTGTTGTTTGCTGGGGCCGGCGTTGGACTTGATGTATTGTCACACTGCGTACCTACTAGTAGATACCTAGGTACAAGGAAGTGACGGCCTAAGACCTTCAGCTGCCTACCGAGATGCATAGATACCTACTTCTCAAAGAGTCGACATCCCCAAATATGACGTCGCCAATGGAAAGCCTTGGTAGGTATTTATTTCAATAATACTACATACATCCTGAATCCCAAGTCATCTCGGTTGGGGGGAAAAAAAGAAGCCCAACGTATGCTTGAAAGAAGATGATGTCCTTTGGTGACCGACCTCCAATTTGAATAGACAGCAATTGACAGGCAGTCACTCACCTTTGTGAAACATTGTACTTTGACTGGTGAGTTCTTGGTGTCTCACTACCAATATTCATGGGCAAGGAATCACGACGATGACATGTGATCAATACCGCAATCAATTGATACCTCATACTCCGAGCTACATGGAGAGGGTACTTAGTGTTATGTTATTATTCTGATTAGGAATCGCACGGTGAGGTTAACCAAAATCTGAATTGCTTGATGCATTCCTTATCATACATTTAGTCAAGCATTGTAGGTTGTTATGTGGCTTGTGTTCTGGCTCCATCTTTGTGGTGTCTGGGCGGGTTCTGGGCAGGCAGGTACTTTTGAGGGCTGCTGCGATTTATTTCGCTCTACTTGAAAGTCGCTTATGGAATTTGACACAGTCTTTGAACAGGCTTGGGAACTTCTTCCTCTTTTTATTGCGTGATCTGAAAGAGTGACAATAATTTAACGTACTGTCTAGATGATTCTGCTTGGATGTGGCTTGCTTTCTGGTGCTCCCTGCATAGTTACTTGGTGATATATCACCAAGTATACTACGCACAATCGGGGGAAGAATTCTCCATGATCATTTCAAATAACGTATCCAAAATTCTGTTCTATCGATCCAGTACTGGTAGGTGGGTAGGTACCTACATGTAGGTAATTACATTTTGACGGTAGACACACTGAAGTGTGTACTCCAACACCCCCAAATCGCCCCCAAAAAATAGCACTAGGGTTGTCCTACAAGCTTTCTTACAGCCCCTAGATACCTGGAGGATTGTGGATGTTAGCAGTACTGGACTGGACCGGGCACCAAATGGGCAGCAGGCTAGGCTGGGCTGGGGCTCCCTGGAACAAAGCACGGCTCGGAATATTCGCACACCCCGGGATCTGTCAAATCCTTGAAGCTGCGCATCGATCCAAGGCGACATTTCGAGGCGCAAAAGCAGAAGCCTCACGGTGCACTTTGAGGCAATTGACCTGTTTGCACGAGCAATGGGCCATGGTCTTTACTCGAGATGAATATACGGCCACCAAGAACCCTTCTTCGCCCGGGCGCCGCTGATAGTGTTTGCTGGCAATGTAGCTTGCAGCTATCTCGATCCAGGGTACCAACGGCAGCTTCTTCACGAACCTTTGCCCAAAGCTTCGCACCACAGAATGCCATTGCTCCGCGGCCTCGCCGCCTAAGACTGGGCTATTTCTTCGCAAACAGCGCATTGCCATTGGCAAAGAATATTCGATCTGGTAGATATGCAGCATCAACGGCAGCGCCACGAAGTCATGATGAGGCCCCGACGTCATCACCAACAACACCCCATCCTAATCAAGACCTCCCGCACCGACGACGACAAGCCGCGAAACGAAAAGCCGCACTCGCAGCAGCAGAAGCAGCAGGAAATACCCCAGGCAACTCTCTTCCCGCCGAAGATGCCTCGTCGGCCTTGACGACATCGGCTGCCAACCACTCAGCCAAGTCATTTCGACGGCAATTCGCTCTCTACCTCTCGCTTTCGAAGCCGCGACTATCGATGCTTGTTGTTCTTACATCAATGTCTTCCTATGCGCTATATCCAGTGCCCGACTTTCTTTCGCCGACCATTGGCGTCGATGCGCCATCCTTGTCACCTCTGACGCTCGCCTTCCTCACCACAGGAACGGCTTTATGCTCGGCTTCGGCAAACGCCCTCAACATGCTGTACGAGCCCGATACGGATGCCAAGATGTCAAGAACTCGCAACAGACCACTGGTTCGAGGTCTGCTCACACAGCGAAAGGCTGTTGTCTTTGCCATACTGGCCGCGGCAACAGGAGTCGGTGCACTCTACTTCGGCGTCAACCCGACGGTTGCCGCTCTCGGCGCGACCAATGTTGTTCTTTATGCCGGCGTATATACACCGATGAAACGTCTTCACTGGTTGAACACATGGGTTGGTGCTATTGTAGGAGGAATCCCGCCCCTCATGGGTTGGGCGGCGGCTGCAGGAGAGGCCGCAACAGACACTGGAGGTTTTGAAGAGCTACTCCTCACACGTGATGCAATTGGAGGCTGGCTGTTGGCAGGCCTTCTTTTTGCCTGGCAGTTTCCACACTTCATGGCGCTGTCCTGGTCCATTCGAGAGGAATACAAAATTGCGGGGCACAAGATGCTCGCTTGGATCAATCCTGCACGCAACGGACGAGTAGCTTTGAGGTACAGCCTTGCGTTCTTCCCAATTTGCTTTGGTCTCTGTGCTGTAGGAGTTACCGAGTGGAGTTTTGCAGTCACCAGTTTGCCTATAAATGTATGGCTCACACGTGAGGCTGTGCGATTCTGGAAACACGAAGGTTACCAAGGCAGTGCCAGAGGTCTCTTTTGGGCGAGTGTTTGGCATTTGCCAGTCGTCATGGTGTTTGCCCTTGTCCAGAAGAAGGGCATGTGGAGCCGGGTGTGGAGGGCTGTTTTTGGTGAGCCTCTGGTCGAGGATGATGAAGACGAGGATGAATGGGAGGATGAGGAGATTACCGAGACAATCCCCAAGCCCAAAGAGCTTCGCATAGGCAGCTAGACTTGAGCCATGAGCTTTCAGCCTTGGGGATACGTACCAACCATGTATTTGTATTCTCATGTAACTATACGCAAACATGATACCACTCTCCCGCCCCGGCGCATTATCGGAATCACAATTTCAGAAATCAAATCACTCGAGTTCATTCGTCAAGCTAATATACATAAGCCCTATAGGGTTCAAAGTGGCACAAAAGATTCCGGAATCAAACAAGTCGTTATTCAATTAATGTGAAATACTTGCAGATTCCCCTCATTGATGAGCCAGATACTTCTACTCACTTTGCCCATGTTCTGATCAACGCTCATTGTCTGATCCGTGTTTCAATCGACTTCAGTTCGCCAAAGACTGATTTGAATTCCTCCAATTCTGATAGACTTTGCAAGTATCGCGTAGTTTCTGGAAGCTCCTTCTTCATTTCACTATCGTATAGGAAAGCCATCGAAGCAAACAAGGGTCCAGCAACCATAATATCGGCCAGTGTCAGCTGGGATCCGACAAGGTACTTCTTGCCGCCCTGCACCGAGACCTCGATCTTCTTCAGAGCACGTGTGAGGTTTGCCACATGCATTTCATACCGCTTCTCATCGTATGGCACCAGTTTCAGGAAGCACATGACAGCAGGAGGCATGATATTGGCGGCCAGCTCGTTCTCTGAAAAGAATGACCATTCGGTAATACGCGCTTGTGTTTGGACGTCTGCTCCCAGAAGCTGTTGCGCGGCAGGTCCGCTGCCAGCCAGGTAGGAACAGATGGCTGCTGCCTCAGCAACGCAGAACCCGTCGGCACATTCAAGAGCAGGAACCTTTCCCAGAGGGAATTTGGCCAAGAATTCGGGTGTACGGTTGGTTTTTCCCATGGCAAAATCATCAGCCAGTGGAACGTCAAGGCCATTGAGAGCAGCAGCGACTTGTGCCTGAATACTAGATAGTCAGTACGCTTTGGTCATTTCTGGGTTGAAGTCTTGGTTCTGTGAACAAGGGTACTTGCCCGTTGAACTCGCCAGTTGCCTGGATACGAGTAGATTTTGCCGAAAGGTGCCATGGTGACGATATCTATGGCGCTCAAAAAATGTGGTGGCCAAATTATACAGCGGTTAGAGTCGTGTTGAGGTATGCTGTCATGAGTCTGCGGAAGAGAATACTCGAGACTACTTGACCTTGACTTCTACCCTCTTTATCTGAACGTGGCCACGTCAAGGGTGAGTTGCAGCTGAAACTCTGGAAACTGCTGATTTGTAAGCAAGCCCTTGCTGCAGGTCTCGGAAGCATAAGTCGTATTTGCAAGCAAGTGGGTACGATAGCTAGATGGTAAGTAGTACATATCACAGTACGGTTCTGGTGGCCTACCATGTGGGGTCAAATCAACGAGGAGTCGTCTTCTGTACATGCAAGCCGCCACGTGCTTCTTTCTTGCTTGCCAGGTCTACATACTCATGATATTGGTTCATAACTGCCGGAGAGAATAATAACATGCACTTAACCCAAATCAGTAGCTTTAGAGAAAGCATAGTATGCGTTGATCATGCACAAACTTGACTCGGCGAAAGTGTCCCGGCATTGGAGACGGAGTTGCCCCGTCATGACAAATCCCTGACCGCCGGACACCGACATCCGAACTGCCGACCATAGCCGGGCTAGTAAAGTTCCGAGCAGTGGAGAAAAATAGTCTCCTGAATATTAATCGGCACCTATTATGCTGCGTGCAATACTATACTTGGCTCCCGCAATTATATTGGATACCTGGTAGCTTGTAACAGAGCGTGTAATATGATATGGCCCACAACTGGAACACGTCTTTTAAACATTGAAGTATACATGACTTGATTAAGAAGCTGCAGATGGGCAACCTCGGAATTGACACGGGATCGCGCCTGTTGCATATCCCCTTGATCTCCCGGCTGCTATCATTATCATCATTTCCCGCTGAATCGACTCCAGTTTGACCTCCTGTATAATGTAACGCCAAATACTCCATATGCACACCGTCCGACCGGAAAAAAAAAAAAAAAGAAGTGCCTGAAATCGTGCCCTATTTTCGCCAAACGCCAACGTCGATGCCATGTGCGCATCCATACCGAAACCAAGAGTCAAAATCTCGTGGAGGCGGGAAGCATTACGAGAGTAAAAATGTAGGAAAATGGTCATGTGCGATCATCACATGCCAGAAGGAGCGCCTCTATGCTGTGGTCGATTAATGATTGCCTCGATGCCCATATCCACACTAGGGAGTCGTTGCCCATGAGGCAGATAAGGAGAGCCACCCTGTGAGTGATGAGAATGAGTGGACATTGGGCCGTACCCTTGAGCCGCCGTTGAGGATACAGAAGAGCCGTAATCAGATGATGACATTCCGCCCGTGCTGGCGGGATATGCGTGACCGTACGCCTGATCGTTCAGGTGCATGTGGTTGTAGCCGTTGTGAAAGGAGCTGCCTACAGAGTGGGAGCTCGAGTGCCCCGTCTCGGGACTGCTATAAGAAGCATCGAGGTCATCTACTGGAGTCAGACCAATGCCCGAGATGCCGCTGTCGTCGTCATACCCATGGAAAGACTGGCCAGACTCGGCGCGCTCCCGCCGAGCACCTGCGCGGGCTGCATTCTGAATATTTTTGAGACCGCTATTCATACACTAAGAATGAGACGGTTGTCAGCGCCTGGCTATAGATACCTGTTTTATCTCAGGTTCGACTCACCCTGGCCTCGACGACATTCCATTTCTCTCCGACTTTGTGGGCGAGTGGCTGCCATATCTCTTTGCGCATGCTCATATACTCCTTGGCGATCTTTTCGAACTTGCGCACATCCCAGTCGTCGGCGCCCTTTCTTTCCATCAAGCGCTCGTGTCTTTTACGGCACGCATTGGGCGTCTTGTTTGGAAAGTAAGTGCTTCGAATCTGGTTCCAGTTTAATCCTTGCTGTCTGGCCGACAGCAGGTTTTGGTCATCTTGCGGTGACCAAGCCCCAGATGAAGCGCGGTGCGGAATGGGAGCTGGAACTACTGCAGCAGAGTATTGCTCGTACTGAGGTTGCATCGATGGCGGAGCAGCCGAGGAAGATGCCATGGTCGGATAAAACGCCGTGTTGAGAGGGAGATGTGGACGACTATTGTATCCGATATCGACTTGCTGAGACGGTGCTAGTGACGCAGGCATATTCATGGCATTCGCATATACCTGAGGATGTTGCTGTTGCTGTTGCTGATGGTGCTGGTGCTGGTGGACCGAGCTGGACGCGCGCGTGTGTTTTGGCATGGCGTCCGATAATGAAAAGATGGTCTATGCAGAAAATTGAAACGAATCAAGGATTCTATGAGACTGATTGGTGAATGACGATTAAAACTAGAAAAATGCTCGCGCCCAAGAATTTCGTATTTGGTGATGATAGTAGTCCCCCGGTATTTCTTTACTGATAGGCGAGATGAGAGCTCCAGGTCCCTCGTGTCAAACGAACGGAGGAGAAACGAATGGGAGACAAGGAAATAGGGCCAGACAGAGGAAACAGACGAAGAAGGAAATTGATTGATTCTTGCTATAGCGAAGGAGGTCTAGATGATGAGGCCAGAAACGATGAGCCACGATCAGGGCGCGACCCTTTATAAAACCGAGTCCACTCATTGAGGGCGAACGAGAACCTGCGGCAGTTGGCTCGAGGTTGTGATGCGAGACCTGAGTCCATAGATCTGAAACACAACTCCCATGCTGGTGGAAGATAAATGCAGAGCGGCAGACTGATTGCAAGATGCAGGTGGAATTCCTGAAACCCGGGGTGCGTATCTGAAAGAGCGGATAGACAGGAAAAGGCCTATTGACATTGGCTGGAGCGTCTCGAGAGGGCGTCTGTCTGGAGTTTGGGCGGCTAGACGGGGGGGATCTGACGTGCGAGGGCGGCTAACATATATGAGATGGAGCTCCCCCCGTAAATCCAGGACGCCAAGCTGGAGCACATATGATGAATACCAAATACATGCGCCGTACAAAAATAGAGGAGGGATTTGTGCTACTAGCCGCCATTATACTCAGGTTGCAGCCGCGAGAATAGGGAAAATCTCCTTAATCTCGCAATGCACGTTAGGAACTGCTACTTGATCGATAAAAGCAGTACCAAGGCGCCTTCTCCCCCACCTGGACAGTATGCAATTTTGGCAAAGATGGCAGTCTATGATTGCGTCTAGCTTTCAATGGCGTCGATGTTTGGCTGGCGCATCTCAACCAGTGTGCCTGGCGAGCGTAGCAACAAAAGAGTGCTTGGGATGGGAGCTGCTGCAAGCAATCTGTGGTACCTGCATTTGACAGCCAGTTCATGTACTGTACTTGATTGAGTGTTCGGTCGACAACCAATCTGTAAATTGCCTGGTTGGAGGGGTATGTAGCGGAGGCGCAAGACAAGACCACCAGTGCATAACCTCAAGGCACCACATTTAATAGAGCTGGATCAACACACGCGCACAGCAATGTAGACTCAAGTAACTGTCAATATTTGCCTAGCAACCGTCAGTCCGCCTCATCCTGATCTGATTGCGGAAGCGATGAGACAAGCGCCAGCACTGCTGTCTCTTCGCCGACCCGGCGGCTGCGATGTACAGCGCAGGCTCGGATTGGCTCCCACTCGAGGGGAACCCCAAAATAAGCATATGTAGGGGTACGGCGGTCTTGAAATGCTGCAGGCGCGCGTTTACAGGCTAGGGGTGGAGCTCAGGGCGGGAAAGGAAACAACAGTAGACGGTCGTCGCCAAGGGTGCTTTCACTGTGGGTTAGCTGAGAGAAGCTCACCTTTGCCCCACTCCCGAGTCCTGATTTACCAGTCGTAAGCGGAAAAATAATAATACCTACATTGGTACCAACGGCAAAGCTGAAAGCTTTCTGTTAATAAAAACAATTGTTTATATCGCGAAGGCCGTCATGCCTGTTTCAAGCAAAAGGGTTTTCTGGTACGGGCATGGTTGTCTTACTTGTGGCATCTTGTTATATCGGTTACTACTTACAACTCGCCGCCTAATGCTAAATATTGTTTTCTCACCTGTGGCCTGGAAAACGTTTTACTGCGATAAAACAAGAAGATTACCATCTACACAGACAAATCATAGCCTAGCTACCTAAATAGCCTAGGCCGAACAGGTATTGCCTCAAGAGATAAACAACATGCTATCGCAGAACATACTACTCATCGGGAAAGCACATTGTGCGCGTGAGCGCACTTGAATATTTTTTGGGGGAAAAAAGAAAGAGATGTTTAATGAGGCGATATGCAAAAGGGGGTCATTTTCAAGGGCGAAATCAAATTTGAGCTTTATGTCTTGCTGATAACTAAAGTCGTGGGAGGTTGGACTTTTTGAGGCCTTCGTACCTATTTAGGTAACAGCCTGCTCTGGTAGGGCTCTAACGTAATGTAGGTACATATGTACCTGCCAAGTCAATAAACATTACAGTGCTAAATTGCCTCCAAAATGCAAAGACGAACATTCAAAGTGAATGAGTGTAATGGATTTAGCATCCTGGTGCCCCATGCCGAGGTCTGATCGTGGTTTTGATGATGGGGACTATTCATTCGGCTTGTGTAGAAAACATATGCGAACGGAACAGTATGCAGTAAATTCAGCTCTTTCTCAAACAAAACCAAGTTCCTGACTCGGGACATTTGAAAACTCTCGAGTCTCCCAAGTTGCATTGGCCTTATACTTTCATGTGCACATTTTCAAGCCATATCGTGACGCCTTGGGTGTTTTGCCATCATCACCGCCAATTAATATTCGCAAATTCGCAGCAATGATTCGACCAGCCGCCAGTTTTCCAAAGCCCTACAACTCCTACCTGATGCAGCATGTTCAAATATTCGACTACCTGCAAGATTGGATCGCCGAGTCGGTCATTATTAAGGCACGTACAGGGATTACAGCATTTAGGCTAAATACACATGCCGCAAGCTGGTAATGAGCACACCTTTTGTGAGGGGATTCTCTCTTGCTGGGGTATCTCCGCATTTCCTCCACGCCTCCCCGCACGAGACCCTGGACTTTCGAGCACCATGCTCGTCCAACCGCTCGAACCATTTCCTTCCAAAACCTCCAGCTTTTTGACACTGCAATGTCTGACAGCAAAGACGTAGCCATGCTCCAACAAAAGGACCAATGCGCACCAATGAGCGCTGGGTGATTTTTCGTATCAACCTCTATTTACCCAGCACCCTGGACCGGCATGGTAGCTGTCAGATTTGCCCCATGCAATACAAGGTCCAAATGAATGATATTGTTCTCCAAGATCATGTGCAGGCGAAGTGGAAATTATGTACTTTGCGTCTGGAAAAATTGTAAGCGACCACTCTGATTCTTTTATAATCAGACCTACCTCGCAACAACTGTCTCAGGTTCCATCATCTCAAATCCAGCGACATTTCCTTCGATATTTCTCGCACACTCGGCCAAACCAGTCCTTGTATTGATCAGCCATTGTGTGTGATTTGCCTAGACCCGAAAGTCCCATTCACTTCTCGCGAGCTCGAGAGATCAAACTTTGCAATGGGTGCTGCCGATGGCGGTGCCGCCGTCTACGATGCCGCATTGAAGCGACGCCAGGATCTCATGGGCGCATCTGGCCCGAAGGCATTAGTCAAAAACTTCAAGGTGTTTCGGATCGCAGCATTTGCTTGTATAGGCGGTGTTTTGTATGGCTATAATCAAGGAATGTTCTCTGGTGTTCTCGCCATGCCTTCATTCCAAACACGTATGAGTTTCCAGCGCCGTGATATGGATATGAACTGATAATGTCAGACATGGGCGAATACGACCCCATCGATCCCAATGCTGATCAGACAAAGAAAGGCTGGCTCACTGCCATCTTGGAACTGGGGGCCTGGATCGGTGCAATCCTGTCTGGCTTTGCTGCCGAAGTTCTTTCCAGGAAATACGGCATCCTGGTTGCAACGACAGTATTCATGATTGGTGTCGTTATTCAAGCCACCGCTCAAAGTGGAGGCGCCAATGTCATCCTTGGTGGACGTTTTGTTACCGGTATTGGAGTTGGAAGTCTGGCCACAATCGTGCCAATCTACAACTCTGAAGTGGCACCACCAGAAGTTCGGGGCGCTCTAGTCGCTCTCCAGCAGCTTGCAATCACCTTTGGAATTATGGTCAGTTTCTGGATAGACTATGGGACAAACTTTATCGGCGGCGTCAAGTTGGGGTCGCAAAAGGATGCTTCCTGGATTGTGCCAATTTGCCTTCAACTCGGTCCTGCCGTAGTGTTGTTTCTAGGCATGCTTTTTATGCCGTTCTCGCCCCGATGGCTAGTCCACCATGATCGAGAAGTCGAAGCTCGCAAGATCTTGGCCAACCTACGTGGGCTTCCAGCCGACCATGAACTCGTAGAGCTGGAGTTTCTCGAGATCAAGGCTCAGTCCTTGTTTGAAAAACGGACCGTCGCCGAACATTTTCCCCATCTCCGTCAACAAACAGCCTGGAACACCTTCAAGCTACAGTTTGTAGCGATCAAATCCTTGTTTCAGACCAAACCCATGTTCAAAAGAGTCATTGTCGCCACAGTTACCATGACCTTCCAGCAATGGACTGGAATCAATGCGGTTCTTTACTACGCGCCCTCCATCTTCAAACAGCTGGGCATGAGTGATACTACCACTGGGTTGTTGGCGACGGGTGTTGTGGGAATCTTGATGTTTCTATTCACTATACCAGCCGTCTTGTATATCGACCGTGTAGGCAGAAAGCCTGTCCTTTCGATTGGAGCCATTGGAATGGCCCTCTGTCATTTTATTATTGCCGTTATTGTTGCCAAGAACTCAACACAATGGGCAACACAAGAAGCTGCAGGTTGGGCAGCTGTCGTCATGGTCTGGCTGTTTGTTATTCACTTTGGTTATTCGTGGGGACCGTGTGCATGGATCTTGGTCGCAGAGATCTGGCCATTGAGCACTCGACCCTATGGCACAGCCCTGGGAGCATCTAGCAATTGGGTAAGTAGTCATTGTCAGCGATGTGTTATCTTTGCCTAACGTGATGTTTACAGATGAATAATTTTATTGTCGGTCAAGGTATATTCAAAGTCCCCCGATCAACATGTAGGCCACAGGACTAACCTCATATAGTGACCCCTGATATGTTGCAAAGCATTGGATACGGCACATATGTTCTGTTTGGTATTTTGACCTCGCTGGGTGCTGCATTCATTTGGTTCTTTGTCCCCGAGACCAAGCGGTTGACACTAGAAGAAATGGTACGTTTTCAAGCTGCTTTCTTTTGACCTGTGGCTGACTGTACTAGGATGTCATTTTTGGATCCGAGGGGACAGCTGCTGCTGATTTTGAACGCATGGAGGAGATCAATCGTGAGATAGGCTTGACCGCGATTCTTCAGGGTATGGCTGGCGAGCATAGTCACCCCACAGATGAGAAGAACGTGGCAGTTGAAGAGGAGGGCAAAGAGTGATTGAGATCATGAGTTTGTGGCATCACTGCAAAGTGTCCGGCTGCCAACGCCCAAAGTTTGCTGTTCTTAATCGAAAATTTTCGTTAGTTCTATGTATCAGACTGGGTAAACTATTCCTACAGATAAGTACGTTTACAATTTATTTGTGTCGGCTTGTAAGAAAAGGACTATATTTGAAAATGATAGACATAGCTTGCTCGGGATGGTTGAGCTGTGTGTCAGTGCTTATACAACTCTATGGTTGTGCAATTGAAGATGTTTTCAATGTTTCCAATCAGTCGTAAAGATGCAATTCACATAGCTCCAACTCGGTTATCCCTTGCAAGTAATAGGTAGCACTAACGGACTGAGACGATAGAATGCACGAGGTATCAGATAATGCAAACAAGCGATTGATCAGGGGCCTGCTTTCGACCAAAGAGATTTATGACGCAGCACGGTGTGTGGGTGAAACATGAGACGCATTATCGACAATCTCGTAGTCAGTGTTGTTCAAGGTGCAACTTTTGGGGCTAAGTTTCTATTCGTGGTCGTCGCCATCTATTTGCTATTGTGTAACACCAAAATATTGATGCAGAGATGTCGTTGAACCCAATGACCGAGCGTCACGCTCGCTCGACAGGGAGCTGTTTGAAGGTCCCTCGGCATTATTCTTCGAGCTCGTCCAATCTCTCCTTGGTCGTGGCTCCGTATTGAATTCTGTTTCGCGCAGCACCCTCGAACTATTCGAAGCTACTCCAAACTGACCGCTGCCGCCTGTTGACTTGTTATTCATGGTTTGCCCCTCAAGGTCGAATCTAGCGCGTCTTTGATGAGTGCTTTGCAATGTATCCAGCATAATGGACTCTGGGACGATGGTGGTGGTGCCGTTACCATTGCTATTGCTATTGGAGAAGGAAAAGCTCCCTTGCGAAGATGTACGAGTCAACTCGACCAAGCGATTGAGGATGCTGAGCTCCATCTTGAGCTTGATGCTGTATACCAATGGCTTGTAGCCAGTCTGGAGGTCATAGTAGTCGGAAAATTCCAGCGCAAGCACACTGATATCGAGGATGATGACGACAATATTGACGAAAATAAGGTGACCTAGTACCCGGCGTGCACCTCGTTTGCCGCGAATGTCCCGTGTGACGCGCAATAGCTTGACGGTCTCCCACACATAGAGCCCTGAAATAATGCACTCCTGAATGAAGAAGACAGTCAACTGAATCTTCTCATAGATGGAGTAGGGCCTGAAAAAAGGTTCCGGGTTGCTCGAGTTGGATCCGAAAACTAGCACGGTAACGGGAACGTGCATGGCAATGGCGTCGAATATGATCATATATAGGACGGCCCGGCGTATCCTATCGTCGGAGAGCACGAGGTGCAGCCTCGAATACAGGACAATAGATTGTCCAGTGACCATGCACACCCATCCGATGCAGATCAAAGCCGAGTACAAGGCAGCATTCGAGATGAGGTGGAGATGCTCGAGCAAGTAGCCTATCGTATTGACTGCGATGCCCCATGCCGCCACAATGAGACTCCAGAAATATAGGCCTTTTCTCCTCCTAAATGTCCCCAGAATCATGTAGTTGAGTTCCAATACATTGTAGAGGGCGATGCTCCCAAAGACTAGAATTGGGATGGAAAGTCCAATATCGGCAAACGTCTCTTGGCTGGCGGGTATCTGCTTGCCCACCTCCACTACCATAGTGTCGATTCGGTATTGGCTGGTGGTGTCGTCGGAGCGGCTCGAAACAGTCGCTTTTTATGCTCCCCTTCTTCTTCCCTTCTTTTAAGATGCTAGCACCAAAGAAAGGCGTGAAGGGCCTATCGCCTCAGGGTATTCAAAGACCGCGAAATGTCGAAACATGGTCTCAAAAGCCAGCAGGCATGATAATGCCGAAAAGATGACAACGAATTTACAGGTATCCTCTCATCCAAAGGAAAGAAATAGATTTAAGTAAAATCAAAGGGGAGGAGAAAAGGCCTCCGCGTGCTTGCGGTCCAGAAACTAACCGTTGTGAATTGACGCACACTGGCTTGGTTGGGCGTGGTAATGACGCCGTCAAACTCTAAAGTAACTGCCCAAGCCGACCAAGCCTGCTAAAAGAGGCGGTCGAAGTGCTATTTGGCAGTCACCTTGTTATTTCCGCCCGGCACGTCGGGATCTACGCTGTGTCATTGGGTTCGCATGTCAACGGCCCATCCGCCAAGGTGGTGAGGATGACCTGTCATGACAGCAGGCCTTTTAAGGTTTTGCCGCTTTCGCCACGCTAAAAAGTCTTGTATGTGCCCTAGGTTTCTTCTGGCGAGGGTGGGCAATGAGTGTGGAATGCCTGAATGCAAGGCACAAGTAAATCTCCGATCAATGCCCACAGGGCTATTCGTTGAGATGGTAATATCCCACATCTGTGTGCATGGTTCTCAATCGAGGAACAGATGGTGTGTTTTCAAGACTTGATGATTAGGTCCAGAAAGAGCATCCAAGGATTACGTTACAGTACAGCTGGATGCTTTGATAATCATGGGCTCTACGGTGTAGCCGATTGACCTGCACCCAAGGAAGCGGTGGAAATTCTGGGGGCAGGCCAAAAACATTCATTACTCGTGGTTGCGTGGGTTCCGCGGAACACATTGTAGGCACAAATGTATCACTATATTCCCCGTGGGGCCGCCCTGTTGCGGCGCTTGATGAACGATCGTATCCGGGATGCCTTGAATGCCGCCGCGGCAGGGGTCTTCAGGCCTGAATAACAATGGTCGAGTCATGATACTTGCATGGCTAATCCCGAGCCATACACCACCACAATGCCACGCGAGCAATCATGGGAGGCCATGCATCCTTGTTGCTTTCTGGGCAGTGAAGAAACTCAGCCGAGTGCCACTTGCTTGCAGCAATAGTTTCGCTGGATAAATTCTAGCATTCGACGTTGGTAAATTTGATCTTGTACTGAAAAGGCTCTTTTGGGGCATATTAGAGTTGGCTAACCTGGAAGCCTATTGGCAATCTGACTGCGGAAGAATGTTTCCTACGCCCTTTTCTCGCTTGTCGTCACCCGCACGGCTAGCTGGTGAGAACTCGAGAACTAGTTTCTACCAGAGCCTATTAGATTGAATCGAGAGTGGAATATCACCTAGGTAGACTGATACGTTTGCTGGTTTTATTCACTCCATCAAGCAACTATCTGCCTCGTAGCACAACCTGGTCCACGTGCGTCTGCGCAGTGACGGTTGGCCACGGAATGAATTCCCTTCGAGTCCACACCACTCCCTCTAGGGTGCGCATGGCATAGCTAGCGAGCCTTCCCCAGACTTCGCGTCCGTCCGCGTTCTTTTGACACACCAAAGTGGGACTTGAGCCAAAGTCATTTGATCTGCTCTCCTCGGACGGCAGCGCATTCCAAGGCACTTGGCCAATTGGCTGGTCACGCCGGTCGAGGACTATGTCGTGTTCAATCTCGACAAGTTTTCTACATACCGGGTACATTTGCTCCGCCTCCCACATGTTTTCTCTCGAAGAACCACAATCACGAAGCCACCACAGTCCCTTCAGGCGTGTTCGCAGGTCGCGGCATCTCATCACCGAGAAGACCACAAAGGGCAGGAATCCCGCCTCAAATGTGAATCGTGGCCTTGCACGGGACGTCGGGTCGTGCATCAGCTTGTTGCTGTGTGCCACGGCAAGGTCTATGGCATCCCTCAAGTCGTCAATATAATCATCATAAAAGACTTCATGCTTCTCGAATGCCGCGAGAGCCCACAAGCGCGAGATCCTGTATCTCGACATGACATTGCTACAAGCCATGTCTCGGTGTTCAGATAGATCTAGAGTCTTGGCCAATTCCATGTACCTGACGTGCCAGTCGTCAATTGTTTGTTGCAGATTGAGCTGATACCTTAGAAGGTCTGGGTGGACTGGATCCGAGACATGCTCCCCGTAGCGGTATGGGTCGCCTTGGCGTATGAATCGTGATGCGCGGCAAACGATAGCATCCATGTAGTATTGCGCTTCAGCAAAAGTTGCAAACTTTGGAGGTATTGGGGCGTCTAGTCCGCTTAGTGTGGGAAACTGGTTGTTCGGGCCGCCAAAGAATAGAGGAAAGATGCTCAGACGTCGAAATATCGGCGACAAGTGCTCCATGGTCCAGGGATAAGCCAGACCTATTCGCTCCAGTATAACGATCCCGTGTGCAATGTGCTGCATTGCGGCGGCGCGATTGTTCTGCAGAATCTCGATACAAACAAACAAGACGCAAACAAGTAGAATGAGTGGCTCATTGTCTAGCCTTCGCAGGTTTTCTATGGCAGAATTGTAGTGCTGAAGCGCAAAGGCATTGGACTGTAGCTGCTTGGTAACCTTGCCCTTGTAGTGAAAGTCTTCATATAGTGAACTGATGGCCACTAGCGAGTGTCGCACGGCGGGTTCGAAATTGCTGAATTGAAGCACGAGATGGGTCCAGAAATACGAGTCTAGAGGCCCAGCCAAAGACGGCGCCGCAGTGTCGCAAAACAGTTGCAAAGCTCGACCTTCGATAGGTTTGTCAATCGATTGGAAGAGACTGCTTGGGCGATACCATGTGAGCCCGGCTTGTGGTTCTGCAGCGTAGCCGTCGCACTTGCGGCCTGTGCTCGTGCATCGGTAGCAAGCTGGCTTGCCTTCGTCGCACTTGACCTTGCGTAATCTGAATATTGATCAGTTCATTCAGCTTGTGCCTTGTGGGCCGTCACTGATGTAGACATACTTGCAAGTAAGACAGCCTGTTCTGACCTTGCGTGAACCTTTTCTAGCCATCGTGGATGAGAATGAGGGACACTACCATAAACAATCCGATATTGGAGAACTGCTAGACGACGCATGTGTCAGAGTGTTCTGGAGCTTTGGCTTTCTACAATCATTCGTGCTTTCTTGAACGTCGGAGTATTGAAATAAGAATGAATCTTTGTACAATGATGAGCATACCAGCACTTGCTCCGAAGGATTTACTGTGCCACTGGCCAGCAAAATGCCGAGGCACTAGCCATAAGAGGCGCCGGTGTGTTATTTTTGGCGATATGCAAACTAAGACCGTGGCCGTGCTAGTGAGCCAACTCCAGTGTGGTAATCTTTATAAGTTTAGTGCTATGATATTCAAATTGACTTGAGAACATGTGAAACACAGTCAAGACTCGTAGACCTTTGGTCTTTTGAGATGATTGGAAGGCTCTTCAATATCTGCTAATACCCAGTAGTTGTTTTCACAATGGATTTGGAGGGCTGTATTTGTTGACTTCTTCCACTTTTTTTTTTTCCCCCTCCCAAACAAATCTATCCAAAGTTCATGTGCCACATTTCAATGAATGCCTGAGAATAATCCAATCGGATGAACCAGACGCGATGAGTAGTCAGCCGCGCCATACCGGAGGTCCTGGAATTGTGTAGTTCTACTGATGGTCAGAGATGTTCCATAGTGCTTGGCATACGAACAAACCTCGGTTCTCTTCATTTCGTCTGTGTAAATGTTGATATTGATACTCGGATCTGCTTGCCTATTAGTACTACTCCTTATCTTGATGCAGAGGCCCAAGGCGATTGAAACCATGATTGAACATACCATCAGCTCGATATGCTCCAGGAAAGCGGACAAGATGGTCTTGGCTAGGAAAGGAACTTCCGGTGCCCGTGATATTCAAATGGGCACATTCCGGGTAGAACTGGGGTTTGTTCTCAATGTGAAGACTCAAAATCTCGTGCCTCACAATGTATAAACCAGGCTTGATAGTTCTTGGTATAATCACTGGCCAGAGGTCCGGTGACCCGTCCCAATTTTGAAAAGCTTTTTGATACCAAATGCCTTCTGGAACAGATCCGTTGAGCAGCCCGGCTTCTGCAATTTTGAAGAATTCAAGTTTGTTAGGATCTGCCTTTTCGCAACCTCCAAATGCATCGCAGGCAGCCAACCAAACCGTCATGGGGCCGACAGGGTGAAGCCAGTACCAGTACACTGCCGTCAAATTCTCGCCTGCTCTTATAGGGATATATGATATTGCCGTTGTACCAGGCGTGTTGCAAGCCAATCCCGAGTCATTGACATGAAAAATGGGATCAATACTGTCCCATCTGCGCTGCACCATCCACGGCTGACCAACTTGCTCATCTGATCGCTCATTCGGATCGAATCTACAGTTTATATTAGAACGAAGAAATCGAAATGATCAGTGTTGTGCAGCAGTGATTCGCCATACCCTCTGTACCATGTTTCACCCACGGTATAATTTGCGAGACCACCATGCGAGACTGCAGCCTGTATGAATATACTGCAGAGCAAAACCAAATATGCAACAGATATCGCCATTTTGTTACGATGCAGTTTGCGTTGATCGGATTTGGATGCAAGGAGTGAAGCCAAGCAAGAATTCCGTTTAAGCGGAGGAAAGACAAATGCCAAGTGAAAGGACGAAGATAGCTTCCAGCCTCTGCGAATCATGATATCCCAACCTCAAAGACTGTATTCACCAGAGTGCTTCCTATGCAAGATCCCACTAGGATAACCTGTCATGACATTTCGCTGAAAATGGCAAGTGGAATACATTAAGCCACCGGCTATTTCATCCTGGAACACCCGGCAATACAAAGCCACAAAGTCTTGGAGGGCAGGTACACCCAATCGCATACCTGGGAAATTTTGAGAGATTGAACCTAGCAAGTATAGCACACCTCAATACGCCACCCAAGCACGCGGCAAGTTGATGATAATCCTCCGGCCCTACGAGTCATGACCGAGGATTGCACACAAACACGCGATAACCTTCAGTCACACCTTGGTTTTCACGTGCAGGGGATATCCATATTTGGTCATTCCCCGCACAACCACAAAGGGCGACGGTGACTGATTATACCCGACCGATCTGGATCTGGAAAGTGGCCTCCAGCTTTGACCGCAATAGCGAATACAATCTTCCACAGATATTACATGGTCGCGGTTTCAGCCGTTTAGCCATGATCATCTGTCATCTGGATGCAGAGCGAATCGCATTTTTATTGGTTGCTATACACGCTCCATTCAATGAAGAAGATGGCCGACATCCGTCAGATTGGGTTTGTTCTAACAATGGCATGCACATGGAATTCTCGGCAAATTATTCTTGTCGACTTATATGTAGACGGCGCATCGCCAAGAGACATTTTGCCATGTTCCGATAGTCCGATCAGGCACCGCCAGCTTGGCAGAGTTGAAGCCATTTGTGGATCTAGTATAAGTAGTATCATTGCAGTCAAGTATCACGATTGAAACAACTCGGGCTATATCCCTAGCATTCATCTCGCAGACTTCAAGTCATTCAGAATTGGTCATCATGGCGAAGCGCTTCACGACTGCCTTGCTTATGGGCGTATCCGTCCTGGCATATCCTGCCGAGCTTGTTGAACGCCAAAACTCCACATGCTCAGTCTCGGACAATTATCCTGCGGTCAGTGTCAGCAAGCTACCTGATCCTTTCACGTTTGCCAGTGGGACCAAGGTGGCATCCAAAGCAGATTTCACTTGTCGCCAACAAGAGATCAGCAAGATACTCCAACAGTACGAGCTCGGTGACTTTCCCCCACCACCAGACAAGGTTGAAGCATCCCTATCCGGGACCACCATGAGTGTCAAGATCACTGTTGGATCAAAGTCAGTCACTATTAGTGCCGCGATAAAAGCTCCGAGCACAAAGCCAGGCCCAGCAATCATTACCGTTGGAGGTGCTTCAATTCCGATTCCCGGTACAGTAGGCACAGTGGCTTTTGGCAACGACAACTTTGCCGCCCAGACCAGCGGCAGTTCTCGTGGCCAGGGCGCCTTTTATACTCTTTTTGGAGCATCTCACTCGGCTGGAGCTTTGACTGCCTGGGCTTGGGGTGTCGGTCGCATCATTGACGGTCTCGAACAGCTTGGATCTGACAAGACCGGCATTGACCCGAAGCGTCTGGGTGTGACTGGATGCTCTCGCAACGGCAAAGGTGCATTCGTTGTAGGCGCACTCAATGACAGAATCGCCTTGACACTCCCTCAGGAATCTGGCTCAGGCGGTGCTGCATGCTGGCGCATCTCCGATAGTGAGCACAGCAAAGGCAAGAATATTCAGACGGCTGGGGAAATTGTCGGAGAGAATGTTTGGTTCAGCCAGCGATTCAACTCATACACGAGCAAGACCAATACCGTTCCCGAAGACCACCACATGCTTGCTGGTCTTGTTGCACCTCGAGGACTATTTGTCATGGAGAACGACATTGACTGGCTTGGTCCAGTCTCGACCACAGCTTGCATGAAGGCCGGACGTCTAATTTACAAAGCCTTGGGCGCACCAGATGCAATGGGCTTTGATTTGACCGGAGGCCACTCTCATTGTCAATTCCCATCGGCATCTCAGGCTAGCTTGACGGGATACATCAATGCATTCCTGCTCGGCACTGGCTCTCCCCCATCCAATATCGAGAAGAGTTCGGCCAGTGTGACAATGACTGACTGGGTCGATTGGACTCCACCAACATTGTCGTAAAACGTGGGTACCTGATGGTCTGGTGTGTCAGCAGCATCTACCAAATGGATGGTAAAGAGTTGCAATAGCGAAATCAGAATTTCAAGACCATCTTGCTTGCATGCTCCAAAGACCCATGCTTTTAGGTGTGGATATCCCAACCAACTGCTCATTCAATGGCTCGAAAGAATATGGTGTAATATTGATCAAGGTATAAAATGAAAGCGATCTTTACATTGGATAGTCAAATACGCTCGCATCAAGAAATCATTTATACGCGACGCTTCGATGAGATTTCATGTGACTGCCACCAGCAGCGACTCTGCTGCTTGTCTTATTCTTTGTGTCGCACCTGTTATCCCATAATATGTTGACCTTGAAGCAAGCAAATCAAGATCATCCAGAAAATGTGGTCACTGTACCCAATTTTGCATGGCGTATTATTGAATCGTTTTGTTCATTATATTGGAGATGGCGAAAATCATTAATGTTTGCACATCTCTTGGGGTTTCTAGCAGTGAAAATGTCCCCTGAGGATGTCTGCAGCTTCCTGTCAGCAAGAAGTACATGCTCAACTTTCTGTTGCATCTCGTACACCCCGGTTTATGCCCACTTGTCCCGCCATAGGCAGCCCTTTTGTCCGTGATGGGTCTTTTGTTCCATTTGATATTCTTATGAGACAAATAAAAACCTGTCCCCCTTATCCTTGTCCCGTTGTAACTTTGTCGAGCATGACGCAACGGTAAGCTGCCCTTTTCTAGAAAGTCGGCTGTATCTTCCTTGATAAAGCTCTGCTGCGTCTGGTTGTGCTAGGGTGGAATTCCAAGGAGACTAAAATCTCATAGAATGGATCCATGACGGATGCGAATCCTTGCTGCATAACGCCATCAGCTATCTCGTTCTAAATTTAAGATTGATTGCCAAATGCGGTCAGCAAACAAAACACAACACCCGTTCATCAGATCATTGAATCCACCCTCGCTGGCTGGCCTGCAAACCAAGGACGCTAAATGAACTCTTACCTTCCCCTCTTAAAGCTCACGCCGCCATATCGGCTGTTCACAAGATCAAAGATACTCGCAAATAACATTGACTTTGAATTCCAACGGCTTTGGAAAAATTTTCCTCTTCACATATCTCGACCTTTTTGATAATGAGCTCTCCATTCAAAGTTATAGTCGTTGGCGGCGGTCCCGTCGGACTCATTACGGCGCATGCACTTTCACGTGCCCAAATTGATTTCACAGTATTAGAGGCAAGACCTCAAATTGTGGAGGAGGCGGGTGCAGCACTGATTATATCGGCGACCGGTCTCCGAGTGCTAGGGCAACTCGGACTGCTCAACGCATTGGATCTTGCTGGCTGCGACTTGACTCGCTGGACCCGCATTGATCACGACAGAAACGATCTGGGAGACGTGCTGACGCTGCAATTCACGAAGGAGAAGTAAGTCAGGAAACATTGAAACTTTTCAAAGAGACCATGTTGCGTATACTGACACAAACTTAGCCATGGTCGATATCCATTCTTGATCGCTCGTGATGCTCTGACCAAGGTCTTGTATGAGAGTTTATCACCGGCAGACCAAGCTCGAATCTTGCCGAGCATGAAAGTCTGCGAGGTACAAACTAGTGATACAGGCGTGGTGGTAAAATGCACCAACGGGACCACGGTGGAAGGCAATATCCTTATCGGTGCAGATGGCGCACACAGCATAGTTCGAGAAAGTGTGCGAAACCTGGCCCTCCAAAAAAACGATGCCTTTGAGAACGTTGATCATCGTGTGAATAGCGACAACCCGTTCCTCACAACTTATCGCTGCATGTGGCTGAGATTCCCAACAACGTCTGATATGATACCCGGCCGTGTCTTGGAGACACATGGTCCGCGTTTTGCGATTCAGCAATTCTGTTCTGTCAAAGAGGGCTTTACAGCCATGTATGAGCTTTTTGATGAACCGACACGCAAGCGTTCACGATACACCAAAGCCGATGCTCAGGCATTCATTAGCAGATGGGGCCATATCCCAGCTGGGGCGGGCGGCACGGTGCAAGATTTATACCAGGCAAGCACCAGCCATGGTGTCGTTGACTTGGAGGAGGGGGTCTTGGAGCACTGGAGCTGGGATCGCATCGTCCTTGTGGGTGATGCTGCGCACAAATTTACCCCGAGCATCGGACAGGGCGCCAACAATGGTATTATTGACGTTGTGGTACTTATGAACCAATTGACAAAAGTATTGAAGGAGTCTCAGAGCCAAGACCCAGCAAAGCTTCTAATTACGGATGAGCTTACGTCCGCATTTAAGCATTACTAAGCGGCAAGACACGAAGGGACAACATCCGGTTGTTAGCGCTCTTCACAAGCCACCGCGACATCTTTGTGGAATACTTGGACCCTGAAACTGTTTGACCAATATATTTTTCCAACCCAAACTTTTCAGAAGTATATATTATCCAAGCTCGCTCTTCTTATTGCTGAGTCGCCAATATTAGATTATATTCAAGGTGAAGAACATATGGTGGGGAAGATACCATGGACTAAGCCGATGCCGATGGTGTCAGCTATATTGCATAAATAAATATAAGTATTTAAATATTAAAATATATTATTACCATTATATAATAATAATTAAAAAGCATAATCGTAATCGTTTAAAAATAATTATAAATTAAAATTTATATATTTATAAAAAATAATATATATTATAATATAAAATATATATTATTATTATATTATAATAAGCAAAAATGCATATTTATAATTATTAAAGAATAATTACGAATTTAAAGTTATTATTACGAACATGCATTAATGTTTTAAGGTATAATTAGTGGATTATAAATTTAGGCATAAGGAAGCGTTTATATAATTCGTAGAATTAGGCCGTGGAGGGTAGTTATAGGGCTATATAACTGATTTATTAAAGCTTAAGGAAAAAATAACTAATTACGGAGGAATAACTACCTTTTATACCTATAAAATCAACCAATAAGAATATTCTGGAATATATTACTAATAAATTGGATTTATAATCAAGTTAATTAATAATAAGGTTGATTTATAATCGAAGAAACTATCGAAATTTATGGATTTCTATGGTATGGGTTACCCTGTAACCTAGGGCTATTATGGCCAGTTGCATTAGCTATATTTAGTGGGGCTGGATCTAGTGGAACGTTTTACTGGATTCTAGTGGGTTTTAGTGGCCATAATAGCCATAATAGTTAATTATAATAACTTATTAATTATATAGCATTATAAATAATAGCTATAAATAGTGCTATATTAACTATAGGTTAGTATAGGGTAAATTTTATTAATTTCCTATATATTATTAGTTAACGATATTTCGATAGGTTTTATAATTATTATAACGATATAATATGCGTTATAAAGCTAATTTTATATATTATACGATATTATATTAATATCCGTATAATATTCTTTTTGTTAAATAATATTAGTTAAGTTTAATAATTTGATAAATTTTTAAAATTTATCTTTAGGAAGTGGCTTTATAAGGCTATTTATTAGTATATCGTTAGTTAAAATATATTCGATTCGAATATTTTTATTTTTAACTTTTTGCCGTATATAAAAATACCGTATAGCAATATATTTAGTACGTTAGTGATATTCCGGATTATATATTAAATTTATAGCTTTTATATTATTTTTTTTAATTAATACGGTATTTGTATTAATTCCGATTTTTATAAAAAGATTTTTTAATTATATTGCTTTACGGGTAGCCTGCTCTAGCCCGTTGAATTTTGCTTTAGTGGTTAATAAAGAAACCGTAGATTGCCGTTTCGATTTTTAATTTATCGGTCCGTCACTAAGCATTCCCAGCGTTAAGGTTAAGCCATTGCCATCTCCACAAAAGTGAGAATTACTATATTTGTTTTAGTATTTCTAATTTTTATATAATAAAACCGTTATATCCTTTACCTTTGCCTTTATTATTACTATTATAATATAAAAAGCGTTAAATTAAAATTAATTTTTTTATAATTTAATAAAAATTAATAGGTAATATATAATAATAATAATAATAATTTTTTTAGCGTAATATTAATAATTCCTTTAGCGCTATGCTAATAATTCCTTTAACGCAATAGCAATAGCTTTTTTAATATAATTAATTAATATTAATAGCTTTTTTAATATAATAATAATAGCTTTTTTAGCGTAATAGCAGTAGCTTTTTTAATATAATTAATTAATATTAATAGCTTTTTTAATATAATAATAATAGCTTTTTTAATGCAATAGCGGTGGTTCCTTTAGCGTAATAATAATAGCTTTTTTAATTATAATAGCGGTGGTTTTTTTAGCGTAATAATAATAGCTTTTTTAGCGCAATAAATATAATTCCTTTAGCGTAATAGTAATAATTCTTTTAATATAATTATAATAGTTTTTTTAATACGATAGCGGTAATTCTTTTAGCGTAATTATAATAGCTTTTTTAATATTATAGCGGTTAATTTTTTTTAGCATAATAATAATAGCTTTTTTAATATAATAGCGGTAGTCCTTTTAGCGTAATAGTAATAACTCTTTTAGCGTAATAAATATAATTTTTTTAGCGTAATAGTAATTTTTTTAATATAATTATAATAGCTTTTTTAGTGCGATAACGGTAATTTTTTTAGCGTAATAGCAATAGCTTATTTAACGTAATAAATATAGCTTTTTTAATATAATATTAATATTTTTTATATTATTATAGCTATAACCGGTAGTATTATTATAATAATTATTTTTTTAAGTAAAGCGCTATTCCGATAGCGTAGCTAGCCGTTATTAGCGCCGGTAATTTAGCCGAAAAAGAATTTTATATAATTTATCGCTATCCGTTAAAATATTTATATATTATATTTTAATTTTTCCTTTTAAAGCAGGATCGCATTTGTTAATGCGATTAACGATATCGTATTAAAACCGCGATTAATTTTAAATTATTAGCGGTATTTATTCGCTTATTATACGATTTAGCAAAAAAAATTATATTTTTAGCTTTTAGCGGCTTATAATAATTATTCGCAATATTATAATATGCTAATACCTATCGTAATTATGCGATTATTTGCTAAAATAATAGGCTATTAGCTATAACGCCCGAAAAATAAGAATAATAATTATATTTTTTTTCGATTTATTTAAGCTTTCCCCCCCCGATTAGCCCGTATCCGTATATATTAATTAATACTTTTGCAATTAAAAGATTATAGCTAATTAATTACCTAATAATAATAAATAAAAAACGAAAACCTTTAAGATATTATTAGCCTTTTAAATATACGCGATTTTATTTATAATTAATTATTTATAGTATACGATAATATTAGTTTTTTCGTTAATACTAATTGCGCCGAAAATCGAGTTTTATTGCCTTTCCCGAATTAAAAGCTTTTAGATTACGCCGCTCGCTTTTTTATATGCTATTCCCGTAAAATAAATTCGCGCTTTTACGCGCGTTTTATTATTAGCTAGTAATTCGAATATTAGCGCTATTAATTTCCGGAGCAACGATATAATATTGCTAATAGCTAATTATATATTAAATTACTCGAAAGCGTAAATTTATTCCTTATTAAAATTATTCGCTAGCAAATAATTTTATTATTAATATATATTAATTTTAATTTCGATAACCGTTATCGCTTTATATTTAATCCTTATAGCGACCGCGCTAATATTTAGCTTATTTTAAAAGGCTATATAAGATTTTTTATAGAATGGTTTCCTATTATTTTCGATATTAGCGATAATAAAATAAATTTAAATTAAAACGTAAATTAAAATAACGATTAAAACGATATAAATTAATTATAATAAAAATATATAAGCAATAGTAATAATATATAATAGAATAAAAATAGTAATAGTAAATATAAAATAATATAGCTATAATTAATATTTTTATAATTAATAGCAATTATATTACGCAAAACTGCATATTTATTTATAAATTTTATTTTTAATAATAATAATTGCATTTAAATTACTTAAGCATACGTAAAGCCTAATTAAATGCTATTTTACCGTAAATAATAAATATTATAGCGGTATTACCTGCTAAAACGATTATATTAGGATTATTATATTAGGGCTATTGCTTATTTCGGATATATTAAAATATTGCTTATTATATAAAATAGTAGGTAACGGCAAAAATGCAAATAATTAGCTATAAGTAGCGGGAGTAGCCGTACCGGCAGTTATTCCCGTTATTTTTTTTTGCTAGCGCTTACCGCTTTACCGCTTTTTTTAAATTATTGCTATTCTTCTTTATTATTGCTATTCCTCCCTTATTATTACTATTTTATATTTTATTAAAATAATTAAACTAAAATAAAATAACCTTATTAAAAGTATCGCAGCGTAATTGCTTTTCTTAATTTATTAAATAATTATATTTATATTATTGCTTTTCGGTTTATATTATATTATATATTTATTTACGCACCTGCCTTTTATTAAAATAACCAGTGTTATTGCTTTTTTATTATTACGTAACGTCTGTATTTAGCTTATTTCGTATATTGCCGAAATGGCTTTTTGCGATCGCGCCTTAAATGTCCGGACCGTAAATATATGCATATTAGCGTTAATTATATTATTAGCAAAAATTATATATTAATATATTTTTAATAATAATAAATTAGCATCAAGAATCTATAGGATATTTTCGGTTTATTAAATCTCGGCTTATATATTTTTAGCGATAAATTTAGCGATTTATAACGCTATTACCGACGAGTTATCTTATTTTTTTATTACGACCGTATATTATAATTTAAAGCTAAAGCACTAGTTATATTTATAGCATTATTATATAAAAACACTAGAATTATTAACGAGGCCTTTAATTATTTATCGAACCCGGACCCCGCTAACCTATTTATAAATCGCGCGTTATTTGCCTTTTTAGGAAATAATAGTATATTATACCGGCGGTAATAGTTTTTAAAGGTTAATAATTTGGATATAATATTTTATTATTTATTTTTACCTAAATAAATTTTTTCGATATTAGCTCCTATTCGACCGGCTATTAGCGCTTTTGCTATTAGCGCTTTTGCTATTATTAATACCTTTTTTTATAATGCTAATAATATTCGAAGACCTTTTTTTAATAAAAATGCAAATGCTATACCCTGTAAACCGGCATTTTTTGTTAATATTTTTAGCTATAATATTAATAATATTTAAAAACCTCCTTTTAATAAAAATATAAATGCTATACCTTATAAGCCGGTATTTTTTGCTAATGCCTTTAGGCCTAATATTAATATATATATTATA